CACAGCAAAGACTAACTGAAATGTGTAATGTTTAGACAGGAACGCTTTGTGAGGCAGGCGAATTTACTTGGAAAATACCAATAAATTGTTGAGTTTCTGAGAAAAGTGTTGAAAATTGGCATTTCTGTATCGTGAGTATTGATGTATTGCAATTATTTTTACACTAAGTTCTGTATCACTATTGCGATTATCGTTACATGCTTAAATTTACATAGGTCTAACTATTGGTTTTGAACATGATACTTGGATAATCTGGTTTCGCGTGAACAGTTTTAGGCGAAAACTGGCATGAGAATTAAAGAGGACTTCACTGTGCGATAAAGACAGATACACCCTGGCCTTGATGTGAGACATCTGCTAAAACAGAAACATCCCTCATCTTGAGTGCGACATTTGTGCAGACAAATACTCCCTGGCCTTGATGCGAGACATCTAAGACAGATACAATCCCTCATCTTGAGTGTGACATTTGATGACGTATCCACCATCTAAAGTGTGGCATCTGCCAAGAAAGATACAAACAATCCAAGACACTGAATGTTATAACTTTGTCACCCTCTGTTTGGTTTACAGATATTTTCATGGGAAGACAGGATCAAGAGACAAGTCGGCTGAAGTCAGTGTGACTACCGAAGGTGACGAGCAGACTGGAGAGGAGTAGAACCCATCCCAGGCTGTGACGGTGCAGGTGACCTGAGGACAAGGCCGTGGGGGGGACCTTCCAAGGATCTGCAAAGGACTCTATCAACACAATACTTACTTTAGCGGCAATGGCAGGAAACACTGAGAGAAATGAGGCGCCGATGATTTTTGCGTTTATAGTTGGTACAGACGCTGATACACAGTATGCATATCAATGGGGTAATGGTGAAATTTTAAATATAGAAAATCACAGAGAATACTATCGAACATCTAGTTTCTGGCTATAAAGTTATTAGGCACCGTGAGGCTACTCTAATTGGTGCGTAAAAGATACCCCAACAGAGATGCTTTCATTCAGATCGGTGCAACTACGAGAGTGTCCAAAACCAGCAAGGTGGAGGTCAGTGAGGACATTCGCGAGAGAGGCGTGGAGCTGGTGAGAGAAGAAGAGGCTGATTTCGTCGATATCCAAAACATCGAGACGTCATCTTTGAAGAAGCTAGTGTCAGTACGAGGAAAAGTTGTGTCAAAAAGTTTCTTAAAGATTGCATTAAAGTGTGCATGAAGTGGTTAATTCCACAGCAAAGACTAACTGAAATGTGTAATGTTTAGACAGGAATGCCTTGTGAGGCAGGCAGATTTACTTGGAAAATACCGATGAATTGATGAGTTTCTGAGAAAAGTGTTGAAAATTGGCATTTCTGTATCGTGAGTATTGATGTATCGCAATTATTTTTACACTAAGTTCTGTATCACTATTGCGATTATCGTTACATACTTAAATTTACATAGGTCTAACTAATTGATTTTGAACATGAAACTTGGATAATCTGGTTTCACGTGAACAGTTTTAGGCGAAAACTGGCATGTGAATTAAAGAGGACTTCACTTTGCGATAAAGACAGGTACACCCTGGCCTTGAACGTGAGACATCTGCTAAAACAGAAACATCCCTCATCTTGAGTGCGACATTTGTGCAGACAAATACACCCTGGCCTTGATGTGAAGCATCTGCTAAGACAGATACAATCCCTCATCTTGAATGTGACATTTGTGCAGACAGATATACTCCCCAGCCTTGATGCAAGACATCTAAGACAGATACAATCCCTCATCTTGAGTGTGACATTTGATGACGTATCCACCATCTAGAGTGTGGCATCTGCCAAGAAAGATACAAACAATCCAAGACACTGAATGTTATAACTTTGTCACCCTCTGTTTGTTTTACAGATATTTTCATGGGAAGACAGGATCAAGAGACAAGTCGGCTGAAGTCAGTGTGACTACCGAAGGTGACGAGCAGACTGGAGAGGAGTGGAACCCATCCCAGGCTGTGACAGTGCAGGTGAACTGAGGACAAGGCAGAGGGGGAACCTTCCAAGGATCTGCAAAGGACTCAATCAACATAATACTTACTTTAGTGGCAATGGCAGGAAACACTGAGAGAAATGAGGCGCCGATGATTTTTTAGTTTATAGTTGGTACAGATGCTGATACACAGTATGCGTATCAATGGGATAATGGTGAAATTTTAAATATAGAAAATCACATAGAATACTATCGAACATCTAGTTTCTGGCTATAAAGGTATTAGGCACCATGAAGCTACTCTAATTGGTGCTTAAAAGACACCCCAACAGAGATGCTTTTCATTCCGATCGGATCAACTACGAGAGTGTCCAAAACCAGCAAGGTGGAGGTCAGTGAGGACATTCGCGAGAGAGGCGTGGAGCTGGTGAGAGAAGAAGCGACTGATTTAGTCGATATCCGAAACATCGAGACGTCACCTTTGAAGAAGCTAGTGTCAGTACGAGGAAAAGTTGTGTTGGTAAGTTTTTTAAATTAAGATTGCATTAAACCGTGCATGAAGTGGTAAGTTCCACAGCAAAGACTTACTGAACATGTTTAGACAGAATGCCTGGTGAGGCAGGCGGATTTACTAGGAAAATACCGATGAATTGTTGAGTTTCTGAGAAAAGTGTTGAATATTGGTATTTCTGTATCGTGAGTATTGATGTATCGCAATTATTTTTACACTAAGTTCTGTATCACTATTGCGATTATCATTACATACTTAAATTTACATAGGTCTAACTATTGGGTTTGAACATGATACTTGGATAATCTGGTCTCACGTGAACAGTTTTAGGCAAAAACTGGCATGTCAATTAAAGAGGACTTCGCTTTGCGATAAAGACAGATACACTCTGGCCTTGATGTGAGACATCTGCCAAGACAGATACATCCCTCATCTTGAGTGTGACATTTGTGAAGAAAAATACACTTCCTGGCCTTGATGCGAGACATCTGCTAAGACAGATACAATCCCTCATCTTGAGTGTGCCATTTGATGACGTATCCACCATCTAGAGTGTGGCATCTGCCAAGAAAGATACAAACAATCCAAGACACTGAATGTTATAACTTTGTCATCCTCTGTTTGTCTTACAGATATTTTCATGGGAAGACAGGATCAAGAGACAAGTCGGCTGAAGTCAGTGTGACTACCAAAGGTGACGAGCAGACTGGAGAGGAGTGGAACCCCTCCCAGGCTGTGATGGTGCAGGTGACCTGAGGACAAGGCCGTGGGGGGAACCTTCCAAGGATCTGCAAAGGACTCAATCAACATAATACTTACTTTAGCGGCAATGGCAGGAAACCCTGAGAGAAATGAGGTGCCAATGGATTTTGAGTTTATAGTTGGTACAGACGCTGATACACAGTATGCGTATCAATGGGATAATGGTGAAATTTTAAATATAGAAAATCACAGAGAATACTATCAAGGGATGCCACGTGGACATTTTAAATATAGAAAATCACAGAGAATACTATCAACAGATGTTAGTATTTCTTGATACTTTAGAGAGATACTTTAAAAGGACCAGCGACATCTGCTGCCTTGAGTGTGACATATGCTAAGAAAGATACACACAACACTTTGAGTGGGACATCTGCTGCCTTGAGTGTGACATCTGCTAAGAAAGATACACACAATTTGAGTGTGACATCTGCTAAGACATATTGCCAAGACAGACTCCCTCACCTTGAGTGTGACATTTGTTAAGACGAATATACACAACCCAAGATACTGGATGCTATAACTTTTAGGTCTCTTGTGACCCTCTGTTTGTTTTACAGATATGTCATGGTTACTGTTCTACTCGACTGTCCAACCTGGTTCCTCCAATCAGAGTGTTTGAGAGAGAAACTCGGTTTTCTGCCTGCTCTCATCCATATGCAATACCTAGATAAAAGGACATTCCAAGTTTTTCCCCACATGCCGCATCTCTATGGAATTCCTTGCCTGGTGCTTGTTTCCCTCCAACCTATGATCTGTCCTGTTTCAAGAGGAATGTTAATTCCTACCTTCAGTTTTCCCGAGTACCTACTCTTGTAGTAATTTCTCTTGTAGCCCTGTACCTGGAGTGGCTTCTAGCCTTGTTCACGGCGAATATGCATTAAAAAAACCCCAGAAAGTGAGTCATTTTCATTTGCCAACAAATGACATAAAGAGATGAGAGGACTACAGTTGATGTTTCCCACTCCAGATTGACGAGTAGCAGAAGGTAAAGATCTATGGGGGTGCTTTTCAACATGGCATACTTCACTGCTAAGATGGAGAGACAAGTCAGCTGAAGTCAGTGTGACTATCGAAAATGACGAGCAGACTGGAGAGGAGTGGAACCCATCCCAGGCGGACAGTGGAATGTTTTGCTGAGTACCTAATGTTCTTTTAATTTCTCTCGTAGCCCTGTTCCTGGAGTCGCTTCTAGCCTTATTCAGGGCAAATACGTTCATGCCTTGTTTATGCATTTCAATGTTGTGGAGTACACACGACCTAACTGCATCTGCATGTTGACAAACCTGTAGCGTCTTTGCACGAGTACCAGGCCGGTAACTGCCTTATTGAGTTTGGCACCGTTGAGAAGTATTTGGGAACCAAGTCCACATCATTATTTTCAGTTACACCTATCACATATCAGCCTCTTACAAATGCTATAATTATAATAATAAGCCAGTTCGGTATCTCAATGACCCGAGGTCATTAGGGATAACATGCACACGCCGGTAGTTTACACGCAAGTGTCGTGCGCCCGCGTTCAGGTGCCTTTGAAACGTTCGATTATCCTGAATGACCCGTGGCCCATATCATTGTGCGCATGCGCAGTTGAAATAGCGAACTGGCTTATTGTAATGATATAGTGCCTTCCACACTATCAGCAATCTCAAAGCGCTTTACAATTATTCCCCCGTTCATCAGGCCACGAGACCACATGGCAGCCGATATCAGCGCACATTCGGTCCTCGACCCTCACTGGTACCCCATTATACTCCTGGGTGGAGAGAGGCAGTTGTAGTTAAGTGTCTTGCCCAAGGGCACAATCACCATTTTCCTAGCAGGGTTCGAACCCAGGCACCATTGTACATGAGTTAAACACCGTAACCACTGTACCATGGTATTCTATTGAAGACTTTGTTAATAGTTTCTTACCATAATAACACTTTATAAGAACAACATTCTCATCAAAGCAACAATAATACTGGACGATTATCACAGCACAAGGCACTTCTTTCAACCATTTAAACATGGACGAGCATTTTTCAGACGTCTGATTGGTGAATAAACTACTGAATAATTCATGACTACATCAGTGATTCATAAAAAATCGACTGATACTGGAATGCAGATTTGAGTTTGGGAAACCACAGATTGTGATTGGTTGGATGAGAGAATTATTCATGAGGTTGCCTCAGTATGCATCGTATACCTGCTGGCACTGGTCAGTGCCTAGCAACACTACCTCAGACCTGCAGAGATGGGCGCTCCTCAGACTGTGATTGGCTGGTTGAAGTGATGAATAATTCATGAGGTTACCTGAGAAGATGTCCCATTGGTGAAGACTTCCATCCGACAGTTTAGCCAGCAAGCTGTGCTTGTGTATAACAGCATCGGCGAGGCTGTTCAAAAACACGAAAAGCTGCACTTAGTCATCGTAAAGTTACTCTAAATAAACTGATGATCTCTTACCATTCAACCGTTCAACAGGGCCCAATTTCATGGCTCTGCTTACCGTTAGCGAAAAATCCCTGCTTAAAAATTCTGTGCTTATGGTAAACGTATTTCATGGGTTAGCGAGGAATGTTGGCTTCTGCGCATGCATACATCCTATAGCTAAGGATTCTGTGCTCACAGGGTTAGCACAGAATCTTTCTGCTAGCGTGGTTAGCACAACATGGTGATCGTAAGCGCGGAATTCTGTTGTTAGCAGAGCCATGAAATTGGGTCCAGTTATAAGAAAAGTTGTGCCAAGTATAGCAGAAAATTGTGCTAACTATAACCACTATTTCACGGCAAGGATGTGCTAAATGGTTGCACGCGCATGGAGATTTCTATTGTTACCTCACTGATTTAAGCAACTTTCTTTTCTTGCGGTAAGCGTGCCTTTTGCTGTGCTTACTGCTTACGGAAGCTCTGGTAGCAAACTCCCCCTCCAAAATCCACTCCAACATCCACTCCAACATCCACTACAAAATTGATAAAATCCACTATCAGTAGCATATCTAAGTACAGTGTTTACTGGCCTACCGGGCATGTGTGTGTTCAGTAGAAGGTTGATACTCTACCAATGTTGCCATCTTATCCGTCAGTGGGTTGAACACTATGGTAGCTCCGATAGGTTGGCTGCAATGCACTTCTTGCTCGCCGACGTCATCATGGAAGATTATGACGAGGAATAACAACCCCTTTAGAGAAACAAACACAGAAAATTGAACATTCAGCATAGGGGAAAAATGCTCAGCCCATTAAAGGGAAAATACAACATTTGCAAACATCAAAAAATAAAACTACCAAATCATTTTGAAATACCTTGCTGGACTGTTAGTGAATGACAGTGTAAAGCATCCTGTAAAATCATGGCACCTGGTATACTGTCATTTTCAAGAAAAGTGGTATTTTTGTATCAATTTCCAACGCTGATCGGCCGATCAGCGTTGGAAAAAACTGGCTTTTTTTTCAAATACTGGCCCCAGTTGACCATCGCACTTGTTTGCAATCGATTACACACCTATGAACGGGTACAAGCCAGCTAGACTGGTTCCCTGACCTTACAATTCCCCACTATATGTAAACTGCTCTGTTTCTTCTTAAATGGAGTCAGGGAACCAGACTACAGGAAAATGATTGTTTTTCTTGGTTTTTATAGCATTTTCGAACCCAAAACCTCAAAAAAGTCAGTGTAACTATATTTGCTATATATTTCCAACCCCCCAATTCCATCCATTTCTGAAAATTACAGCAAAAGCAAATGATGTATATTCCCTTTAAGCAGTGTTCTACTCTATGGTCTGTGCACAAGGAACCCCCCCCCTCCCAACAGTTGAGGGGGTACTCAGTTGTCCTCAAAGGGAGAGTTGGAGGAGACCACTGGCAGGGACATTCAAATGCATTGCTGATGGCAATGAAGACACTCACATAAAAACGCTACTGGTTTGTGGACATTCAGGATAAAATTGGTTGTGCGTATTTTACGCCATATGCACACAAACCAGAAAAGCAGGTGGTGTCTCCTCCCCTTCTCAAAATTTGTCAGAAAGCACCATCTATTGCTTGTGCACTGAGTCCATACTAAGGCCAAAAAAAAAAGGTCTCCGGTTTCTGGTATGCGCGCGCGTCGCCGTAGCCATGCGTGTCGGCAAAATGAAAAAGTTTTTTTTTCAATGAAAGATGATGTCTCAAAACCGCCAAATTCACTGGTTTGACTGGAATCCTGCTGCTGCACAATTTTAACGTGTTTTTAGATGGGGTTATGATCGAGAATAAGCTTTATGTGGCTTCTCTGGACTCCCATGTATTTGCACTAAGTCTAGTCGGGCACCATTTGCAGTCATCAGCCGACATTTGAGGCAAAAAAATCAGGTAAATAAAAAAAAAAAAGCCGCGTCGCCGCACCACTTTTTGGGCAAGCTCCATACCAGAAACCGGAGACTTATCTTTTTTGGCCTAAGCAAAGGTTGGTATTAAATCCCAATGGAAACTTTTACTCACTGATTCTGCTACTGCTTTCAGGCATGAAGCACGACTCCTGCCGTCAACGGACTTCATTGGGATGTCCTTTATCAGCTCTCCAGTCTTACAATTCCTGAAAACAAAGTGATAATAGATTATTCAATAGATTGCTTTTCAATGTTAGTAGGATTTTCAAACCGGGTCCAATTGTTACAGTCTATTTCAATATCAGAGCATTAGTATTAGAAGTATTTTTTATAAAGCTGTGAAAAAGAGGGTGTTTTGAGGGATCGTTTTTTTGGGGACACCCTGTATATTATTGTTAGTATACTCCAGTTCACTTTAATTTAACTTGGGAGTTTGAGTACGAATGATTTAGTATGAGCAACTCATATCCCATAATGTAGTATCATGCCGAAATATCCTGATATAACTCAGAAGCTTTGGCCAATGCTTCGACTGCATTTGCCAAAAAAATAAGATACTACTTGAAAATCACTGATGTAGATATTGCGGTGTTGAAGAGTTCCCCTCCTTACCAGCAAGAACTGAGCAGAGTGATTACTTACCAAAGCATTAAATCATTGTGTGCTGTTGTAGCCATTAGCATTCCATTTGTGCCTTCTACTTGTAACAGTGAGGTCAGGTATGTGTCCTTTCCAGTCCATAATTTCACTGTTTGCACATTTCTACACAAAAGAAAACAGTAGTAAGGAAAGATCACAAGGAAATTTATGTTTGCCATCACTAATATTCACCAGACTTGAAATGAGTTCACGTCGTGTGAATTTGCTGCGCGCAAACTTGACGTGACTTCACCAATTGGCATTCGCATTGGCATTCCAGTTTGCGCCGAGCATGAACAAGCCCTTTGACCAAGACAGAACATGGGAAAAAAGAGCTGTACAGAGAATCCTTATACCTTAAAACAGTAACTTTCTATAAATTTTATAAAATGGAATACATTTGTAAGGTTCCAAAAATGGTCTTTTCAATGTTATAGTTTTTACCTTGATTCAATGCAAGCATTGACCAGAAACAGTGCACTGCTCGTATCATCTTTGACAGCAACAGCAAATTCCTCCTCGTCAGTTACACAGAGTAGATACTGCACTGGACTCTCACAGGAATGGGACAGGTTCACATCCATCTGTTGCATTTCCTCAGTCACAGTATCATAGTTCAACATCCTAAAAATGAAGGAAAGATTTCCATATATGAAGTTCATTAATTTTCCTCTGTATTGACTAACAAGCCCCCAGATAGCAATTTCATGTCATCAAAGTCAATTGCAGCAGTGAAAATATACAAGCATTTTCTTAGAAAACACTTAGAATTTTTCAGTCCAATCTCATAGGGTTTGTACACAGGGTGTTGAGTGAACTTCGTATATGGAAATCTTTCCAAAATGAATTCCAAATATCAGAGGTATAGTCGAATCCATCACAAGTCCAGTCACAAGTAAATCACAAGTCCATTCACAAGTATAGTAACAAGTAACAGTGGATGAACGACAACAAAGGAATGCCGTTTGTCAAAGCTTATTTGAATAGCTTGTGAGTTTACTTGCAGGGACATTTGATGGACTGAGCTACTTCCTTCCCAAGTACGAAACTTCAGATAAATTGTTAAACCAACAAAGGGCAGAAATGTTAACCAATTGCTGAAATAGGTCAAACACTCACAGATTTGAAATCAACTTTCTCTTCAAGTTTCAGAGTATAATTCAATCAAACACTGGGTGTTTGAGGATTAATCAAAAGTTTGTCCACTAGACTCACCTGACACCACATGTACCAAAGATACCAGCAACCACCAATGACATCACGTCGTGTCTACTGCAAGGCATAAACCTGACACAAAGGAACTCCTCCTCCTAAAACCAAAATAGAAGGGATAAACTACATTAACAACCTGACTTGTTATTTTGACAGAAACATTTACCAGCTTTGTTCCAAGACATTAGTTCACCTGCGTCCACCTTTTGGGTATTCTCTGGCCATCTTGCTAAATTCAACAACAGCCAACAGCTACAGGTAGCACAAACTAGGGCTGTCCATTTTCGAATAATTCAGTATTCGATTACTTGAATGAATATTTGGATATTCAAGACCGTAGGTGGAAATGTGTGCTGCACAGTAAAAAGTTGCACAAAGAGTGTGCCAATTAGAAATGGATATGGGGCGCTTGAGTATTTTGCAATAAGTATTTTATAACTGTAAAAGGGTTTTAACCTGCTAAAAGAATGTGAACAATGAACCGCCGTCAAAAAAAGGTTGAGCCAGTCCGAGCGCATACAGCCTTATATCCCAATTTCATCAGGCTGTTAATAAGCTCATGGTTTTCAACAGAGCCTCTATTCATTTCACAGTGACCATAAGTAAAGCAAAGAACACGCACAGCAACATAAGCCAGCAGACTCTTCCCACTGTTGGATGTTGTTATGGTACAGACAAAAACGTTTACCTCAGGCAAGACCCAAGACTTCAGTATCTGCCACTCCTGTGTGTCTGAGCTGGTCCACCAGATAACCAGCGTATGCTGATGTAGGATGGCAAGGAGACTAACGTCCTGTCCATTCATGTGCATCCAACTACCTGTCACGTCTCGGACTGTGGGTAAGGCCTCCCATGGCAGATCATGCTGAGAATTATGAAAAAAAAAAAACATGTTATGTTTTGTACCACTTGATCGTATAGGCTCTGCCCTAAAAACTATTTAGTTATGGCATATTGCATGGATACTTTAATTTCCAAAAACAATTGCAGCTAAAAGGGAACATGTAATAGGATTTTTATGACTTAAATACATTTAAAACAGCTTTCTTGCCATGTAACTATTACTTTTCACCTCCTTTGTAGCAGTAAAAGGAAGAAATTGCAACATTTTAGTTTTTTATGTTAGAATTTCCATCTTCATGAGCCAAAGCGTGATGTCATTCAAGGCAGAACAGTAGTGTTTCCAAAGCTTTGTGTACAAATATATATCAAACTTTTCTTCACTTTCTTGGAGTAAGTTCCACTTTTTACTTGTTAATCATTTTAAACAGTTTATTTGGACAATGGTAGTGGCCAATATTTCTTCAAAACTTTTTCCGTAGGTAATTTTGAAGGACTAATTTTTGTACTGTTCTTATGCACTTTCGACAAAGAGAAGAAAAAAAAGAGTCTGAAAAATCTCATGCCTGTTTTCAACATAGAAGTTGCAAATATGCAGAAAGCCAAATATCACATCCAAAATATCGACAATAATTATCAAAGCTTCCATGAAAAACTAGAAGAAAGTACTTAAAACTAAAAACAAAAATTCCAGTAGGCCTATTGAAGTAAACGTCAGTTTACACTTTCAATTAACTTGATTCCAAGTGTTTTGAGCATACCTGTAAGCATCCAGCAAGGGCCAGTTCCTGTCTGCTACCTCTCCCACTCTCATCTGACGTCTCGTCGTCCTCCTCACCGGAGATTTGCACTACACACTGAGACATCGACATCGGCTCCTCCGCCCTCCCTGGAGGCGTTCCTGTGGCCACGCCCGCAAAGGGGGATATCTGTTTGATGTTGCCTCTTGGATCGACAGGGACGCGTTGGATTGCATTAGGCGGTGTGACGTTACCATCCACTGCATTCACGTCAACTGTTGAAGGCTCTGCTGCAGGATTTCTGCGAACTGTTTGTAGTCTGCTTGTACTTTTGGAAGTATCATCCTGACAAGAAGGTCCAGGCAAGGTTGGAGAAGCAGATAAAGAAGACTGCCTTACATTTCCACAAGAACTGCATTGATTGTTGACTTTGGAGCTTTGAGGAGGAGAAGTATTAGGCAGATGTGAGCCACAATTTTTTGGGCCAGACAGGGGGGAATTGTTGCATTTTGAAACATCGTCAATGGAAGCAGTTTTTGGCTTAATGTTTACATTTTCTTTGGACATGAGACCTTTGAGCTCATCTTCATTCTGACATCTTCGGGAGCCTGTTTTGTCTCGAGATGAAAGTGGCAGATCTCCAGGCCCAGTCACCTCATGCCCAACGCCTGGACTGCAAGTAGGGGACCATCCCGGGGTGCAGCCAGGATCGGGGAATGCCATGCCACGGTCTTCCTTGTTTTGTGTCGGTGAAAGTTGGCTCTCTAGAACGCCCCTGCCCTGAGGTTTTGCAGTTTGTCTCCCGACAATATCGCTACCTACATTCTTATAACGGCTTGCAGAAGAACCATCTTTGGCAGGATTTGCATTTCTAGAGGTAGCAATTTCCTTACACTGACTCATTCCTGATTGCAAGGCTTCTTTACTTGATGCTGTCATTTTGGAGGGAACAGTTGCTTCATCTTTGCCACTATCCATGGAACCTGGACTTGAAAAGTGGATAGGCGCTTCCATTGTTTCCAAACAATTCAGAGCCTTTGCGAGTGGCAGGGCTGAGCAGGACTCGCTATCTGAATTCTCTTGTTGAATAACTCCCTGGTGGTCAGTCTTCGCAACATCTTTGACCACAGGTACCAAGCAAGTGGACTGACTCTCCACAAGATGGTCTGGTATGCCTTCTAGTTGACCTTTGGAGTCTAAAGTACGTGATGAGATGTCTAAAGATGGGCCACGTTGCAATTTGACCATCTTCAATGCTCCGTAGTCCTCCTCTGGTAGCGCAAATTCAGTTTGAGGTAACTTGACATTTGCAACAGTCAGAAGCAGTTGGCCAGCAGGAAACTCACCAACTGATTTAACCACAGAGTCAGTTTGAATACTTGATTTTGCCTTGGTATCAGTCCACAACACAGACGTCGCACCACGTTTTCTCTGTAGTCTTTGGTTTCTTGAGGTCTTGGTTGGTTTCACGCTACCACTCACGTTTTTGTCAGTGCACTTCTGCGCTGACTGGCCAGGGTAAGCTTTCAACAGCGACTGTGATAACTGGGACTTCATAGAGTCTGAATCAGTCCTGGAAACAGATTCACTAGCTTCTGTCAGAGAATTTACACCTGATGGAAGAGTACCAGTCCCTTGTGACATGGAATCCTTATATGATCCAGAGATTCCAGTTGAAGAACCCTTTCCCTTAGCTCTCATTCTTGGGTCTTTATCCCAGTATCTCTGAGAGTCAGCTACGTCGAGGTTACTCTGACTCTGGGAGCACTGACTGGAAGTCATGCTCCTGGTGCGCCTGACGTAGTACTCCGCTGGATACATCATTCCCTCGATCCACGTGTGACTGCCTTCCTCCGTGCTCTGACACTCCACCACCTCCTTGAAGCTGATGTCGGCGGCAGTCAGCTCACGAGGCACCCTGGAACGCCTCCTGCTGTTCCCATTGGCTCTCCTGGTTCTAACCTTGGAGGAACTTTGACAAGAATTTGGGGACCGTTTCTGTTCATCTTTGGTCTTGCTGTTATCTCCCGAGAGTGATTGGGCATTGGCTGGATGCGATTGGTCACTTGGTCTCATTTTGTTCGGACCCAGAGAAGCAGATTTTGGCAAGTGGATGTCAGATTGAGGACTGTTCAGGTTGCCATTTCCACTTGGAATGACATTCCCTTGAAAACCACCAAGAACTGGTAAATCCCGAGGAGTTGTTGCAGGAGTGCAGTTTCTTTCACTTAAACTTTCGTCTAAGGGTTCTGTGAACTGGGATTCCGGAACAACCAATGTAACTTTCTCATCAAGCCGACTCATGTCTCTAGCCTTGCCATCAGAGAGCACTGACGATGATGATGCCCTGACAACATGTTCATTTTGAGAAATTTCAGCTGCTATTTTCTTGGACTGTTGCTTGTCCTGAACCTCGGAACTTCCAAGATGGCTATCTGTGTCCCCCACCCGAGCGTCAACAATGGGAGTCCTCGTGGATGCATTCTCTTTGGGAATGCTGAAAGAGACACTGCGTCGCTTTCTCTGCATCCGTTTTGTAGCCATTGTGGACTTGGAACCTTCATCCTTGTTGACTGCTACGTTAATAACTCGTTCTTCAGATGCTGTTCCTAAAAATATCAAACAAAATCAATACTTGCATTACTTGTAAAATGAATACAAATTATGAATTGTTGTGAGTGCAATAGTAAGAATAATTTCATGAGGTGACAGATGGAATGTTCCATTCCACGAGGCGAAGCCCGGCGAAATGGAACATTCCATCTGTCACCTCATGAAATCATTCTTTTACTAAGTAGGAGACCATGTCTGTCAAAATCCATCACTCAGTCTGCATTACGTAATGCTTCAGGACCGAATCCGTCGAAAACAACCAAAAACGTTGATGTGCACAAACTGCATTGATACCAATTCTGTCAAAATCCATCGCCAAAGTTCTCGTGGATTCTGATGGACTTGGTACAAGGCTTACAATAATTCCAAGCTGGACCAAATCCATCAGATACCACCAGCAGTGCTTCAGGCCTCCCGGGCCCAAGTCCATCATACGCCATCAAAATTTAGTCAAACTAGCAGGGCCATGTCTGCCATAATTCCAAAAAAAAAATGGATTTGATGGAATTTGTAAGGTTAGGGTTAAAAAAAAGTTATTGCAACTACCTACCAGTTTCTGAAGATGACAATTTTTCAGGTCTTCCAGTTACATCTCCATCACCACAGATTCTTCTACTTAGTCTATGTGTACATGAAGGGGATGCATCATTGCTAATGACATGGCTTTGCTCTGCAATGACTCGCTGCACATGGGATCGAGTTCTCTTGGCCTTCTCAGATTTCTGCAGTAAAAGATGGATCACAAGGGTCACATCACAAGAGATCACAAGGGATCATAAGCCATCTCAAGCCCATCACAAGTCATCAGTGTTGAAGTTGAGTTCCCAACAAGTCCTTTCGTTAGTAAAACACAAGTCCTTTCACAAGTCCAGTCACAAGTAACATGGGTGAACAATAACAAAGGAATGCCTCCGTTACAATTCATTTGAATAGCTTGTTACTTGACTTGTGACTGCGGACGATTTATGAGGACTTGCAATGACTTGTGATGGACTCGACCACTACACTGCAATTCATCCAGCTCCAATTCAACCCATAAGCTATTCAAACGAATGCTGACGAAGGCATTCTTATGTTATTGTTCATCCACTGTTACTTGTGACTAGACTTGTGAATTGACTTGTGATGTACTTGTGATACCAGATTTGTACCTCTAATGACAACACTGAAAAAGTCACCATCATCTCTGACAAAAGTTCCTTTGCGATTTTTCTGTCAAAACCAGATGCCTCTGGCCAAATCTTCAAATGGAAATAAGACCAAAAAATGATGTGGAAGCATTTTGTCATGTTCATCATTTTAAGTTTTTATCCTAAATAATGTAAAATATACTGTAAATGTTCATCACCATCATTCTGCATCTGATGTTCACTCATTTTAGCTGCGGGAAGCAGCTCAACAGATGCTAATGTCTCTCTGTGAGTTGGTTGGTTAGTAACAAACGTCGGCGACAGCCTTGGAATGTATCAAACGCCTCGTCCCTTAGGCCCTTAAGGGGTCTCCACTGACTACCTACCAATTTATGCAGTCCAGGAAAATTGGGTCACTAGGGTCAAAAAGCTGATGTTTGTACTGAAAACACTACTCCTTCCAGAAATTACATGGCGCAATCACGTCAGACATGCATGAACACACATGCATTGGACCGCAGCTTCCGAGATATTTTGAACTTGTGATTTGTATAGATCTCTCTCATAGGACGCCATCTTTGTAAGAAATTTACAACTGCGTATTCCATGCAATCAGGTATGTGTGCGCACAGTGGGCAAAATGTTCTAAACACGCGCACATGTTGCTTGAAATTTTTTTGAAATACAGCGCAGCCAATGCGCGTCACGAAAATGTGACTCCCACAATGCCGATGCACATGGCAATCTGTAAGAAGTGACATCATTTGTGAGAGACCTATATGTCCAAGAAACTGCAATGGCAATTAACTTTCCACCTTTGTGACACATCAATATTAAAATGTTCCTTATTCTTAAGGAAAGTCTGTTTATAAAAATAGTATTGTATCTCTTTTACAATATTTTTCTATACATGCCTTTTCGACCAGCTACCCAGAAGAATCTGGGTCTGCTCACAAAACACTTCACAAATAAACATTTTGCTACATGTTACTTGCTAGTGACATACCTGTACTTTGCGAAGAGTCTGGGCATATGCCTTCTTCATGTTCTCCAACTTTTGCCTCAGCTACGAATAGAAAAAGAAAAATACAATTAATGGAAATGAACACCTTCATGCATAACTAAACAGCTGGGATATTCAACTAATTCAAATTAACCCTAACTCCCTAGCATGATTTACTAGGAACCATACCCATCCTGGCACATTCCAACGCCATATGGGAAACTGCACACACATATTTCTGACTTTGATTCTGGAGGTGTGCCAACCCAATGTAAAAGACTGTCAGTTTAGGGGGACTGTACCCATCCTGACAGATTCCAACAAAACATGCCGTTGGGGTTTGATGGGTTGAGTTCTGTTAGGGTTAAAGATGTGTTAACTGCCTTAACTTAATTTTCAAATGTTTAACCTCCGTTTTTTTAAGCCAAAAGGCCATTTTTAAACACCTCAGGTGCTATGCGCCCCTCGGGTGTTAAAAAGGTCATATCCCACATCACAGCAGTCAACAATTGTTAAAGGATGTAAGTTACCTCAAGTTTGCTATTTGCTGTCGATGAATCGGCCATCTTGAGTTGTGCTGATACAGAGTGATGACAGTCTGTGCCACAACAAATTCTTCAAATTGATTTCACGTCCACCGCACAAGTCGTCGCATTTCTAACAGACTGTAAAATAAACAAATTTCAATCAAGTGGCGCATGCAATTCATGGCAATGTGACCCACAATACAGACATGACATTGACAGATGAAATCATAACCATGACTTTGTCTCGCATGTGTCTCACATTTTTGCACACAGCACCAATGTACAAAAAAATGTGGTTTCTGACACGGCCGCAAATGGCGAATAGCTGCAAATAGTTTGACGTCGGGATTTAATAAGGTGTGACTGGACACTCCAAATGCTGCCCCGCCTACAGTACACCTATCTGAATTCACATATGAGGCCGTACGCTAGAAATCTAGCACAAACTTAAGAAAAGCTTTCGCCGATGATTGAACCAAGGCGCTTGATCGGGTCCCACTGATTTGCATAAAATAGTGGCCGCATGAGGTCGCTGTTCACGCTGTATTTTTACATGCACTGCATAGCTTGCGAGGATCTATGCTGCCGATTGATTACCGCGTGCGCGCACGTATGGACGAATAACGTCAAGCGCCTTGACCAAGGCTAAAATTAACCATGTCAAAGTGCGAGTCGGAAATCTGGCCAAAATTCCTTTTCTAGAGATTTTATCGAAAAGATCTTTGTGCATCAACATGATCAAGAAGCTTACATTTTCCTTTTCAAAATGCACTTCGTCAGAAAAAAAACAGTATTGGAGACCAATTCAAAAGAGGTTGGTTTTTATTTGAAGCGATCCGGAACTAGGTCTAGGGAAAATCCGGTAATCCTTACTTTTAGGACACCTCTATTTTGTACGAGTTCAGTTCAAAACTGACTTTTGCAGATGACTGTCCAGTACCAAAGTGACTTTTGCAGGCTAAAGCAATCTTTTTTCTTCATATAAACTCAAGTTAGTTGTAATTTTGAAAGCACTTTCAAAGAAAATGTGACTTTCCTACCTTCTTTTGCAGTTCGCCATCTTGCTTTTTTAATATATATTTTCTGTTTGTCATTGTCGTCATTAACCCCTCTTTAATCAAAGCCCTGCCCTCTTTCTACAAAATCAAATCTGCTGATATTCAAGAGGTGTCACTGGCAAATGTTCAACAAATGTGCCAAAAAATATCAGAATGTCACTTTTTATTGTCATTTAGTCAGCTGTTTTGGTGAGTCTTTTAACCTTATATAGGAAAGGGGTCCTAAAGGTAAGGATTACCGAAAATCCGTAGGCCTAACTAGAATTTAGAAAAACGACTGTACGGCGACAACCGTTACATGGTTCCAACTTCATGACTTCTCGGGGATAAAGTCGAAAGTTTCCCCCTCTGTTATCGGTCATCAAAAGCGTCAATACCACTCCCATGTATACACAACTCTTGCGTTATAATCTTCAATCCCTTAGAAATTACCTGCCACTTTCGACGCAACACAATTCAAGGAAAATGAGAGCCAGACCAGATCAGTTCAGACCTACCAGTGTGTACCACTCCTAAAAAAGCCGCCATCGTATTAAACTTCTCAATCTAGGTCATACGTCACTGCATGCAGAGACAGCGCCCTCTATTGCTGCTCTGTTGCTTTTATTTGGGGGGGGGGGGGGGGATCGTATACCGCGCACTAAAATAAAGTTTCTGAATTGAAAATCCGCGGAGTTAGGAATATTCCTACCTCCATGGGAAATGAAAAGAAATTAAAGAAACCAACAAAAACACCTGGGACATTAAAAAGAAAATATCAAGAAATTTTCTTGAAAATAAAATAAATTTGCAGTAACCAGGTGTGGAGGGAGGGGGGGGGGGAGGGCCTTTCGAGTCGACTCGAAAACGCTTACAAAAGTAGGCCCATACAATATATACTAATGGATGATTGTTTCACAACTTGTCTTGCCGCCGATCTGCCGATGACTTTATTTACAAAATACATGTAAATCTGAACTAGCATATAGTACTAGCACGACTAGGCCCTTGTCTTGAAATTAAAACTGGACTGTATATTAAAACCAAGAAAATTCCTGGAAATTTTAAGGGCAAAACCCTGCTTGACGGCATGATTTAATTTTCGTAGTCATGGTAGAATTGAGATGGCTGAAACTAATATTTATAGCTGTTGAGTTGCGATGTACATGTTATGATCCTCTGTTTTAGTTTTAGTTTGACTTCCAAAGTTGAATTTAATGTACATGTATAGTTAAATAGATGTTCAAGCGGTTTGTTCTTGCACTTAAAGGGAATATACAACATTTGCAAACATCGAAAAATAAAACTACCAAGTTTTTACGAAATACCTTACTAGTATGTTGGTAAATGACAGTCTCAAGCATCTTGTAAAGTTATGGCACCTGGTGTGAAGTCATTTTCAAGAAAATGGTATTTTTGTAAACATTTCCAACGGTGGTCGGCCGACCAGCGTTGGAAACACCTAACTATTTTTCAGCTACTGCTCCAAATTTACCATTTTTTCAGTCCAAATTTTGTTTGCTATTGGTTACATGTTCATGAATGGGTGCAGGCCAGCTAGACTGGTTCCCTTGCCTTACAATTTTCCATCATCTATAAATTGATCCATATTATCTTTTGTGGAGTCAGGGAACCAGACTACTTGAACTTTTTTGTTTTTCTTGGTTTTTCCAACCTTTTCGAACACAAAACTTCGAAAATGTCAGTGTAACAATATTTGATCTATTATACTAACCTCTCAAATAGTTCATTTCTGAAAATTACAGCAAAAGCCAATGATGTACATTCCCTTTAAACCAAGAAAATTCCTGGAAATTTTAAGGGCAAAAACCCTGCAGGACGGCATGATTTAATTTTCGTAGTCATGGTAGAATTAAAATGGCTGAAACTATTATTTATAGCTGTTGAGTTTGCAATGTACATGTTATGATTCTCTGTTTTAGTTTTAGTTTGACTTCCAAATTTGAATTTAATGTACATGTATAGTTAAATAGATGTTCAAGCGGTTTGTTCTCCTTGCACTTAATACTGATAAACAAAAAATTTCAACTTTTTACAAAATATAATGAAAGAACCAATAGTAAACATAAGAATGCATCATTGAAACAATTTACAGATTACGTCATACACGTTTGTAGATACAATCCTTTTTCCAAAATAAAAGGGAAAAAACATATGCAAATGAGGATACATGGTTCTCAATTTTAGTACGGAGACATTTTATATTAATGAGCAAAAGAATATTTTAAACAAATGAAAGGAAAACCATCCTTAAAATATTAAAAACTTCTACTCAAAACAGTCGGGAGAAAGTGGTCAGGAATCGCTACAGATTACACCACAGAGCATCAGGAATCCCGGCCAAATTCGGATTCTATGCTCTGTGGTGCAATCTGAGGCAATTTCTGATCACCTTTAACCCTAAAAGGGCCGGGGGGGGGGGGCAGAATCTGCCCCCCTCAACCTTTTCCGTGATAACCTTGAATTTTTTTTTTCGCAACCCCAGCTGTTATGACTTTTAGCTTCGAGCCTTGCGCATCTTTTGATACCAAAAACATAAAAATTTTCCAGCGCCATGAAAACTAATTTTTCCCATATACGTCGTGTACACGGAGCAGAATTACCATTTGGACCTATGTATAATTAATTAGCCATAATTCCAAAACCCTTTGACCCATAGTCATGAAATTTCTTTGCTATGTTCATGATGAGTTGCTCTATGCATATATAGAGTTTCATAGGGGGGGGGGGCGTCTGATGGTTAAGTGTTCCTCTGAACTTGTACCATTCAGAAGATGCTAAAAGATTGGACCACTTTGTTAAATGTTAAAGCATTTCTTCTTTCTCATTGCTGCGGTCAGACAATAACAGGTGCGTACAGCAATGACTTGATTGATGGACCTGGTCCAGCTGGCCTTTACGTTCCATGCTGAACAATCTGGTGAGTTGCCTGCAGTAGGAGTGGGATGGAGGTGTTGATGTCCTCATGCCAGTGTCCGTCTGCGATCTCCGAGGATGGGCTCAAGATGGCTGCCGCAACACTGGAATGATTGTCGGAAAATAAAATAAATTGAATGATTGCTAGACGGATAATAAATGAACACCAATAGTTTTTACACTTTCTGGGGATATTTAAAGACACATAGGACCATTTGCATTCATCTGAAAAGTAACCTACTGGATTAGTAACAAAAAGTCTACTTGGATTGAAGATTGTTCTGGTACTAAACACCCCGTGAAATTATTCCGTCTGGCTTGCTGTCATTTAGTAGAAATCAAGAAATGTAGGTGATTTCGAACGATCAGTCAAATGACTGATTTTGGGGATTGGGCCTGCCTTAAGGGATTTACAGTGGGGTGAGTAAAAGATAAACAACAAAATCCTGGTATGAAAAAGACCCTTGCTTTCAAAAAGAAAAACCTCTTCATATAAAACGGATATTTACAACCCAGATTGATAGGACGTCCACATTTTCTAAAGGGCAGTACAAGGGTTTGAGCTCACTGAGCTGTGTGTTCTATGAGCAATACTCACTCTGGTAGCTTGAGTACGTTGATGAGTTCGTTAGCTCTGTCCAGCAGGGCTTTCTTGTGTTCATCCTCGATACAACTCTTCATCTGTTGCTGGGAGACTTTGGTGAGGCACAGCAAGACTCGCGGGATCAGATCCTGGCATCGAGACGCCAGCTTAAATAACAAATTGAACGAAGACATTGACAAACTGGGTAACCAAGGACATAGGGTTGGATAGTTCAGTTTGTAGAGCACCGGCCCGGCAATTCGGAGGTCGCAGGTTAAAACCCCGCTCCAGTCAATTTCTTTGTTCAACTTTAAAATAATACATTAATAGTAATATTCCGGAATGGTTTATTTGAAAAGGAAAATCGTTTCAAAAATAGACTTTGAGGGATAAGAATTCTTTTTTTATCTCTGTGTCCATTTTTCGCCAACTCACAATGGGCTCCATGCGGGAACAAGAAAGGGAATTTTCTGACCACTTTTGAGATCTTTAGTGGGGGGGGGGGGGGGAAAGGGGGAGGAGGAGGGAGAGAACCACACCGCTTGTGCATATAGGTTAGCATGCATATGGCGCAAAATACGCATGACTTATTTTATTCTGTGCACAAAACCATAGCTTCTTCGTGTACACGTCAGCACCCGATTTCACGAAGCGCTGCGACGCGTCGCAACTCGAGTTACGACATGTAACTCGCGACGCGTCGTATCATTCATTTCACGAAAGTTGTGATGTGTTGAACGCGTCGTAAGCTCCTTGACAACGGCTTAAAACACGTCGCAAGTTACGACGTGTCTGGTGGTCATCGCAAAATAAGAAGAGTCTCTTCCTCAGCCAGTTTAATGCCATAAACATTACATAAACGAGATTATAATACCGAGGCAATGTGTGTAAAGTTGTAAATAGAAAATTCATTGAATAATTATGAATTAGACTGGAATATTGCAGTTGAAATTTCAAAGTAGCTACACAGTCCATCCACTGAGAGCTTGTTTTCCATCAAAATTGCATCCCACGGCCGCCATTTTGTTTTACGTTTTAACAAATTTCGAGCTGAGATCCGACGACTCTTTGTTGAATACCAAACGACTATTTGCTGTACGCTGACTAAATACATAGAACAGTCACCGAGTTGTGCTGTAAATACACCTACGATGCGTCGCTCTCACGACGTGTTTTGTGAAATGGATCGCTGGACGCGTCGCAGCTGCGACGCATCGTAGGAATACGACGCGTCGCATCGCTGCGATGCATCGTAAGTTATGAGGAGTTTGATGAAATCGGGTGCAGGCATTGTAAGCAATGCGTTCGAAAGTGTCTCTCCCAGCGGTCTTCCCAAACTCTCCCTTTCTTACCGTTGAGGGGGTAGTTGTGCATGGAGCCCATGGAGCTACAACTTGTGAACACCCATTTCTGCTACTTTTTCTGCTACTTCTCTGATCTCCCAGACTGAAATTGGTCAGCTAACCCGATTGGCTATCTCCAAATCTTGCCCAGAAATTTGTGATACAATAGGAGATAAAATGGAGTGTAACTACGATAACTGTAGTCCCATTGTCTCTTTAGCATACCTTTGCAAGGGCCGTCATGCAGACTGTCAGCAATCTAGCGGAGTATGGAATATGACCAGCACTGGACGACTGAACCAACACTGACACTTCGTACAGAAGGGTCTCAAGAGCCTAAATCAAAAGAGGGAAAGTGAACAACCTAGTGAAGCAACACACCACCGGAATCTAATCCTTTCAAAAGAACATCTGCAACTTCACTTTTTAATCTTAGCAGTATACTTTATTAGCAAGGTGCTTAAAATCAACAAACCTCGTAAAATTTAATGATGACCTCCGTATTGCACCTGCTGTCATAGGTAGTTGATGTGTAGTCACCGATGATCCATACCTGAGGTAATATTAAATTCAATAATGCAATTTTAAAAAGTCACTACAAACTTTACATCCATGTTGCAGTAAATATTGTGGCAAATATTGCAGTAAAATAATATTGAGGTAGCTTTAAACTTTTTTTAAAGGTTTTTGATAGACAATGCTTGCTACGCATGAAACTTATTAAACCACTACACATAAACAGATTAAAAAGTCCTGCTCATTGTTGTACTTACTGCTTAATAATTACAGCGTCTTTGACAGACAGCGTTGTGTGGCACCAAGCAAATTGCCTCATAATTATATGCAACTTTTACATGCGTAAAATAACTGAGTGCAGAAAAGCTTTGCTTGGCCGAAACAGGTCACCATCCAAAATGTCATGTGACATTTTTCATCGGTTTTCATCTGATTTTCGCAAGAAAAAGTGAACATGCTAAACGATATATTCTACTTGGCAGCCAAATTTCATGCAACTTCTAAGCACAGATATTTGCTAAGCACAGGTATTTGCTAAGCACAGAGCTTACTTGCTTAGCAAAAATAGGTTACCAGCCAAAACAACATGCAATGTATATTGCATGGCTGGTACCCTGCTGATTCTTGCTTATCACATAATTCTGCTTAGCAGCTGAAGTGTCGGGGACAGCATGTCAATATTTACCATGTGAGTGAAGAAATCCTCCTTGCCGTGGATGTTGCGGAGTGTGGCGATGTAGTCTAGGAGCTCCGATCTCAGGTCCATGATGAGAGATGGGCACTGCTTGAACACAGCCAAGACTTCATCTGCTAACACCCTAGCAGTCATAAATACAATAATATGATCGATTCAGAACCCTAAGCCCCTAAGGTGTTTTGGCTAGAAACCCTGCTAAATGCAGCAACATGCAACACTTGTCAAAATGACAAGCCTCCTCAGTGTAGCAAGATCCATCAGGTCAAAAATCTGTAAAATGCCCTAGGGCGTTTTCGAATCCCTGTTCTTGACAACACGTGTGTAACACAAGAACGTGTTCTCGAGCTGGTTGTTACGAACGCGCAGGTGCATGTCGCATCGATATATGCAAAATGCAAAATGGCCGACAATCGTCTGAATTTGTACTTAAGCCTATTCCAAATGAACGAGGAATACTCTGAAGATGAATGTGAAACAGACCAAAATTGCAGACCTGCACTATAATGGTATTCTTATTCCAATCATTAGGGTATATTAGCAAAAAAAATCACACAAAACAACTTTCGAATCTGCACAGTCTGCCATTTTGTTCAAGCTGCACCTCGCCGAACCCTCCATCAACAGGGGAGAGAAAAAATCTAAATGCAGCAACATGCAACACTTGTCAAAATGACAAGCCTCCTCAGTGTAGCAAGATCCATCAGGTCAAAAATCTGTAAAATGCCCTAGGGCGTTTTCGAATCCCTGTTCTTGACAACACGTGTGTAACACAAGAACGTGTTCTCGAGCTGGTTGTTACGAACGCGCAGGTGCATGTCGCATCGATATATGCAAAATGCAAAATGGCCGACAATCGTCTGAATTTGTACTTAAGCCTATTCCAAATGAACGAGGAATACTCTGAAGATGAATGTGAAACAGACCAAAATTGCAGACCTGCACTATAATGGTATTCTTATTCCAATCATTAGGGTATATTAGCAAAAAAAATCACACAAAACAACTTTCGAATCTGCACAGTCTGCCATTTTGTTCAAGCTGCACCTCGCCGAACCCTCCATCAACAGGGGAGAGAAAAAATCGATCCGTGAACGCCCTCTCGGGTCCGTTCGTCACATTCGAGACCGCTGTTCTCGTGTCGGGTTAACCCGAGTGTTGTCAAGAACAGGGATTCGAAAATGCCCTTTGAGTCTGTGGACAGCAACTGCATGACACAACTGTGGCATTGTTCAACGGGGCTGTCTCAGGAAACACTTAAGTAAATTACAAAGTGACAAATCAAAGAAAATGGGCAATTAAAAATACAGACGACCTTCCCCTGGCGTAAAAAAAAAATCCTGATTTACCAAGAGTGCATCATTGTACAAAGTTGACATTAATTTAGTAAACAATGTCAAACTCAAATGAATGGATTTGGGGGTTTGTATTTTATAGCTCATGTTGAAAGGGAGCATTTAAAGACGGTGAATTGTCAGGTCAGGGAACCAGACTAGCTAGCTTGCACCCACGGATGTGTATCCAATTGCAAGCAAAATGTGGACTAACTAAATTTGGTAAATTGGGGGCAGTATTTAAAAATAGTCTGGTTTTTTTTTTGCAACCGACCATCGTCGGAACTAGATACAAAAATTCCACTTTTCTTGAAAATGACAGCACACCAGGTGCCATGATTTCACAGGATGCTATTATTCACTTAGTCAAGTAAGGTGTTTCATTATATTTTGGTAGTTTTCATTTTTTTTTTGATGTTTGCAAATGTTGTATATCACCTTTAAACTTTGAAAAATTGACTCCTGGTGTATTACATGTATATGGCAATAAAGTAAACTGATTACAGTCAATCATTCATTAAATTGTGTTTAGCAAATCTGAACCATATCTGCTTACTTTCTAACTTCCTGAGTGAATGATGGAATGTTGAACAGCAGACCTGCGCGTTCCATTATGACTGGGACGAGCTGGCACAGTAGACCGCTGTCAGCATGGGCAAAAATGGTCTGGAAGTACAGTCTGTGAATTACACAAAGTAAACGATTGGTTAAGGATGTTGTTTTTAAAAGCAGATTGATTATTAGTCATTTGGGCAAAATCATTTTGTAATTTGCGATCTTGAGCTGATACAGTTATACTCGGACAAAGGGAAATATGCTTATCTCTTTTCTTACAACGAAATACAAACTGGCCATTCCATATTGTCTTGATGACTATTATTTGTACGGTTATATTTAATGCAATACAACTTCAGAAAACATTCCAAAACTTTTCTCCCGATTCGGGGATTTTACACACACAAAATTCAAGTGCATGTACAAAGCACACAAACTTACCTGAGGAGGACTGGGACAGCCTGAGAGACTGGCACAACTCTAGGGTAGGCGGAAGTGTCGGACAGCAGCTTGTGCAGGAAACCAAGTCTGGAAAAGTCAATTCATAAAAAAACTGAATTAAGGCTGTGTCCATATTACTTTGCAATGGCTTTCACTTCCAGACGCGTCTATGGAAACAGCCTGAGCCACCTCCCATGTAAATCCATAAAAAATAATGAAGTAAATGCCATATCCGAAGAAGCCATTTGCAAATTAAATTCTAGTAACATCTGGTACCCCGACTTGCTTGAATGCTTGGCACATTTTAATTTTGAATTCTCCAGACCAAAGAGACTAGCTGTTGCTATATCACGTGATTCGGGGCAAGCCTTACGCTAGCAACCCCCAGCTCTGGTATGGTCTGGTGTCTTTGTGCCATTCTCACCCATTGTGAACAATGAATCATGTGATATAGCAATCATGTGATATAGAAACAGTGTCTTTGGTCTGGAGAATTCAAAGTTAATACGTGCCAAGCATTATGAACAAGTCAGTGTACCAGATGTTATTCGAATTTAACTCGCGAAGGGTATAGGTTATTTGCAAATAGCTTATTACTTGGTTACGACTGCCACTTTCACATGTGCCGATGGAAACAGCTGAAGTTACTTTCCATAGACATATGTGTTACTACCCACTGTAGTCAAGTTATTCAGACATGGTCTTTAGCAAGGTAATAAATATATATTTGGCCAGTTTTAAAGGGGTACCGGTATATTTAAAACAGGCTAGGGGCCTGGACGCAGATTATGGCCCAAACCGAAGGCGAGGGACATTTTCGGCATCCAGGCCCCTAGTGCGGTTTTAAACGTACTTTTTTAATACCAGCCAAGCACATATTTATTCCCATCCATTAATACCTTTCGGTCCAAAAGTCGAAATACGTAAAAAAAAATCACTAATGTTGAACGATTTTGTTCCACAATTTTATTTCATATTTGTGAAAAACCCCTTTGGTCATGACTATGGTACGAGCCTCACACGCTAAGTGCTAAAAATCTCTTTATATGGAAATTGGTGCACATGCGGAGCATATTGAACGATGTGTTGCAGATCGCAGCGGTGATTTACCTGCGGTTTAAAATTAGCCGTGGGATGGGCTCTCGACCAATAGGAATTGGTAAACTGTTTCAGGTGTTTATGAATTCATATTTTATGGATGTACATCTGCAGAGGCTTCAACTGCTTCCATAGGCATGTATGCAACTCTACACTACATTTCAGGTACAAATACAGACTACAAAGTTAGTAGCTCACAAACAACATTATTAGACTTGAAGCAGTTTTAGAAGACCAGTGGCTAAGACAAGATGGTTGAATAGGTTAGTCAATAACTAACATTCTTGCATGGTATTGCGATTGGTGAATGAGATTGCATGGATCTGCTCAGCTCAGCAATTCGTTAAGCACATAAACTTTTTGCTTAAGAGAAACTGAGTACCAGCCAAATTTGATGTGAAGTATGTTGCTCGCCACTGGTACACAGTTCATTTCTGCTTAGCATGCAAATGTGCTAAGCAATTCCTGCTTACTGGCTCCATGAACTTTGGCCCTGCAGTCTGGTTACTTGAAAAATTCCTGCTCTGCAGAAAACATTGCTTACTTGCTGATGGTGTCCCCCTGTCCACTCCGTCCCCTCAGGATGAAGTTGAACCAGGGTTTGTGCTCGGGATTCTTGTAAGCCTCCACGGTGGGCGGTAAGCGGAAAGTGGGCTCCGGGATCAGGTAGTTGTCCGGGGTCTGGTTGCCAGGGCGACTGACTTGCTGGCTGACCTCCAGGGCCATGACCTCGCAAGGAAGGTCAAGCAACGTGTGCAACATCTAATTAAAAAAAAAGCTGGGAATTACTTTAAAGGGAAAATACAACATTGCAAACATCAAAAAATAAAACTACCAAATCATTTTGAAATACCTTGCTGGACTGTTAGTGAATGACAGTGTAAAGCATCCTGTAAAATTATGGCACCTGGTATACTGTCATTTTCAAGAAAAGTGGTATTTTTGTATCAATTTCCAACGCTGGTCGGCCGAACAGCGTTGGAAAAAACTGGCTTTTTTTTCAAATACTGGCCCCAATTGACCATCGCACTTGTTTGCAATCGATTACACACCTATGAACGGGTACACGCCAGCTAGACTGGTTCCCTGACCTTACAATTCCCCAATGTATGTAAACTGCTCTGTTTCTTCTTATATGGAGTCAGGGAACCAGACTACAGGCAACTTCACACTTCATTGACTTCGCCTTTTGCTACCTAAGTATTCACTTTCTTAGAGTTTAGGCACTCTCCTGAAGACGGTCAGAGCATACTGACCGGAACGTCGAGTTTATACCTCTGGTTCTTTTCAGAACCATTCTCTTAGTTGAGAAATTATTCGCACATGGTGTTTCCGCAAACCTTTCATTATTCATTATTTAGGAAAATGATTGTTTTTCTTGGTTTTTATAGCATTTTCGAACCCAAAACCTCAAAAAAGTCAGCGTAACTATATTTGCTATATATTTCCAACCCCCCAATTCCATCCATTTCTGAAAATTACAGCAAAAGCAAATGATGTATATTCCCTTTAACCAATTCACACCGGAATTATTTTGACAAAAACGGAGGGAGGCTCGGGATTTAATACTTTTCAGTCAACCTCAAGCCAGGTGGGTTGAAGCCATCACCCTTGGCCAGCACACACATATTTCCGGCCTCGCTCGCTGCGAGCGGGTCGCTGACAGATATTTTCGGCCTCGCTCCCTGTGTGTTCATCTGTCATCCGTTCCAAATACCGCAAAATATTTTGATTTCGCAGTTTTCATTGCCTCTACAACATGATTTTATTCATAGTGACGATGCTACTCACTTCAACTGCTGTTGAGGGCGAGATCATCGCAGGTAGAATGTCCAGATATTCTGTCAGGAATGTGCGGGGATTCCAAGCTAAGATCTGAAGAAGAAAAAAGACTCAAAAATGTTAATTTATTTATTTATTTATTTCGTGTTATTTTACCAGGGTAGCCCCATCAGTTTTCAATGAACTGTTCTCCCTGGGGGCCCTGGATTACATAAAAACATGATATAACAACGACAAAAATTACCAAAACACAATAAAAGACATAATGAATATATTACTAAAAATAACCCAAGGAATTAAAACCACACAAAATTAAAACCCTTAATTACAACAGACGATGTATAACCCAAGCAATTAAAACCACACAAAATTAAAACCCTAGATTAAAACAGACGATGTATAAATAAACAGATTTAAAATGGAACATTAATTCACAATTAAAAATTCCATTATCTAAAGTAAATAGTATACAAATATTGACTGCTTCGTGTGGTGTAGTAAAACTAGCCTCCCGAGGTGATCCATGAAGCATTCTATTTTTCTCGAGGCAAAGCCGAGGGGAAAAAACATGCTCTTTGGATCACCGAGGGAGGCTAGTTTTACTACACCATGAGATAAAGCAGTCAATAATTGTTTCATAACACCTCTCCCACAGATTCTGCTTGATTTTAGGCGATAACTGATTAATTTAATCTGAATACAATTAAAAGTCGGTCTCTGGTCAGCGCGCGCGTCGATTTTAATCATGCGCGTCGATCTTTTTTTTTCCAAAATGTTCCGCGGTAGCTCCAACAGCGCCCTCTATTTCCGCACCTCCTCAATTTTTTGTTACCAAAGAGCACCAAGGAATGGGAAATTGCACCAAGGCAAATGATCGACAGCACCAAGGCAAATTATCGGGGACACCAATGTACATGAGGACACCAAAAAAGCAAAATAGTACCCACCTTGTCTGTACAATCCAAGAATGAAGAAAAAAAAAAAAAAAAAAAAAAAAAAGAAGCCGCGTGGCCGCGTCAATTCCGGAACTTTGGTTTGACCAGAGACCGAATATATATATTTTTTTTGGCCTTACCTTCAGCAAGTTGGGGAAGAATTTCTCAAGTATGTCAGTTTCCATGCAGAGTTTCTGTAGATTGTCCCTGCAGAACATGATGGTGTCAAACGCGACAGCCGGGTCGTTGTAGTGACTGGACAGGACCTCTCCAAAGAAATGCTCATAGGCAGGGATGGGCTCGTAAACAACCATCTCACCTGATTGAAATGAAATGTTTGCCCCAATGCCTTGTTAATTACTGTTGTCTACTTTTGTTTTAAAGTTATAGTCCATCATTTGTAATTTGTGCATTTTGTTCGTTTGAAGCAACAAAAGTGCTCAAAATCTAAAGAAGGGGGCTGAACAACTAACCTGATAAAGTTTCAGCTCAGCTTCAGCTGTATATTTGGAGAAAAACATCATGCTAGGATCTCGATTTCAAACCAAAAGTTGATGAATCACGTTTTGAATTGCGCCTGAATTCAGCGTCCGAGACACGTTCTCGCTGAGCCGAATGCAGCAACGCTATGTCGCGCACTGATCCGACGAATTATAGCAACTGGGGGTGCGTGTGCGTCGTGCCAATGTTTGCACGCGCTTCGCCGAATAACAAACGAACTACTAATTTAAATTTTCCTACGGTGCGTCTTAAGAAGCACTGTTGGAAAGGCCTTCTTTCGTTGATTATTTCAAAATGACAGCTTGCCAGAAAGAATAATTTGGCAGGGAGTTTTAGTCCTCTTACTATCTTTCAACCAAGTATGTTTTTCAACAATAATTAGCCAGCTACTTTTTGGATAGCTGCAAATGATGGACTCGGGCTATAAGGCAACATAAGCATTAAAAGTGGATGCATTTACGCTTTAAAAAGGGAGAGAAAGTATTGCCTCTTCTGTTAAACCTTCTTTTTTTTAAATTAGAAGTTATCACAGTTTTGGAAATGTTCAATTTTGCGGGTTCTAAGAAATTTCACGAATCGTCCAACCCCAAACCTACCAAATCTAATTTTGTTCAAATCACGTTTGATCTGGCTTACTGTGGTGAAAGAAGAACTGCAGCAGAACCAGCAGGACCCGGGGCTGGCTGTTGTCCTCACTCAGGCGGTTGTAAACGCCTTTGATGGCCGGGAAGATCTTGGCAACTAGGAAAGAGTTCAAGCTGCACAGGACATCCAGTGTGGATACTGCTTCCATCAGACACTGAAGAAATAGAAATCAGATGACATGAAGTTTATCAACAGTCAACGGTAAGCCTCTTAGATTCACATGGTTTGGGAGGATTTCGCAGAAACAAAAATTGATAGAACTATCTTTAAAGGGAATATACATCATTTGCTTTTGCTGTAATTTTCAGAAATGGATGGAATTGGGGGGTTGAAAATATATAGCAAATATAGTTACACTGACTTTTTTGAGGTTTTGGGTTCGAAAATGCTATAAAAACCAAGAAAAACAATCATTTTCCTGTAGTCTGGTTCCCTGACTCCATATAAGAAGAAACAAAGCAGTTTACATACATTGGGGAATTGTAAGGTCAGGGAACCAGTCTAGCTGGCTTGTACCCGTTCATAGGTGTGTAATCGATTGCAAACAAGTGCGATGGTCAGTTGGGGCCGATATTTGAAAAAAAAGCCATTTTTTTCCAACGCTGATCGGCCGACCAGCGTTGGAAATTGATACAAAAATACTACTTTTCTTGAAAATGACAGTATACCAGGTGCCATGATTTTACAGGATGCTTTACACTGTTATTCACTAACAGTCCAGCAAGGTATTTCAAAATGATTTGGTAGTTTTATTTTTTGATGTTTGCAAATGTTGTATTTTCCCTTTAAATAAAGAAGTTAGTCTTCTCTCTTTAAAGAGCTGTTAATAACTTCTCATTTCGGTCATTATGCTCTGACCATCACCAAAAGAGACCACTGTTTATTATTCCAATGCATATCACTGTATATTTATTTTGATTGGATTTTTTTAGGTACTGAAGTCTCACAACATTATACAAAGAGTCTAACCTCATGATGGCATTAACAAAAAAAAGGGACTTTACTTACAGCTTGAATCATTTCTTGATCTTGAAACTTCAAGGGTTCTGAAGCAAAAAAAAGCAATGTCAAATGGGGAAAAGATCAGCAATGTAAACCTTTCTCCGTCAATTTTGTTTTTAGTTGTATAAAAGTGTAAGGTCAGACTTATGAATCTCATCCGTAGAAAGATTTCTTGACTAGACGAAAAAAATACTAAACAATTTCTTTAAATGGGCGTATGAACTTGTTAACAATTATGCAAACAGGCAGTCCAGTAAAATGGTTCAAGTAATTGTCCATTGCTTTGAATCTTACTTCTCTCGCACTGATCGATGACCCTCAGACAGTACTCGCAGGCCTTCTCAACCAGGACCTGCCTGGCTTTGGTGGCAAAGCTCCCGGACGACATAAGAAACGAGGGAGGGTCTGAGGTCACCCCGGCTGAGCTGGGGTTGGCGCTAGAGGGCGTGGTGGCATCTGAGAAGTGGGCGCTCAGGAGCCACTGGCGGAGGCAAGAGAAGCTGTGGAGGTTGAGGAGTTGGTCCTGGGAGTAGTAGTGGCTCAGGTTGAGGAGGGTGAAGAAGTCTTGGCAGGTGGTACCATCTATCTCTGTCACCTGTTGGCAATCCAATCAGATTCGAGATTTGATTTTGATTTGAGATTTGATGAAATGAGATTTGATTTGATTTTGATTTGAGATTTGATTTTGATTTGAGATTTAATTTTGATTTGAGATTTGATTTTGATTTGAGATTTGATTTTGATTTGAGATTTGATTTTGATTTGAGATTTGATTTTTATTTGAGGCTTGATTTCATTTATTTACAAACATCATAATTTTTTTCAAACTGTGGAGGTTGAAGAAATCTGAATGATTCCAGGCTTAAATTCCATTTTCAACATTTTTGAGATAAAATCCCTCCTACCAAAATCTATCAAAAACTCAAAATGTACTCAAAGGCTTTGCAGCATTTTAAAAAATACAGCCTCCTAATTTCAGTGCTCTGTTTTCAGCAAGCAAAAATCGTCATTAACAACAGCAGCAAGTTATGTGCTAAAAGGTCAGTGTATTTCCAATAAGAGCAAGAAATGCATACATTCCATAACTATTAAGGAGTCTTTGTAGACATGGTAATCTGAGAATTTCTGTACAAACACAGAAAGGTGATTATTAACTGCATAGTTTTGTGGTTAGTAGAGCATTGAACTTTGGCCCAGAACTGTTGAACACTGTATTAGAAGGGTTCCTAGCAAAACAAAGTTGATGTAGTTGGGGTCGATGGACACTCATTACCTGGTCTGCTTTCTTGGACTTGAGTCTTGCGTTTGGGTTGGGCGCCTGCACCAGGCTGGCCTGACTCAACCAATCACTGATCTGGGAACTCACTACGTAAATTTGTTCTGCCAAACAACATTAATAAATAAACCAAGATAATAATTTTACTTCAGAACATATTTGGTGATTGTTTTATGCATGGTACTCACATATTTAATTTTTTGAGTATGAAATTTTTGAGTACCGGTATGAAGTAAAAGAAAAAATGGAAATTAGCAGATTGAAGGAAAAACTGAACACATTCAAAATGGACAATATTGGTGAAAGCTTAAGAGCTTCCGGCTGCTTTCATAAAGAAACAACCAGGGGTTGCACATGACATTTTCCATGAGGTCGATTTTCCATTGCATTTTCCATTGCAGAATTTCTACAAGTGACTCACTCTTGTACATCCTTCATACGACAAAAAAGTACATGGATAAGTGAAGTAAAAGCAACTACACACATAGGACATTTATTTCTAACTAGTTGATGGCAAATGCAGTGTAATCATGAATGAAGACTGACCTCCGGACAGAAGAGGTCTGTGCAGTGTTGCCACGGTAACCAGGCATCCCAGCGCCCTGGCCTGGATCTCCCCATCAAAGCCCACAGTGGACACCCAGCGAACCATCTGGGAGACTAGTTTGTCCATGTTCCCTGCCATCTGGCCCTGTAACATGGACAAAAAATTGTTGCGTACATGACTGACATCAGACTAAAACTATGCGAGAGACAAGAGTTAAAACGTCCCGTGAGTTTGTAAACTTACATCCTGTCTCAACCCAGTGCGTTTGGATTGGCCCTGAAACATGGACAAAAAATTGTTGCGTACATGACTGACATCAGACTAAAACTATGCGAGAGACAAGAGTTAAAACGTCCCGTGAGTTTGTAAACTTACATCCTGTCTCAACCCAGTGCGTTTGGATTGGGCGCCTGGACCGAAGGGGGGGGGGGGGCCCCTCGGGGGGCTTGAGCCCCCCCCCCCCTCCAAGAGGTTGTCAATTTTTTTTTTTGGGGGGGGGGGTAATTTTCTTTTTAGTTCCACGATTTTCCCTTGGTGATATGTATGTGGCCTATTTTCGAGTAGTTTAATAGGGGTGTAAGTGGCGCCACCAACGTCAAAATAGTCCCCCCCTCCCCCACAACAACAAAAAAATCCCAATTTTTTTCTGCGGCAAAAAAATTTGGGCACAATTGTTTGAAAATGTTTTAATTTCTAAAAAATTTGAAGAAAAAAAATGGTGAGCCCCCCCCCCCAAAGCCTAATCCTGGGTGCACCACTGTCTCAACCCCTTAAGATCTTTGACATTTTCCAAAGTTTATTTTTTTGTGGCCCTCAAGGAGTCAAAGATCAAACTTTAGTTTACTGGATCTTACGTCAAATTTTGCATTTTTATTGCAAAAACAGATAATCTCTTGTGTTATGAGTCTTAAGTTAAAATTAAATTATCTTTGTCTGATATTCTTTAGAATTATTGTGGCAAATCGGGGGTCAAAAATTCAGCGATCTGTATCTGACAAACCCCACAACTCCATGGGATAACAGTTGATCGTACCTGACTCATTACTACCGGCAAGATGTACGGAACCTTCTTCAAGTCCACGGGAGGGTTAAAACTGTCAATGACCAGCTGATCACTCGGGGCATACTCTTGAAGTATGGCGCTGCATAACATATGACCTTTGACCCCCGTTGATGCACCATGGTCCTTCTCTGTCAGCGTGCATTTCAGTGTGTCAATGAGCTCTTGTGACAACCTTCACAGAGAACGAATGGGATAATTAAAAATGAATGTATTTTCTAATCTTTGTGATACCTTACTGATCTACTGTTCATGCTATAATTTTCGAGTTTCAACCCCAAAAATAGATTTGGTTCTCAAACTAGGGGGAGTCAGGTTGGCATAGCGGTACTTTCCTCGCCTTCCACTGCTGTGACCCGGGTTCGAATCCCGCCTGGGTCATTATGTGGATTGGGTTTTCAGTCCCTACCTGATTCCGTGGGTTTTCCTCAGAATACTCTTCTGGGCTTTTTCTCCCACCTCTAAAACTGTAATTTCTTTACATTGTCTCCTCTTTACTGGGCCCCATGGGAGATCAGTGGATTCCACTGAATGGGCTACCCAGTTAAAATAAGAAATAAATAAAGAAAGAAATAAACTGCTATTTTGTTTGTTTTTTGGAAAAACAAAAGTTATTCATGAGATTCATAGTATCACATATTAAACAGAAACGAATAGGTCAACGTTTAAATGTGGAATAATTATATTAAAAATGTTCAAATCTTGAATTATTCTAAGCCCATCAATAATTCAGTTCTCGCAGGGTAGACTGGTCCCCCCCCCCCTATCAGAATCAATAATGTAGGCACCGGGAACCAGTCTTGCAACGATTCTTACAAGTTGACACTTACTGTCAATATAATCTCACCTTCTCCGATACTTGGTGCAAGACAGATACAGGAAAAGCTTTCTCAGCTCAGACAGACAGTCGCTGCGGTCCCTCTCAGATGGCTGGGCAGCAGTCAACAAGCGAAGGACGCTTTCGTAAAGAGCGTTCAGTTCATCTTGGGTTTTGTTCCTGTAGATGTGGTCAGAAAGTTTGAATTACTTGACATAGCAAACAAGGTACATTTCAATTCCAATGACAAAACAATTCTTAATGGCCTTCTCAGCCCAAGCAGAAAATTAACATTTGGCTAGATGAGGTCTTTTATTTTACAGATAGAGTGGTTTTTTTTTTTTATTAGGCAAAATAAAAAAAAAAACATGTTTAGCGTCCTGCCTCTTTGACAAAAAGGAAGGAGGAGGCCCTTTTTTTTTTTTTTTTTCTTTTCAAAATGGCCGCCCGACACATTTTTCAAGACAACGCGGCCGGGCTATTTTTCAAGATGGTTACCAGCTTTTTTCAAAATGGCCGCCACTTGGACTCATTGACTATTTCCACAGCTTTATACACGGTATAAAAGTCTAAAAATACGATTTCTTTTGTCAGAGATCGTTAAAATTTATCAATTTTTGTCTTTAAAAAAAAAAAAAAAAAAAAAAAAAAAAAGGAGGCGGCCTCTAAAAAGGAAGCGGGCGGGGACGCTAAACATGTTTTTTTTTTTACTTCGCCTTACAGTACTTTGGAAAGTCTGTGGTAGGCTATGAAGTAATGGATGTGGTATTTTGTGGTACTTTGATGATTGTGTACTAATTCTATGGGCAGACTTGTGGACAAGCCATTAGACAGTCGTGGTTTGTCTGTCTGGGCCCCTGATATTAATAGTATGGCGCTCTGTGTATCGTGTTTTCTAGATTCGAAGTACACGTATTTTGGGGCCGAGGATGCAGGAAGCATTCGCACACATGCTATACCCGCACACTGCACGCTACCTGGGACATCAACTGTGTGCAGCGTAGACGCCGGTGGTGGTATGCGGTGGTGCCGGCGAACTAAACCTGGCCAATTACAATTGATTTCAAGTCAATTCTAAGGAGAGCTGTGGGTACTTTTATACGAAATTGAAATGCTTCTCAGTCCCAATTTTCAGTATTTTTTAAAACTTATTTGCAATAACTGACTGAAAATGGGGATATAGGCCTATATATTTAAAATGTGATGTTAAGATACTGCATTCTGCAATTCTGCCCATTCGTCTTTTAGCAAAATATTTTTACAAAATGTGTAATAAAATTTAAAATAGAATTTGGGCATATTAAGGCCAAGTAAAAAATACACCAGTTTCTCATTCCTATCCACTTTCTTTTTTCGACCCGCCTCCTTTTTTTTCTTAATTCTTACATTTGCAATATATTTTGCAAATATGTATTGTCAATGTAGGCAAATTGATTTATTTGTTTCCAACAAACAAAACTCTAGCTAGCCTATGTAGAAAGGTGACAGTTCCTTGGACACAATTTTGTATCAGCAAAAGAGTCGAGAAAATAGAAGAATCTAGGAAAAAAATTTGCAACCTGAGGCCACTTCAGCGGTTGTGTACAAAGTCTATGGAGAGTCAACAAAATATTTCCTAACACTACACTTTAACACAATTGGAAATGTTTCTCAGTCTCAGATTCATGTCTTATCATCATTTTTGCAATGACCGACCTTCATTGAGATGATATATGAAGAAAAAAGTGGCGTCAGATTGCAACATTTTCCCCGTAAAATGTTTTTGTTTGCAATTGCAAGTCATTGTGCATTGTACAGTCGTTTGACCGGTTCCGCAATCGCAAATCGTCTGAAGCGTCTTGCGGCGAAAAAACGCGCTTTCACAGGAAGCTACCTATCTATAAATATACGCAAATTACTCACCTACTTCATGATATGAATAGTTTTCTGCGATCGTTTGAAAGAGAAATTTGCCAGGACATTTTGTAGAGGTCGGTGCTTTGACCGGTTTCGCAAAAGTTTTCCGGTTTCGCAAACGGCGCCCTCTGTGAGCCTGGACTGAAAATATTCCTTGTTTACTGGCCAAATCTAGATCGTTTTTGCTCCCAAACCAGCCAAGAAAAGATGTGGATTATATTTCCCTGTACATGAGCCAAGGTCTGCACATTATAATGTAACTCCATGAAGTTGTTATGGTTTGTTGGATCTTTTTCTACGTTATCAGGTTATAATTATTTGACTTGCTTCAATCTGTAGCCTAACTTCTTCTCATTGTCTTCTCTCCACAGGTTTCTTCAGGCTTGCGAGCTACAGTGCATTGGGGCGAATAATTATTATCTATATGGGGCGAGTTGACAATTCGGTCACTGTGGCGGGCACTTCAGTGAATAAACCGCCGCATAAGACATTTGTATTCAACATAAAGATGGTACAATTACACAAGCCTACTCGGAAGAAATGCGATCTCATTCAAGTGTAATTTTAATTGCCGAATTAGTTAGTAATCAATTACAAATATGCATTTTTACCTTGTCCTTTTCAGACATATTTCTATGGGGGCTGACATTTTTAAATTATATATTATAGAATACAAATATAGAATTCAAGTGATTTTTTTGTATCTATAAAGTAATATAAATTGAAATAAATTTAAAACATTTTAATACAATTAATTTGTTAATTTTTGTGGGCAAAAATTGGAGATATTTTATGTTTTATGTATAAGGTAATAAAATATATTGTATGTAGCCTCGGCCCTGGAAAATCTGGTTCCCGTCTCTTCTGTGATGAAAATGCCGTTTTGTATCAGTATCATAATTTGTGCTGTTAACCAGACTAACAAGGCTACCCTAGCAACAAATATAACGACTTGTACAGTTGGAGTTTTGTGCGAATGGAAATCTTTGGTTAGGCTTTTTGTGAGTAATCTGGGATTTATATGCTATTATATTTAAGACTATCATTACAACTATGATTCAAAGAATATCTGAAGTATTAATTTATACAGTTTAATGACCAACTTCAATGTTTTATTGAGCCCCTTTCTCTGCTCTGCGCACGGCCACGGGTGTAACTGCAACGGCCCTAAAAAAAATTATAGTTTCTACTGCAATAAGGATGTACGTTATGAATAAAGAAAACTTTAAAAAATAAAAATATTTAAAATTAATAATCTGTAGTCTAAAATGCTAGATTCGATCCCGGGAGTACCTTCTGCATGGTAGGGCCTCGCCTAGCCCCACTAGTGTGGCCGTCGGTATGCTGCGCTGAACCCAAGGCCACACACTGTGGTCTGCGCACTACTGAGGACGTTTTCATAAATTCAACAGGTAATTTCTTACATATGGTTGTATTCTACGATGTCCCAACTTTCACTTCTGGGATGCTTGGGTGTAATGATGTTCAATTTTCCAAGATGTTCTTGAATCTTTCTGGAGCCCATATGCACTCGTGAAACGTCTGGTGATGGCAGCCATTTTGAATGTGACAAGAGATGACCTCAAGCTGTGACGTCGCATTTATGCAAATTGCTTGTCGAGCGAGGGCGCGAGTTGCAAATGCGACGGCTGTTTCCTGTGCCGTAGATCCTGAATAGAGATCAGTGCACGTGGCCCCCAGACGATAAATGCATGGTACAGGAAACAGCAGTCGCATTTGCAACTCGCGCCCTCGCTCGACAAGCAATTTGCATAAACGCGACGTCACAGCTTGAGGTCATCTCTTGTCACATTCAAAATGGCTGCCATCACCGGACGTTTCACGAGTGCATATGGGCTCCAGAAAGATTCAAGAATATCTCGGAAAATTGAACATCATTACACCCAAGCATCCCAGAAGTGAAAGTTGGGACATCGTAGAATACAACCATATGTAAGAAATTACCTGTTGAATTTATGAAAACGTCCTCAGTAGTGCGCAGACCACGGTGTGTGGCCTTGGGTTCAGCGCAGCATACCGACGGCCACACTAGTGGGGCTAGCCTCGCCCTGTCCAATGTTTACCCCATTGGGCTACAAAAGCAGTCTCTATCCGGTCGGAATTGTAACTTATGTAAGTGATCTGGTGATAGGGCCTACACACACATGTCATGATATAGATTCTTCTTTCTTTTTTTGTTGCAATGCTGCAACTGTAGGTGTTTAAAATTGTGTTATGGCTGTCGAAATATTAGCCACTACGTAATTAATTATATTTCACAGGAATTAACCTTGAAAAATTAACATTTTAAACGACTTTACTATTTTACCCTAAATGGCCTAAAGAAAAAATTAATACTCAATAGGCCCCCTATTTCTTTTCCAATATGTTTAAGATAATTCACATATTTTAATTAATAAAACTCACATTTTTAGTGATTCTGGTTTTTTTTTAAGATGGAATTTTGCTGTTTTATTCAACAGACACATTGAAGTTCTACAATTGCAGCATTTGACAGTCTTCAACCATGGAGATAGTGTACGTTTACACCAAGAAGCGCAGTGAGTTTGGTCGGCAGTGTAACTTCTCCGACCGGCCGGCTGAGCTCCACGTGGACATCTTGCCAGATGAGAGCCTCGCGGCCAACTTCATTGAGAAGAATCCTGTGGACAGGGGCATCCAGTGTGTCCAGGAGATGTCAGAGCATGATGTGAGTTGAATCATTATGCCCCAACTATGGCTTTGTCCCAACTACAGTTGGGACATTCCCAACTTGTTGTTTGGATCATCTCAACTGTAGTTGAGACTGTCCCAACTATAGTTGGGACCGATGCTATAGTTGGGGCTAACAGAATCGGCTAATGCAAGTCAGTTCACAAGTATTCTAGGATAAACAATGACAAAGGAATACCTTTGTTATGGTTCATTTGAATAACTTGTGAGTTGACTAGAGACTAGATGACATGTGAATGTCTGATTTCAACTCAGCAGCTCACAATTTGATAAACTGCATCTTGCTGAGCGCGGGGGAAAAGGGTCATGGGAAAGAATGTCCTATAATTGATGAATTCATCTCAATGGAGATAATTTTTAGTCTACTTTTGAATATTGAACCATTGCAGTTGTGTGACAGCCCAAGACAAAGTTGCAGTCATTTACACATCATTAAATGAAATAAATTATAATTGGGACTCAGTCCTGATAATTTCATAATCACATAAATAACTAAAAATTATGGTTGTGCACTAACCACGAGGCCAAATGCATCAAGACAAAAGTTGTCTGGCAAGTAGAAGTGTTGCAAGGTGTATCTTGGTCACAAAACTTCATTTACTTCACGTGAGAGCAGGCATCTGCATATCAAATACTGCAGCTTGACGATATCAGTAAAATAATGTGTGTACATGTCCTGGTTTTTTTCAGTTCTGTAATTGTGACCCAACCCTACATAATGATTCACAAACTACCTTTGAGTTATAAGCCTTTTTAACAAAATCTTGTAAAATGAAGAAAAAAGAAGAACAGACAGCATTTTTCACTGACAATGTCAAAATTTCACTGACATAATGTCAAAATGAGTGATGAAGTGCCGAGTTTTACTTTGTAAAATGAATGAGAGAAAACATTTCTTAAGACTCATTTCATGGTATTTGTTCGCAAGTGTATATTCCATCCTGGAACGGTGTCTTCATACAGGTCAACACAGAGAGGTTTGAGACAGAGACCCGAGGCATCAACCACATGGAAGGAGGCTGGCCCAAGGATATCAACCCGCAGGAGGTGGAGCAGGTCATCCGATTCCGTAAGAAGGTGGAGAAAGATGAGACCTACATCAACACAATACAGTCACTAGCCACGGTGAGTGTAAAGGCCGTGTCCGAGTTACCTGCCTACAACTGGAAATTACACACGCACTTGAGACGCTTGGATCTTGCATTTTCATCATCTTTTCCCTTTTTTTTTCCAGAGTCTCTGTTAGCAGAAACTTGTGTGCAAAGCAGATGGTTCACACTTAGACTGAAAAAACAAAAGCATGTCTTGCTTTTAATATTTTCAAACATGCCTCGGCCTTGGGATGTTCCGTGGCATTTTGAACATTCAATCCTGTATACTTTGGTGATATTGGAAGTCACAATTTACGTGTTAGAGAATAACAATCCTGCAAAATAATTTGCAATCTTAGAACATTTTTGACACCTTGTTTACTAATCTGGTTCAAACCATTATTTTGTAATCAATTTTCAATTTTCTAAACTTTGCTATTTCACGTACTAGAGTGAACTTACAAAGAGATTTGTCCTAAAGTTTCTAAATTTTACAATCTACTTCAAACGCATACATTTTGGCAATTTTTAATGTATGACTCTTAAATATCATAATGAATCCCTATTTATATCATATGTCAACTGAATTAAAGTAACCTACAGCTTTTAAAATTCCAGAAACATTTCAGTTTAATCAATTTCTTGTGTTTCTACCACCTATAGACAATGGAGCACTGCATCCGACAGAACAATGCCATCAACATCTACGAAGATTACTTCTCAGACCTGGCCATTGAGGAAACTGAGGAGACGCCGTCAGCCAAGACCATCAATGTCTTCAGGTACGTAGGCCAGTTCATGTGTAATATTGCACCAGTGTGCAAGGGCCGTGCCACAGGCAACTTGTCTATGGGGATTTTAGGCCCCCAAAAAAATAAGTCGGTCTCTGGTCAGTGTGCGCGTCGATTTTAATCATGCACGTCAATCTTTTTTTTTCCCAAAATGTTCCGCGGTAGCTCCAACAGCGCCCTCTATTGCCGCACCTCCTCAATTTGTTTTACCAAAGAGCACCAAGGAATGGGAAATTACACCAAGGCAAATGATCGAGAGCACCAAGGCAAATTATGGAGGACACCAATGTACATGAGGACACCAAATAGCAAAATAGTACCCCACCTTGTCTGTACAAACCAAGCTTGAAGAAAAAAAAAAAAAGCCAAAAAAAAAAAAGCCGCGTCAATTCCAGAACTTTGGTCTGACCAGAGACCGAATATATATATTTTTTTTGGCCTTATCCAAGAAGAAACCAGCTGATAAATTTTGTAAATGTTCTGAGAATTTTTTAGTAAACTGTTGGTACGGTTAACAGATTTTCCTGACCCCTAGGTTGTGGGGAGAACTCGTGGAAACAGAACTCATAAATTGCCATGCATTGTAGCCTTTAGCCAAACTGGAATCATGCGCCAAGTAAGATGCTGTCCCATGTGCCAAGATAAAATGGCAATAAAAGTACCCCAGTACAAAATTCTGATCCAGGAAGTTTTACAATTAAAATCAGTGCTTTGAAATTGGAAAAGTACCTGCAATCAACATGACGGGATTGCAACTGTTAACTTCCTGTTTGCCAGTTGAACTACTTTCCAATATTGCCTAGCCAACTGAGTTGCACTTATTGGTCGATTTCAGTTTCGGGATATAGGTTCGCCGATGCACTGTGTGAGGCATTTATAAGCGTCACTGATGTTCCAGTGAAAGTCGCTTCCTATGGCGTCCACATAAACTTCTCCAAAGCAAAATGTATTTGTTAATACTGAACTTCACAATTTTGCAGAGATCCCAATGAAGTGAAGCGTACAGCCACACATCTGTCCTGGTACCCTGACGGTGCCCGTAAGCTGGCTGTGGCTTACTCCAACCTGGAATTCCAGAGGTCGTCCCCAGACACAAGTCTGGATTCCTACATCTGGGATATTGGTGAGTTTTCCTTACAGAACCAAGGCCCGGTTTCAAGGTAAGCTGTGTGGCAGGAAAAAAAACTGCTTCAGCAAGTTTATGCCCTGAGCTAGAATCAGTTGGATACCAGGCACAGGGAATAGAAATCCCATGACAATTTGGCTGGTGACTTATTTGTGCTAAGCAGATATTTTTTGAGCTTAGTTAAATTCTTTGGTTGGTGGCGCCATGAAATTGGGCCCCGAACCATATTAATGAGAACCTCCATTATCCATCTTTGAAGCCGAGGGTCCATTTTAAAAGGGCCTCTAAGCAGGAAATTTCGCTTAGAAAATTTAAGCTGAGAACCAGTTGAAAGCAGTATACATTAAGACCGTGTCCGAAACGGGCTTCCAGAGCTACGGCTACGTCTATTGTCAGCGCGTCCCCACGTATTTTCAATGACATGCAACCAATCTTTGCTAAGCTGCTATTTTGTGTGTGTTTTTAATAATAAAATTAATTTCTTTTTCTCTTTCATACATTTTGAATTGTTGACTTTTTTGTTTCTGTCAGAAAATCCCAACAAGCCAGAGACAACACTCAAGCCCGTATCCCCACTGGTGTGCCTGGAATACAACCCCAAAGACGTCCACGTTCTCATTGGTGGCTGCTACAACGGACAGATTGGTGAGTAATGATTCAGATCTTGAAAGTTGTAGTGCTCCACTATAAATAGAGTGATTATCTAAAACTCAATTCAATTCAATTCAAAGGAAACATTTATTTCCAAACTTTCCACAAATAAGTCAAACTAAGTTTTTAAATAAAAAAAGGTAATTAGATACAGTAAATAAATAATAATACAACAATGTAGTATAACGACTAGATATGTTAAATTAGGGTGAAAAGTATGGGGCTGTTCATATAAACCGGAGCTTGTAGAGAACAGCCTTACACATAAGCGGACAATACAGGACAGTATGCACAGACAATAGGAACAAACACGAAAACAGTCAAAGGGAAACTAAAGACAAGACAAAACAAAACAAAACACGAGACAAGACACTAAAAACCGAGACAAATTGAATAGTTGCGATGAGGATAAGATAAAAGAGACGATGAATTGTATGTAAAGAAGAGATGTGGCTAACCTATGTGTGGGCTGACAAGTGACACTCATTCCATGGATATCATTCCATTTTCTCCGTCAGCTTTCTGGGATACAAGAAAGGGCTCCCAGGCCGTGGAGATGTCGCCCGTCGAACACAGCCACCATGATCCTGTCTATAAGACCATCTGGCTGCAATCTAAGACAGGCACGGAATGCTTCTCAGCATCAACGGACGGACAGGTATGTCCATTAAAAACGTCTTCAGAATATTTAACATCCTGCACTTGTAAATCAATGGCCCTAGCTTGTAAAACCTGATAAACAAAAACAATAACCAGGCATGCAACTTTTTCTCGAATCCACTGATTTCCTCATTTTTTACTTCTCATGAATGCCATTACAAATTGAAAAACAGTGTACAAAGTCTTGTGTGGTTTGGAGTTTCCTTGTTTTTTTCTAAATTCCCAGTTGCATTCCTGAATAACAAATCAAGAAAGCTGGCTCTCGTTTTGTCTTGCGCACTATTTTGATAAAATATTTCTGCTCATAATATGCAAAGGGCTAAACCTTTTTAAAAGCCCGGAATAGTATGTTGCTTTTTAGAATTGATGTGCAAAAATATTATTGATCATAATAGACTTACTACTTCATATAATGGTGTTTTTTTTGGACATTTAACTAACTACTTTGAAAGCAATTAACAGAATAACATCATTTTTAAAATAACTTTTGGGGGTGAGGGTCGAACGACTATTTTGAATCATTGAGCAAAGCTGGGCACAAATTCACATAACTATGAAAGTATTGAAGTTATTTTTTTTTTTCTATTTCTCATTTTTGTGTTTCGCTTTCACCAATTCAGACTTGACAATGAACTTTTTTCTCCTTTTGTGTGTGGAAATAACCAGGTGTTGTGGTGGGACATTAGGAAACTGGGCGAGCCGACAGAGAAACTTGTGATGGACCCCAACAAGAAAGGCAACATGGAGAACGCACAGGGCGTCATTTCGCTGGAGTATGAACCAACGGTTGTAAGTACAAGCTCATCAGGGTCACATATTGTATATCATAGGATTCCATCTTTAGGAAGTGTGAGATGGAATTCAACACCCGTTTGTCCATAAGAAGTACAATAACCGTCTCCTGGAGTGTTCTCATCCGTTATTTCAAAATTCTCCACCTCCCTTTAAACTTTTTTCTCATCCATAAATAATACGGGCTTAGCTTGGCATTCTTTGTAAACAGCATTAATTGCCATTTAGTACCAATTTCTACACTTGTATGCATTCAAATGTTGGAATTCTGCCACATGAACAAACATAGAAATTTTTAGCAAAAGCTGCAGATATCTGTCTTGATTTTTAAAATCAAATGATATTCAAATGAAAATCAGGTGATGAATTTTCTTTTAAACCAACTTTCTTTTCAAAAGGGCAGGCTAACATATTACATATGCCTTCCTGTGTTAAATTATTGGTAGTAGCATTTTTTTAATAACAAAGAAACTGTGTTTCTTTGTCCCTCAATTATTCTCTTTTTCTTGATACCTTCCTTCATAGCCCACTAAATTCATGGTCGGCACAGAGCAAGGTACCATCATCTCTTGCAACCGCAAAGCCAAGACGCCAGCTGAGAAGATCGTGGCCATCTACAAGGAGCACATCGGACCTGTCTACTCCCTGCAGAGAAATCCGTTCTTCCCCAAGAACTTCCTGACTGTCGGCGACTGGACGGCCAGAGTAAGAAAAAAACAAAAAAAGTTTGAAGATTCGCAAATCATTCAGGAGATAATTTTTTTTACTGAGATGCAATTCAAGATGTTTCTTTTCTTCTTTCATACAGATCTGGTCTGAAGATGTGAGGGACTCATCAATCATGTGGACTAAGTAAGTACTATTCTTCTCATTATATGGTGTGGAAAAGTGATTTTTTTTTCTGCTTTTCGTTTGTCGGGCACCAACTGCAAGACTTTAGGTCCTGTTTTTAGAGCTTTCAACGATATGGGTCCCAGGTCTACTACAGGATCGTTATACGCAACAGTAATATAAAACCAAATGTAATTTAGTGTTTTCATCATCATAACAGGCCTACAATGCACATATGATTCCAGGGCTCGAGACAAATCCGAAGATGGAAATGAAGCAAATATTTGAGAAATTCTGCAACATGTTTAGGTCTAGTACTGAGCCTGAAGTTTGCTTCTTTAACAGAATTATTTTGACTTCGACATCCAGGCCCTTGAACTAGTAACCTTATCAAGCTCTGCTTTTTTTAATTACCCTGGCCAACAGGCACCACATGTCCTACATGACCGACGGATGCTGGAGTCCCGTCCGGCCGGCTGTCTTCTTCACCACCAAGATGGACGGCACGCTGGACGTGTGGGATTATCTCTTCAAGCAGAACGACCCAACGCTCAGCCTACAGGTGAGGCATCAGTCAGCAAAATTCAGGTCCAGCCTGAAATTGCGTTGTGTGTCCTTGGGCAAGTTGTCAATCATTGCTTCTCCCCACTCAACAGTAAATGGGCTACTTGAGAGGGCAGAGATGGTTATTGTGATTGAGTTTTAGCTCTGTGGGCCCAATCAGCTGGGGTGATAATGAAAATGTTAAGCACTTTGAGAGTCCATTTGGTACCGCGTTGCGCTATATAAAAACCCATAATTATTATTAGTACTGGACCTAACAGCAGTCATATTTGTTTAACGTTAACAGGTGTGCGACGAGGCTTTGCACAGCCTGCGTGTTCAGGACCAGGGCCACCTGATCGCCACCGGTTCCCACACGGGCACCACCACCTTACTGGAGCTGTCCAGCAGCCTGTGCACCATGCAGCGCAACGAGAAGGCCCTGGTGACGGCCATGTTTGAGCGGGAGACCAAACGGGAGAAGATTCTGGAATCCAGGCAACGAGAGCTGAGACTGAAACGGGCCGGCACCAGCGCAGGCGGTAATGAGGTACGCAGAGACTTGAGATCTTATCTGCTCCGTTCACAAGTACCCCCTCACCGCCAAAGAAAGCACAGTTGGGGGTGACCGACCGACGCCATCTTGCCTGACTGCAATTTTGCCGCGACGCACGGCCGGCAAAATTGCAGTCAAGCAATATTGTTTACAAAATGATAACTTAACTGCAGTGATATTCTTGGGGAAGTTGTTCAGAATCCTACAACTAATGCCTGACACAGTTTGCTTACTGATAAACCTGTCCACAACTGAATCTAGATGTTTAACTAGACAACTTATGTTTTGTTCATGGCATGTGTTTTTGGCCACATTTCCAGCATTAATGATTTTCATTCCACTTCCTGTGTGTATTAGGACGAAGGAGAAGGAGAAGGCATGGAAGATGAGGACCTCGTGGATGCGGCCGAGAAGGACTTCTTCCACATGATCAATGCCGACAAGAAGAAGCAACAGGCCAAGAACAACAAAGACGACCAGACCAAGATAGACGTGAGTACACTCCTTGGGATTACCTCATTGATGGCAATTCACTATAAAATGCAAACCCATCATAATAGCAAGTCTAGGCAGTGGCGGGTTACGGTGAGGGTTTTGGGGGGGTCTAGGTGGGCTTTAGCCCCCCCCCCCCCAAATTTTTTTGTGTAGCCCCCCCCCCCAAAAAAAAATTCCATAAAAAAGCGAACGGTCTCCCCCTAAATAAATAGTCGTGAGACGGATGCATTTGTACACCTTTTAGTTAATATAGTGTGCCTGATTGTAGGATTTTGTCAGCGTTTCCCAATGAAGGGGGGGGGGGTGTCTAGGTGGGGCTTTAGCCCCCCCCCCCCAATTTTGTGTAGCCCCCCCCCCCAAAATTCCATTAAAAAAAAGCGAGCGCTCTCCCCTAAATAAATAGTCGTTAGACGGATGCATTTGCACACTTTTAGTTAATATAGTGTGCCTGATTGTAGGATTTTATCAGCGTTTCCCATTGAAAATATGGCACGAGCCCCCCCCCCCCCCCCCCCCAAAATTGGATGAGACCACCCGTCTCGGAAGAGGAGTTGCGACCCCCCGAGCACTACTTTAACAAATGAAAAGCCTAATCATGATCTGAAATCCAATGATGATTGGCTCGAGCTGCGCTGCCATATGGCCTCGACGTAATTGATTGGATGAATTTAGCAGGTGGTGTTACGTCATCAAATGTTCCAGGATCATGGTACACATTGAATGGCTGAATTGTTGGGTTTTTATCTTCAACAGAATACGATCATCGAGGAAAGCGGAGAAGAGGAAAACGAGAAGAAAGACACCGAGAACGGAGAGAAGGAAGGCAAAGACTGAGTGACTTTACCCTGAGCTCGTATTCGACCTGTGAACTTTGACCTGTCAGAAGAACTGGTACCCTGATGCTGATAGCCTCATGATTTGTGTACATATCTACCGTTTTTATATTCATTGCTGTTTCCATTGCGGTTACCAGTGAATAAATTCTGTACAGTACTGCCGAGTTTAACATATTAATTAGCAAGCCACTGTTAAAAACAAACCCTTTTTATCTTTTCCTTACAAAAAGTTGAAGTGGAGGTTCATGGTTCATTGCATCAAATTTGTTATAGTTCTCTGAAGACCAATACAAATTCAAATGTTTATTTTACTTGAATAAACATATTATAAAGGCGATTAACTTGTGGGGGAATAATTGTTTATTTTCATTCTAAACATACCATTAATGTATACTCTACTTGAATAAACACACTATAGTGTAATATATACAGGAAGTAACTGGTGGGTAGTAACTGTTTTTCATTTCATTTCATTTTCATTCAACAAATACCATTTTAAGGATCCGATAAAGGTAAGGCCTATATACAGATGGATTCTACTCACAAAACAAATCTTGAATTACAGAGTTGCTTGTCAAATAATTCTTCATATGGAAACATTTCCTAATGTTGTATAGTGCTTTTTGGTTTGTAATATTATAACATGTTCATATAATCCGTCCTTTATTCAAATATTGTCAATTTGAAGAGAGTTTGGGGGAGTATAAAACGTTCTTAAAAATTCACTGTTAAACTGATTATTGTATGTTATAATCCATTATAAAAAAGGCTGTTGTGCCTTGAAGCCATTAAAGTTCATGTACAATGTATCTATATTTCCGTCCATTAAAAAGGTTTTACACAAGTCTTACATAACTTTAATTTTTGTATGATCAGTGTAATTTTTGTTTCATTGTGCTGTTCGAGGGGCAATTAAAACAACAAATATGATATACTTCGACAAAAAACTTTAAAATTATTGGAAAAATTGCCACATTTCACAATCGTAAATAGGCAACTGAAAAGAAAATGGAGATAGCTGTTATACCTTCAGAATATAAAATGTGTAAAATGTGTCCTTTTTCTTAACACAAAATTGTGCTTATACACTGTGTTTAGTGATTCAAAGATGCTTTTGCTTAGATAACTTAGAATATTTACTTACGTCAGGGATTTGTCTTTCTGCTTAAATGTTTCATGAAATTGGGCCCTAAGTTAGATTTGATTCAAAGACAAAACTTCAACACAGTTAAACAACTTAGCATACCCCTCAATTGCCCTTTAATTTACTTGTGTATCCATAACCGAAGTTATAATGTTCAGACCCTATAAGTATAGTTCGGAATAAAATATATGTATGAATTTAAAAATAGAAATATAAGTCAAGGACCAAAAATAACATTTTCTGCAAAAGTACCGAAAAGTCAGCCCAGTTTAATGGTAAAGAAAAACACAAATAGTTGGGTAAAAAGAAGAAACATTTGGGGAAATTGATACAAAACATGGCATTTGGCACACGGAGTATGTCTTAAAAAAGATATTTGACTAAAAATGAGGGCCATCGCAGATTTGTCCTTTGAAAAAAATGTAGGTAGTATAACAAATAGTTTTCAAACTATTAAAATGGCTGCCATTGGCATTGCTTGTTATTCTACCTATATGTTTTTAAAGGACAAATCTGCGATGGCCCTATAAAGCCAAATATATTTCCCATGGCATACTCTGACTGTGTGCCAAATGCCATGCTTGTATCATCAAAAGCACAATCTTATCACCTATCACCTATCTTATCACTTATCACCTATCGTATTTTGAATCCAAATATTCGCATACACAGCAGAGCAATATCCCAATTTTATATTTCACAATCTCAAAATTGTCTTCCATAAACTTCCAAAGAGATCCTTAGTCAATAATCCGATCAACTTGAAATGATTATCTCTCAACACCACTCCTACGCTCTATACACTCACACATGTATACATTAACATGTAGATATTAACCAAAAATAAGCATAACAAATAGGCCTTTTACTCTTTGGTTGCTAGATTCTTACTTATATGCACTTATTTAAAACGTTTTAATATAATTCATTATTAAAGTCTTTACAGTTTAATATAAAGCCCACCGCACAAAACACGTCACAAATTATTGTGCCCTTATTTTTTAAAAACATTGGCCTAAAAGGCAAACTCATCACTACACTAATAATGTACATAATGCCTGGAATTATTTTATTCCTAATTTAAGTTGTCCCCTGACGATGACTAGAGCAGGCTAGTCGAAACGTTGAGACCAAAGACAACTTCTTTTAGAACTTAAAGCAGGACTGTTCTTATTAGAACAAAACCTACTTAGCGAAAGTTGATAATAAGCAGGACAAGTTCTTTTCAGAACTAAATATCTTCTAAACAGTAGTTATTACCACATGGTGTTACCGCAAACCGAAACGATACCGAAACTCCACCATGCAAAGCCTCAAATCTTATAATTTAAGTTGCCCCATACTTTTCTAAACCCGGAAATGATTAGCATTTACACAATCAGCCCTGCTCTTTGTCTATGTTTCAAAATACCGCCTTAGTTATGCTTGATAAAACTTTGAAGCATATACTTTTTACTCGTGAAAGTTTGGTGCTCTGTTACATGTGTATGTTTGGCTTGGCCATTTTTATTTTTCAAATCCAGTTCATCATCTACATATTCAACACGACGTTGTCACATTGTCAGCTGCTGCAGATTCTCAACAAGACAGCTCATTACACATTATTTTATGTATTATTTCTCCTGCAAATTTTACATATGGAAACCTTCTACAAACCAGTGACACTAAACTCAAAACGATACCACAAAACCACTCTTAAATTTGTTGGCGCGCAACTTACATTTCACAGTTCCTCGATGGCGGCTGCGCGGGTCGGCTTCTGGCCAGGCAGCCCTTTGAAGTTGAACGCAAACCTGCCCATAATGCGAGAGAAGATCAAACCGTTTGACTGCCACAGCGGGTCCAGGAGGGTCCGCACGAGCGCCTTGTGCATCATGGCTAGGGGCCTCAGCAGAATGAAGGTCAGCTTGACAGTGGGTTGCATGATGAACACCGTGAAAAAGTTGAAGAAGGCGAAAACGATCCCCCAGTGAAAGACCAGAAAGACGCCGAAAATCAGGCTGAAGAAACGGTAGAAGCCCAGCTGGAAGGAGAGAGGGGGAGACAATGTGGGGACGATTATTTGGCGTGGAAGTGACAAGTCCTGCTGTTCTAGTGTCTTACTTTGCGTCAGACATTTGAGAATCCCGTCTGAGAATCGTGATTGCCTTTGCGTTCTTGGGCAAATTTTTATCTACAATACCAAGGAGTCAGAGCGAGTGACAGACAATTGGGGGGAGGGGACTTATTTGGTGGTAAATGAAGTACTACAGGGGTTCGTAGGCCTATATGCGAGGGGTATTAGAGCGCTCTGAGGAAGGGGGAGGGAGGAGGGATGGGGCAGGGTCCGGAATGTTGCACGAAGGAGGTAGTTGAATGGGTACGCGTAGTAAAGAGAGAGGATGTCACGCGATAGCGTCTTGATCTCACCGACACGGATGTACGCCGTGCGCAGAATTTTCTTTTGTATAGCATGGGGATGATTATTGGCAATAGACAAGTCATGTAAAAAAAAAAATTACAAAAACATGTTTTAGAGGAATTTTGGCGTCGTTTGTGAATTGGGACTATGAAATACTGACTCACTAGTAGTATTGCGCATGCCTACGCGAGCATTGTGAACATTGAAACAATAAAGCGGTAACTATAAGGCGCACCTGATTTCATAGACACTATCTCAGGAACCATGCCAAGGGTGCGACGAGGACTGGCCTAGTCAGTTGGATTATGGATTGATTCCTCGTTCCGTTGTATGATTGTGGTTGCATCATTCCCATGTCGGTGAAATCATGATGCTATCGCGTGACGTCCACCCTATTTATTTCTGCCCAATTCAACTACCTCCTCCCCTCCTCCTCCTCCTCCCCCCTCCTCCTCCTCACAAAACGAGGGTAGTGATACCCATCACCTACTACTTAAGCTCTTCAGTGTCCGACCGTTTGCGATACGGCGGAAAGTCGTCCTAGAATCGTGATTGCCTTTGTGCCCTTGGGCAAGAAACTTTCTCCAAATTGTTCTCGCTAGGAGATCCCAGGAGTACATAGTCTTGACCCAAGACGTCAGTGATCAATAGCGATAGTTTCATTGTTGTAGAGTGCCCCAGCATAATTGTTTGTTTACTTAATGACTGTTGCCGCGACGTTAAAAAAGGGGGGCGTTAAAAAGGGGGGCGTGCGCCCTTACGCCCCACCCCCCCCCCCTTAGCTACGCCGCCTACTATTGAACCTTCGGACTAACGAACTTTCGAACAATCGAGTCAGTAACCGTGACAGATAGAGGGGGGAAAAAGGGGGGGGGGAAGACCTGCAATTTGTTCAGATTTATGGACTGTCATTCACTAGCGTCTCCAATTAGGTGCGGATCAAAAGATACCATGATCGATTTGAAGAAGACGAAGTATATATAACAAACCTGTGTCCATGTAAAGACAAATCCCATTACATTGGCAAGCGGCTCGAAGCTATCGGCACCGTCAGCCTCTTTGAAAACTTCCGCATATTTAACCTGCAAAATTTAAAACAGAAGAGAAATTGAATTTATCTACTAAACCTTAACATAATTATTCTGAACATGGAGAAACCAAAAAAACAGGAGATATCAAAAGGGTAATCAAAAATCAAAGTTTTTAAGAAGGATTAAAGCCAACCTTAACATGGTGGGTCATTCCGTACATATTATCTTCCTCATCAGCGGAGAACGAGCTCGTGTCAGCGCGGCTGGCCGGGCGTTCCCCACCCATGCCAGCGGGCTGGCCAGCAGTAGCGGCCGGTGGCGCCCCAGAGCTGTAAGTCGGGACGTGTGCGGAGCCCAGCAGGGGCGGGTACTTAGGGGGCTGTTGGCTGTTAACGTTCCACGGATCTGGATTCATGACGGGTGTTGGACCTGCGTGAAACGAGGGAATTTTGAAATAACAAGTTGTAAACATGATTATGTAAAGAACCATGAGCATGGGCGTTGCCAGGATTTTTTTCCGGGGGGGGGGCAAAGCAAACTTTTTCATTATATTTTAAATTTATCATTTTTCCGAACGTGAGCATGGGAGCATTTGCCCTATCCCCTACCCCCCCCCCCCATCAAATTAACAGCAATATGGCTTCGCACCTCTTTTTCCTTCCCCCCCCCCCTATTTTTTTTTCCCCTATAGCCCCCCCTCGCGACGCCCATGACCATGTGACAGAGTAAACAAATCTGTTTCCTACATTGATGAGTTTTAGTCAAGTCTATGAAAGACAAAGGAAGGAATGCCTAACTCATTTGTCATAGTTCATTACTAGCTTGCCACTACATACAATCCACCTCCGTTCTTTGTATCTCACGACAAATCCAGTCTTTAAAACATGACGTTGCTCGATGTGAGGTTCCTAACCTTTTTAAAAAAATGTTTGACATGCGTTAAGTTTGGAGATGACAATGTTGGCTCTGGATTTGAGATTTGGTGCTCATGTTTATAAGTTCTTGATAAGTACAGTTGGTACTCGGGTTGTGTTTTCGACCGTGTATGGCCGAGTTAAGGTTTTTGACCGTGGCAGCGTCACGGTTTTCGACCGTGGCACACACACGACCGCTTGTTTGGCACTACGCGCCGTTCCTCCATACGTATGCGACTGAAAGTTGACGCGCGATCTTCAAACACGCACTTCAGCCACGCGAGTTTGATGAGCGCGAGTTATTTTTTCCAGAGTTGTAGCCAAGTCATTTTTTACATGTCAAGTCAAGTCCCAAGTCAAATTTTAGCAAGTCAAGTCAAGTCTCAAGTCAATTTTTTTTCAAATCAAGTCAAGTCTCGAGTCATTTTGTTTTTAATATTAGATGCAATGTTAGATGCACATACTACGTACGGGAACCAGTTTATGTGTTCGACGACGGAGCCTGCGTAGAGATTATCAAAGCGTGCATCATGTAAGGAGATTAAAACAAATATCATACTTTTCAAACATTCTCTCTCAAACACCTTGTTTGTATCTTAAGAGTCTAAAAACGCAATTTGATATAATGTTTTAAAACCTGTTCCATCATGTTGAATGTTTCAAAGACGTCTAACAAAATGTCAGTCCGAATGTTTTCATCGTAATACATGATGTGAATGCTTTTTGCTTTATGGCGGATTGGGGGTAGCAGCCGTTTTCCAGTCGTTTAAATCCTAGTTGCATCATTAGCACGCTTACGGTAAACACTCGATGTGTACGTGTAGCCTTTGGTTTGGAATGACCGCCTCTATAACAACGGATGGTACTCAGACTACAACGAGGTCGAGTATGATGCGTTGTCCATATGCAGTCAACCTCTTCCCCAGGGTGTCGAGCAGTACGCGCCCACCACTACCTGCTCTCTCACCCTGGTATTGGATCATTTGCATGTGCAAGATTTTTGAACACGTATGCAAATTAGGAGTAGTCTGGTGCCTGCCTGTGCGTTACATTTGCGTTTGTTTTTGTATGCGGTGTCTGGGGTAAAAACAGAATCAATTCGTCGCAGCGCGAGCATGGCGTGAGTTACGAAAACATGATTTTATTTTAATTAAACTGTTACGATCTTAACGAGACAACATGCAGTATCACATTTCATATTAATATTAACAACCTGGAAAGGCAATTAATATTTTCGAGAAGGCGTGGACGAATGATCGCGAAAACACGTACTGCACGTTGTGAATAACAACACCAAGTACACGATATAAATCCATTTCTAGCCAATTGCGGTATCGAATCAGGATACAGGAAGGAAGTTTCCTATCCAGGGTTTACTATTGAAAACAACGTTGGAAATAAAGTAAGCACTGGGGACGAGGTTGATATGCAGTGTATACACACGCATAGTGCTAGCTCACGTACAATACATGTACATGACGTGTGGCAGGCTCAGGATGCCCAGCTATCGCGTGCTGGTTGCTATTTCTCTATGTATATCTGCATTCTTTTCCATTATGCTAGTGCGCACGAACGCCCAGAGGTTTGTGTTTTTGTTTTGTAACTTTTGAGAAACGAGTTAATGTCAGCAAGTCAAATTTATTCGAGTCAAGTCAAGTCACAAGTCATATTTTTTTCAAGTCAAGTCAAGTCAAGTCTCAAGTCAAAAAAAAATAGCGACTGATTTTTTTTTCAGTCGCGCGACCATCCGCTGGTTATACTAGACTTGATGACAAGTCGTTAGAATCTAACTATCTTAGTCATTTTGTCCGTGAACTTCAGTCGAACTCCACCGGCGCGGCTGGTATAAGAATAGTACCTAATCGGCCGGGTTGCAACAAATCTATTGACTTTATTACGTTCTCGCACCATTAAAGGGAATATACATCATTTGCTTTTGCAAATGTTAACGACCAATACACTCAGCTTGGCCAATTGTGTATAAAAATAGTATCATTGTGATATACTTGATTTATTTTAGTCCTCTATGCCCTATAATGAATTTTGTAATGTTACACAACACAAAGTACAAACTTTTGTAGTAATGAGAACGATCTTCCGTGGCGGCCTAGAACACGCTCTGGAATCTGAACCAATCAGAGTGCTCGCAAAGAATTCGCTAGCGATTCAAAATACTCTCATAATGTTGTGTACAAAATTCAAAACGTATTCGCCAAGTCGGTAATTTTATCAGAAATAGTCAGCATCATTTGGTCTGGGAACTTAACTACGCGCATTGCAGCGATATTTTGCGTGCACCGTGAGCCGGCCAGTAACCGGTTACCGAACGCAAAACAATTACCGACTTGGACCTGGATAGCAGGAGCATATAAGTGACGTCACACAAGGAAATGAAACTACGGCTGATATGCCGCACTGAGAAGAACACAGGCCATGTTCAAGAATTATTTCGTTTTAAACGAGTACATACATACTTCATTGTATACACACCACCGATCTCTATTATACTGACTAGACCATTATGCGTGTACACAAGACCGTGACGCCCTCACACACACACGGCGGCCATTTTGAAGCTCCCTCGAAGCTCCCTCAAAGCAACCTCGTCCCCAGTGCTTACTTTATTTCCAACGTTGTTTCCAATAGTAAACCCTGGATAGGAAACTTCCTTCCAGCATCCTGATTCGATACCGCAATTATATTGGCTAGAAATGGATTTATATCGTGTACTTGGTGTTGTTATTCACAACGTGCAGTACGTGTTTTCGCGATAATTCGTCCACGCCTTCTTGAAAATATTCATTTCCTTTCCAGTTTGTTAATATTAATATAAAATGTGATACTGCATGTTGTCTCGTTAAGATCGTAACAGTTTAATTAAAATAAAATCATGTTTTCGTAACTCACGCAATGCTCGCGCTGCGACGAATTGATTCTGTTTTTACCCCAGACACCGCATACAAAAACAAACGCAAATGTAACGCACAGGCAGGCACCAGACTACTCCTAATTTGCATACGTGTTCAAAAATCTTGCACATGCAAATGATCCAATACCAGGGTGAGAGAGCAGGTAGTGGTGGGCGCGTACTGCTCGACACCCTGGGGACGAGATTGCCCTCAAAGCTCCCTCAAAGCCCCACAACGCACGGATCCGTATATAAAAAGCACAGAATTTCACAATATTTAAGGAAGCAAATTTGGATCATCAAAGACAGTTTTATTGATTCATTTTGTCCACGGTGTTATTTTACTCATGTTATATTTTGTTCAAATATATAATTTTATTTCATGACTTTGCATATACTTTTACGTGGCCAACGGGAGTGTCAAAATGGCGTCCAGTGACTTCACCCCCACGGCCCGAAGCGCTATCCATTCAGTATATAGAGATCAGTGTGGTACACACTTCCTTGTAATACTTTATCTTTACTTACACTGACATAAACATCGCTCTTCTGGTCTCAAAATCTCTGCAAATCGTAAAGCAAAGTTACACCAAATAACCCAGCCGATTAATGTAAATGATAACGTTATGAATTGAAGTTGACTGTGAAACTGGATCCTACTATGTTATGTAAAAGTGTAAAAATTAGCGGTTGAATTAACATAGGCCTAAAAAAGAATGATATTTACCTGAATAAAGACGTGCTGGCGGTGAGACCGTGTAGTTGTGTGACGAGCGCGATAGGTGTAGTTTTCTAAGTATGCACGAACAAGTGACACTAGCTTCCATAAAAAGGGCAATAACATGACAAGCAGTGATATACGAACGTGTAGTTGAGACGGGAAGCACATTATTTAAAACATTATTTAAGTGACCTCGACAGGAGGTACATGTATGTTTTAAACGGCGTTGGTTGTCTGTGAACAGGATAACTCAAAAAGTTATGGACGGATTTTCATGAAATTTGTTTTTTGGGGTGGTCCTTGGTACAAGTACGGACCCATTAGATTTTGGACGTGATCCGGATGCAGGATTTATTTGAAGGATTCTTCACCATTTTAACTTTAATTTTTTGTTACCCTAGCCAGGTGGACTTGTGGAAACAATTCAAAAGTCCTTAGGCCAAACAAAAAAGTCTCCGGTTTCTGGTATGCGCACGCGTCGCCGTAGCCATGCGCGTCGGCAAAATGAAAAAGTTTTTTTTTCAATGAAAGATGATGTCTCAAAACCGCCAAACTCACTGGTTTGACTGGAATCCTGCTGTTGCACAATTTTAACGTGTTTTTAGATTGGGTTATGGTCGAGAATAAGCTTTATGTGGCCTCTCTGGACTCCCATATATTTGCACTAAGTTTAGTCGGGCACCATTTGCAGTCATCAGCCGACATTTGAAGCAAAAAAATCAGGTAAAAAAAAAAAAAAAGCCTCGTCGCCGCACCACTTTTTGGGCAAGCTCCATACCAGAAACCGGAGACTTTTTTGGCCTTAGTACACCTCTCCAAATAAATAAAGAAAAGTGGAAAATACAAACACAGAAAAGACAGATCAAATTTTTGTGAAATAAGTCGCAGAAATCTTCTTCCCCATCTTTCCCCACCAATGCTTTCGTGACAATTTTACGATGTCAAATTTGACTACTTTATGATTTTCCAACGACTGATATTTTGCCAGAGACACTAAAAAAATGAGCAAAAATCGAAGCTCATTACCTCCGAAATAGAACGTACAAAAGTTTACGAGAAACCTAACTTCCGGGCACCTCGAATAGGAGCTGCAACGTGTAATTCCGAGTAGTTTTCTTGAAATAGTTTGTTTTGACGCTTTCTTTTTACTGAAAGGTAGAGAAAAACTTGTCAATTTACCAAATGTGAACGGTATATCAAATTTGGGAAAAGGAGAGCCAACAAGTCTAGATACGTCATACGTACGTCATTCGCCATTGTTCTCGCTCACGCGCCAGTCTTTGTAACTAGCGTATACACCATATAAGGCGTATTTATTGATTATCTCTCAACATCACTTGTAGTTGTACCCCTTATTCTATGTTTACATTCACATACATAACCAAAATAAGTACATAAAATAAATATATATACGCCTTTTACACTTTTATTGCAAGATTCTAGCTCTCATTTAATAGGCATATACTTTGAATACAATTAATTATTGAAGTCATTCCAATTTAGTATAACCAACCACATAAAATACGATACAATATGCCCATATATATTTTTAAGTACACATAAAAAGCAAGTCAATCACTACATTCTAATAATTTTATACAATATCTGGACTTTTTAAAAGATTAACTCTGAATCAATTCGACCCCGAGATTTCTTGAGGCTGGAATGACACTCGAATTCAACTCTGTTCTCTTTTATGTTTCAATTATGGCTTGTGCCAAAAATAATCCAAAACGTACCTTTTTACACACTTATTAGCAAGCTCAAAAGCTAGTTTCAATTTATCACTCGAGTTTTTTTGGCTTGGTAATTAATTGGTGATTGCTGAAGTTTATCTAATTATTCACAGCATCGACACAATACAGGGTGAGTAAAAAAAGAGGATTCCAAACCCAAAGAAATATATTTCATATTTAGAAGAAAAAAAATATGTTGCACCAACAATAATTAGGACTGGTAAGCTCGTTTTATAAACTACTTAGCTGGAAAAACAAAATTCATTAGCTCAATCCGTTTAAATTATATCACCATTTAAACGAATGACCCTAAAATCTGTTTCGTCCAAAAATGCGATTTCAATAAATGTCATTACAATAAATTGTCTTCAAACATCACCAGCGATAAAACCTCAGTTTAAAAGTTAAAAATATTCAACAAAGTCCTTTTGAAGGCCCGTCTGTTAAGAAAAATTGGATTTTAAAAATCCTATTGTTAGCCAAAGCAGGGTTGTTAATAAAGATTATTGTTACTACAGTTGTCGAAACAAGTATTCTGTGTTATTTTCTTTGCTAGTCCAAACAGTCAGAACTCGCAAATTAATTGCCTTTTGGACGAAACAGATTGTAGGACCATTTCGTTTAAATGGTGATATACTTTGAACGGATGAGCAATTGAAGTCTTTTTTTCATCTAAAAGTAGTTTATTAAATTGGCTTACCAGTTGTAACTATTTTTGATGCATATTTTTTTTAATATGAAATATCTTATGTTATCTAATATTATTCCATCTTATATGAATAATATGCAAATTTATCTAATATTATTCCATCTTATATGAATAATATGCAAATATAGTTCTTTGGGTTTGGGTTCCGCTTTTTCCCCATACATCACAAATGTGTCAGCTTCTTATCTTAAAACAGCTAAAATCACATGTAACCACTGTATCATCTAATTGAATGTGCCGATTTTATTATGTAAACTTTTTAACATACTAAAACTGAACTGAATGGTGCCACTGAAAACCACGGTCGAATTTATTCGGCACTTTGGTGGAGACCGCAACTTCCCTTCAATAATCCCAATTCACCGCAATTTTAACTCGTTTGGACTTTGGTGGAATGTCCTCCCCCTCCCCGTAACCTACATTTTACAGTTCCTCGATGGCGGCTGCGCGGCTCGGCTTCTGGCCAGGCAGCCCTTTGAAGTTGAACGCGAACCTGCCCATAATGTGAGAGAAGACCAAGCCAATGGACTGAAACAGCGGATCCAGGAAGGACCGCACGATCGCCTTGAACAGCATGGCTATGGGCCTCAACACAACGAAAGTCAGCTTGAAACTGGGTTGTATGAGGAACACCGTGAAAAAGTTGACGAGGGCGAAAACGATCGCCCAGAGAAAGGCCAGAGGAACGCCCGGAATCAGGCTGAAGAAACGGTAGACGCCCAGCTGGACGGAAAGAGGGGGAGACAATGTGGGGACGATTGTTTGGCGTGGGACTTTGCGTTAGATTTCTGAGAATAGTGTTCTTGCCAAGAAGTTTATCCTAACTGATCTTAATAATTTATAGGAGCACCAAGGAGTACACAATAAACGATATACATCTACAAGTTCGTGAATTTGTGCTGATCTCCAACTATATTGCATACAAATCTCAAATCTGACACAATACCGTTGGTCGCTTATGTCGTTATACTAATTTAAATATAAAAAAGGGAAAGGGGAAAAAACAGATGGACTCTGCACAACAACCAACCAAACAGTGGCCCAAATATAGTCGCAAGTTTTTTTTTTTTATAAATTAGGAGGTTCTGAAATTAAAACTTCAAGTTGAAAAACAAAAACCGAAATTTGAAACACGCTTGCGAAAATGAGAAACTCGGCATAGGTATGGTTAAAGATAGGGCCGGGAAAAGAAAGAACAAAAATAGAATTTGTTCGGGTTGAAGGTTTGTCATTCACTTGCGTCTCTACTGAGGTATGGACCTAAGACTATCATCGATCATCTAATCATCATGATCGATTTTGCGAGGATACATGATGAGGTAAAACTTCACCGCCAAGAAAAAAAAAAACAGAACAAGAAAGTTCACACTCATTGGAGGGGTCATTATTTTGAATCTGATCGTCTTATGATGACGTCATTTATATGCACCTTTGGGGAATTTTGTTAGCTACATTTTGATGCCCCTTTCGCTACCAAAGACTGTTAATCGTTCAATATTGACAGCGTTTTATGAAAAACGATGCACTTTGAAAAGTTGCAGTTAAAGAAATACGCGAGGAAAAATTGCCAGCGCAAACACACATTCGTTCGCCTAGCGCGTGTTTTCCCTGCCGTTCGTTTCGGCCAATGTCACATTGTCACGTGGCAATTTCCACTCGACTCATGTACTTTTTAAATTTGCAACTTTTCAATCCGCATCATTTTTCACCGCAAACCGCCATCGATCTTGGACGATTTACAGTCTTTGGTAGCAAACGAGGTATCAAAAATGTAGCTAATAAAATTTTCCAAAGGAGCCCATAGACGCCTCATAAGTCCGCAAACTTGTCCGAAACATCGTTGTTCGTTGTTGGCATTATGAGGTGTCGGACTTATGAGGCGTCGGAGCTATGAGGCCGAACCCCCAAGTCCAATGCCTCATTAATTCGATGCCTCATAAATCCGAAATTTCGGACTTAAGTTATGAGGCATCAGACTTACAGCACGGCCCCCATAAGACGATCAGATTCAAAATTATGACCCCTTCCGTTTTGTTTGCGACGTTTGTAACAAACCTGTGTCCATTTAAAGACCAATCCAGAAAACTCGGCAAGCGCATCGAAGCTATTGGCACCGTCAGCCTCTTTGAATACTTCCGCATATTCAACCTGCAAAATAGGATTGTTTCAATACGAAGTGTACATGCATTAATTTCTTATACAGTTATCCATTAAATGAGGTCTATCTCTATTTTGGGATGAAAAGGTCAAATTTGCACGCCTCAAGGCCAAAGAAAATCAAATGTTTTATCAAAATTTAAGTATTTTTGTAAATGATGAAAACCAACCTTAACATGAGGGGTCATTCGGTAAATATCTTCCTCAGCGAAGAACGAGCTCATGTCAGCGCGGCTGGCCTGGCGTCCCCCGCCCGTGCCGGCGGGCTGGCCAGCAGCAGCGGCCGGCGGCACCACCGAGTTGTAAGCCGGGATGTCCACGGAGCCCGGGGGCGGATACACAGGGGGTTGTTGGCCGTGCCACGGATCGGGATTCGGGACGGGTTTTGTATCTGCGTTAAACATCATCATCATGCGAGTTAAATTTTAAAATTGCAAGTTGTTAACCTTTGAAGAGGTTTTATCACTCCGTTTTCTAAACAATTGAGTCCGTCACAAGTTAGCCTATTGAACAGGATATGAAATTATGTGCCACTTGAGATTAATCCTTTCGATATCTGATTAATTTGTTTGCAGTGTGTGTGGTTGACCATCATGCTAGCTATCAATAGCTCCATGGCGTGACAAACAAGCTTTACAACACGCGAACAAATCGTCGCAGAGCTGACATACCGACGAATAAGCGAAAAACTTGTTTCGAGTAATTCGCGTTTGAAGTTGGACAGTTTTCTGGGCGCCGTATTTTACCCTTAATGTTTCGATAATAACCCTTTAAGTGTATATTCGGAATAAAATAGGAAACTAAGTATCCATCAGGTCACTTATTTAATCAGAGAAGTTGTGCGATATGATTTTATTTGATCGTAAAACGTATTCGTCAGTTTGTCAAATTACATTAATCTCCAATAGCCGGTTGTTCTTCACACTGTTTGTATGCTATTCGTCAGTTTGTCAATTCGTTGGTACTTTGAATGCGCACCATACATAAGCTGGTTACCAGCGAATAGTTCGTATGCTGTTCGTCAGTTTGTCGGATCGCGCTTTATGAATGCAATCATCAAAGTTATTTGGGAAAATTATTATTCCACTGAACTTTCACTTTTAGTTTTCAGCTGCACCACCAATCTCTGATGAAATTATATCTTCTTCACAAACCCCTTCCCGAATGCCTTAGTTCCAGAACTCCGATTGCCATGGCTGTTTAATCCATCGGCTCAGAACATTCCAAAATGGGGCCAAGTCTCGATTAGGCCTATGGGCCAAAGTCCAAACGAAGGCCCACACCCCAAAAGGCTGACGGTGACATAATAGCATTGCGTCGTTTTAGTGACCTTAATCAGCCATATGGTTGCGAAGGGCGATCTCTAAAGGTTACGTAACACTTTATTTTGAAATAACAACTGGGATAAATTCCTAGAAATTGGGATAAATACATACATTTGGGGAAGTTTTTGAACGATTTCTTCCAGACTTGAAGGTCAGCTTTGACAGTAACCAGTATTGAGGTTTCGGCATCGATGACGCTCTTCACTGACATGAAGTTTAGAATTTCTTCTTCAGTTAGAATGTAACATTTCAATCATACCGAGCATATTTTCTGAGAAACACAACGTTCAAAATGCCACGGTTTTTTTTTTTTGGGGGGGGGGGGTGCATGAATTTCACTGCTCCCTTATAGCGTCTAAGTACGTAATCGGATTGGTTTTGCGGTTAACAACGGCGACGCTTTGCTGTTAGCAACCATATGGTTGTAACAGTATACCATACCATGGTGTCGGGAAAGCAAAGATATCAGCAAGGGGGGGGGGGGGGGGGCAGCGAAATCATGTTGGTCAACCAGACATGCAATGGAAATAAGAAACGCAACAGCTATACACATAATAATGTTGAATCCTGTTTTCCGGCCCAGAATACGATCATCGAGGAAAACGGAGAAAAGCCTAAAGAGGATGGAGAAGAGAAAGACACCGAGAACGGAGAGAACGAAGGAAAGGAATGAGTGACCTTAGCCTGACCTGACCTAATATTTTGCCTGTAACCTATGACCTACCAGGTCATAGGTCACTGGTACCCTGATGCTGGTAGCCTCATGATTTGTGTACATATCTGCCGTTCATTGATTCATTGCTGTTTCAATTGCGGTTACCAGTGAATAAATTATGTACAGTGCTGCCGAGTTAACATGTTAGCAGCAGCCACTGTTAAAATAATTCATTTTATCATTTTCTTACAAAATCGGAAGGGAACAACAACAGCCTCCCTTTTTTGATCTGATAACAATTCCAGTACAAGTGGAGGTTTATGAATAAAATTCATTGTAGTTTTCGAAAGACTAATGCAAATTCAAATAGGGGGCCAATATCCGCTCCGTTCACAAGCGGTTAAGCACCCCCTCACCGGCTAAGGAAGTACAGTTGGGGGTGACCGACCGACGCCCGCATCTTGCTGTACTGCAAGTCATTTGCCGCGAAGCGCGGCCACTGCGTGTACATAGTACAAATCCCCTGGTGTTCGTGCGTCACACACAAGGAACGGTGCGCGTCAACCAGCGAAATGTCCCATCCATGATCAATGGACGTCCCATAGACAGGTTTTATTATGTCTATGGGTGCACGCATGTAAATAGGCCAAAAATTCGTATGAGAGCCATAAAATTGGGGAATTGAAGATATATGGTGATGAACCTCTGGCCCGGACTTGGGGCTTCCAATTCTGAGCATTTTGGATGCTATTGGGCTCGAAAGTGGCGCTATTTTGCCATGTTGTGGAGGGATCGTTTTTCAAGATGGCTACTTTTCCGCTTCGGGAAAAATAGGGGTCGTCTTATTTGGGTGAGAATATCTCGAAAAGTTAATGGTCAACCCACCAAAAAATGAAAAGAAAATGAAAGATGACACTTTGATCATCATTTTTCTGTGCAGCTTCAATACCTGTGAGAGTTCTGAGTATTTTAAAAGAATTTTGAAGTATGCACATTTAGCACTAGTGTCTATGGATTTTTTTTGCAGGGTTGCACCCCTATGGGACGTCCTTGCTAAGTAAAAGGGCGCCCTCTTTTCAGCGCACGGAGCCCATAAAGTAAGCATACAAATTAGGCAAGTTATTTTTGGGGTAATAATTGTTTATTTTCCTTCTAAAAATATAATTTTATTGATTCAAAAAAGTTAAGCCTATATTAAGTTGGATTTTACTTACAAAATAGGCCTACATTATAATTTCAGAGCTGCTTGTCATACTAATTCTGGTGTTTTTTGGTTTGTAATATTGCATTGGCGCATCCAGGATTTGGAATGGGGGGCTCAATGTTTTTTTTTCAAAAAATGTTGCCCAAAAGTTTTAGCCGCAGAAAAAAAAATTGATTTTTTTCGGGGGGCGGACTATTTTGAAGTTGGTGGCGCCACTTACACCCCTATTATACTACTCAAAAATAGGCCACATAGGGCCTACATATCGGCGAGGTAAAATCGTGGGACTAAAAAAACCTTTAAAGTAACTTTACGATGAGTGTAATGTTTAATTAATGTTTAATTGTTTCATTGTACATGCTGTTCAAGGGACAATGAAAATGAACAAATTATGAAATACTTTGACAAACCTTAAAACAATTATTGGAAACATTTGCCACATTCCACAATCGTAAGTATGCAATTACAAAGAATATGGTGATTATGGTTTTACCTTCATAGTTTAACTTGGGTAAAATTTGTCATCGTTTGAAAAAAAATATTCTGTCAATTTTCTTGCAGAAAATCGTGCTTGTACACTTTGTTAAGTGATGCAAAGATGCTTTTGCTCAGAACAATTTGCTTTAAGTGATTTGTTTTTCTGCCTAAATGTTTCATGAAACTGGGCCCATGTTAGATTTTATTCAAACACAAAATCTAAACACAGTTAAAGCACTTAGCATACCCCCAAGTGGTCTTTAATTTAGTTTTAATACAGTTTTGAAATTATGAAAATGAAAATAGAAATGTACATTTCACGAACGGAAAATAACATTTTCTGCAAAAGTACCAACACGTCGGCCCGATTTAATGGTAAAGAAAACCAAAAACACAAACTGTTCCTCTGTAACCCAAATAGTCAAATACACAGCAGAACAATATAACCCAATATTATATTTCACAATCTTAAAACTTTATATTTATCGATTGATAAACTACCCGGGATTCCAAGGAGATCATACTTCATTTAATAAAAACTATATTTTTAATACAATAATTATGTGCTTCGATCCTAAAATTTGAAATTATTCAACCCTAACCTCACGTTTACCCTATAATTATCTATACATTCACATATACACAACCAAAAATAAGCATAAATGTTATGCCTTTCACACCATAACGTTCGTTACACTTTGTCCGCTTGATTTTTACCTTCTAAGCACTCAGTAAATATAAATACTTTTGAATAGAATTCATTATATAAGTCTTTCCTATTTAATGTAAAGCCAACCACACAAAACACGCCACCAATCAAACGTGTCCTTATTTTTTTAACTATTCGTCAAATAATCATCACACACTCTAATAATTTATATAATGCCTGGACTTTTGAAAAGATTAACTCTCAATTCGATTTAGACTGAAATCAATAAAACTTTACATCATTCCTGATCTTTGTCTATGTTTTATAATGGCTTAAGCGTACTTCTTACAAGGCACAAACGACACTCTTAAAGCTTAAGTTTCTCTCTTATTGCTCGATGTTTTCTTTGGCTTAAATGGAAATTATTTGGTATTGTTTTTTAAAATGAAGTTCACTATCTAAGTATTCAACACACTGTCACATGACATCAAAAACATCGTCAGCTGCTGAAGATACTCAACAAGAAAGCTAATTTTACATTTATATATTGTTTCATCTAATTCCCTGCATATTTTTCACTATGGAAACCTTCAACAAATTGACACCGACCTCAAAACACCAAACCACTCTTGGATTCTTTGGCACTTTGTTGGAAATCTTAACCTACATTTTACAGTTCCTCGATGGCGGCTGCGCGGCTCGGCTTCTGGTCCGGCAGCCCCTTGAAGTTGAACGCGAACCTGCCCATAAAGCGAGAGAAGACCAAGCCGCAAGACTGCCACAGCGGGTCCAGGAAGGACCGCACGATCGCCTTGAACAGCATGGCTAGGGGTCTCAGCAGAATGAAGGTGAGCTTGACCATGGGTTGCATGAGGAACACCGTGAGAAAGTTGATAAGGGCAAAAATGATCCCCCAGAGAAAGACCATAAGGACGCCCAGAACCAGGCTGAAGAAACGGTAGACGCCCAGCTGGATGGAGAGAGGGGGAGACAATGTGGGGACGATTATTACTTAGCGTGGAATTGACAAGTCCTGGTAACACATCTGAGAATCCCGTCTGAGAATTGTGATTGCCTTCGTGTCCTTGGGCATGCAAGACCCTTATCCACAATTGCTCTTGCTAGGAGTACCTATAGTACTACACAACAATCGATATCTACAAGTTCGTGAATTTGTGCTGATCTCGAGCAATTTGCATATACATCTGACACTGTTGCCCGTTGGTCGCTCATCTCGTTATACATGTGCTTATTTATTTTTAAATTATACAGTTTGATCTATCGAACACAACTCACAAACCAAATGACATCCCCAAAAATGGGAAGGGAAAAAAAGAGAGAAAAAAAAGAGATGGACTACCCAACAACCAACCAAACAGTGGCCCAACTATAGTTGTGTGCTTTTGTATATTTGTTTTTCAATTAAGAATTCAAGTAGAAAAACGAAATGGTTTGTAAAAAAAACCACACGCTTGCGAAAATGAGATACTCGATATTTCAGTTAAAAAATGTATAGGTATAATTATATGGTTAAAGATAGGGCCTCCCCAAACTAGATCGGACAAACTCAAAAGAGGGCGCTCTCTCTGCTTTATGCATATTCATGATGCCCAGAGCTTCAGAGAACAAGTTATATAACAAGGAATAAGGTTGCTAAATCATCAACGATTGGTAGCTGATTCGTGGACTGGTTGGAAGTAGTCCTGACTTCTAATTAGGTGATACGAGGTCGAACCCCAGTGAGCGTTTCAGTTCACTTCTTCGCACTTTACCTTTTGAAATAACCACAGTGAGGAAGGAACATTTCTCACAAGACGTAAAGCCTATATTGAGTTTGTGTTGTGGAGATCAAGGCATTAGATATGCATGTAATGGACCAATCAGAAGATGGGAAACGGATGTCGTTTGGGAAAAAAAGATTTGCGGCCAGGAAAGAAAAGAAAAAGGACTGGAAGTTGTTCAGATTTAAGGCCTGTCATTCACTTGCCTACCCAGGAATGGACCAAAGAATATCACCGATTATCATATCATGATGATGGATTTAGAGAGGATGCTTGAAGTATAACAAACCTGTGTCCATTTAAAGACCAACCCACTCGCATTGGCAAGCGCCTCGAAGCTATTGGCACCGTCAGCCTCTTTGAAAATTTCCTCATGTTGAACCTGCAACATTTGAAAATAGGAACGGTTTTAATACAAAGTCTATTTATTTAAAATACAGACATGTCCATTACAATAGGATACTCCATGTGCATGCCACAAGGAGATATCAAACTGTTTTATCACAAATTAAAGTTGTGAAAAAAATGATTAAAACCGACCTTAACATGAGGGGTCATCCGGTAAATATCCTCCTCAGCGAAGAACGAGCTCATGTCACCGCGGGTGACTGGGCGCTGCTCCCCGCCCGTGTCGGCGGGCTGGTCAAAGGCAGCGGCCGGCGGCGCCCCCATGCTGTAAGCCGGGGCATCCACGGGGCCCGGGGGCGGGTACCCAGGGGCTTGTTGGGCGTTCCACGGATCTGGATTCATGACGGGTGTCGGACCTGCGTGATAAATTTATCATACGAGGGAATTTTAAAATTACAAGTTGTAAAGCTTTGAAGAGGTTCAATCACTCTGTTTCCTGAACTGATGTGTCCATCACCGTATGGGTGTGATGATGAAATTTGACTGAGCAAAGGAATTATGCCATTCATTTGAACACCTTGGCACTTTGTTTCACATGGCAAATTTGATATGCAGGTGACTTTCTTACCCTTTTTGGTAGGAGGGGTTGCTAAAGATATGTTTCCAGCCATCGAGTTGGGTGATTGTATGTTGACTTTAGGTTTGGGTTTGGTGTGAAGTTAGGTTCATGTTTTGGGGTTCGGGTCTTCGGGAATGGGTTCGAGCTCAGATTTGCGTCCGTGTGTAAATGTGACGCTGCTTGCATTGGATTTGGGATCAAGAAGTACCATTGAAACATTTCGGGTTCGGGTTGGTTTGAGTTCGGGTTTGGTTATAGATGCGGGTTTGAGTTCGGTTTAAGGTTTGGGTTTGAATTTGAAACATTTCGAGTTGGGTTCGGGTTGGTTTAGGGTTTGGGTTTCGGTTCGGGTTTGAGTTCGGTTCAAGGTTTGGGTTCGGATTTGCGTCCTCGTGTTGGCTGGCAGTTTATGCTTGAATTTGGGTTTGAGTGAGACATAATATATGAGTTGGGGTTTTGGTTTGGGTTTTGGTTCGGGTCAGTTGGGTTCGGGTTGGCGGTTGGGATTTGGGTTTGAGTTTAAATTGGATGCCGTGTTGGGTTTGCAGTTTTTGGTTTTCAGTTTGGGTTTCTGTTTTGATTTGAGCTCGGCAGTATATAGGCCTACATTGGGTTTGTAGTGTGGGTTTGGTTTGGTTCTGGTCAAGTTGGTTACAGAGGTTAGGTTTTGGGTTGCATTTGGACTTGGTTTGGATTTGAACACTGGTTTGGTCACACCATAAGTTTGTTTATAAGTTTAGTTGATTACAGCTTTGATTTTGGTTTGGTTGGGTTGTTTGGATTTAGCTTTGGGGGGGGGGGATAATCGCGGGCCAGCATAGTAAGTAAACTTAGCTATAAAATGGTTGTGAAAATAGAGTCTTGGCCTACAGGAAAAAAAATCATTTAATATATATATTTTGCCCAGAATTAGTGTTGCAGTGGTGTACATTTCAACGAGTGCATGGGCGTCGCCAGGATTTTTTTCTAGAGGGGGGCAAAACATATTTTTTTCCCCCAAAAAATCCTGTATTTCTCAACATATTCTCCATTTCTCAGTTTTAGAGGGGGGCAGGGACATTTTGCCCCCCCCCAACTCATTAAATTTACACCACTATGACTTCGCGTTGTTTTTTGTTTTTGTTTTGCTTTTTCGAAGGGGGGGGGGCAAGCGCCTCCCTTGCCCCCCCCCCCCCCCTCGCGACGCCCATGCACGAGTGCGAGTAGGAGTGCGAGTACAAGGCAAAAAAACATCCCACGAGTACAGCCCGGTTCATACTTCATGCGAAAGCGAATGCGAAGCGAATTTGACATCATGAAACATTCGCTGCGAATTCGCCCGAGTTGAAATGTGTTCAACTTTTACGAATTCGCAGCGCGAATACTTGCCATGACGTCACAAATTCGCGTTCGCGTTCGCTTTCGCGCTGAGTATGAACCGGGCTTTACAGTACTTTTTCAAGAGTACGAGTACGAGTACGGGTACTTTTCCACGAGTGCCAGCACGAGTACTACAACACTGCCCAGAATATCAAGTTAAAAAGGGTCAATTTCTGAACCCTTAGCAGCTTTTTGGGGTACTTTGACGCTACAATTTATTACCCTTTAGACATGGACCACTAGTCGTATAGTGCAAGGTATCATTGCTATGTATACATATTTTGAACACTTTGAAGTAGGCATGCCAGCGTACCAATTGAGATTAACCTAGGCGATATCTTGTTTTGTTTGCACTCTGTGTATAGTTGACCATGAGAGCTACCAATAGCTTCATGGCGCGACAAACAAGCTTTACAATATCATGAACTAACCAATGGCACTGCTGATTTTTATTCTTATGACTTCCTCTTTATGGTGTAATGCAATAATTACACGAATACCAAAGTTATTCGATCAAGTTATTCCTCTACTAAAGTTTCGCTTTCAGTTTCAAGAACTGTTCTTGTTCACACACCCTTTCTGATTGCCTAAATTTTAGAACTTCCCGATGGTTGTTTCCTCCGGCCAAGAAATTCTAAAATGGGGCTAAGTTTTGAAAGGTTTGCTGGCCAAAGTCCAAACGAAGGCCCACACCCAAATGGCTTACGGTGATCTAGCACTACACGCGAATGTATTAGTTGTAGAAATTATTTTTCCCCCGCAAACTGTAGGCTGTATTTCTGATTTTGTAAACACTACATACGCTCTACACTCGCCGGCAGGTACGGTAATGCATCAGATTAATTGTGTGAAAACGAATGACACCTGTGACGAGAATGGTAGGGTTATATTGTACAGGGCGAGTTAAAAAAACCCCAAAAGTCGGGACTACTGTTTAAGGTAGTTTTGCATGTAGCACTTTCGAAACCTAGGATATGAACGCCCAATCCATAAGCTTTCTTTTAGTACAAGAATTATTCGAATTACCCATTTAATTCTGAAGTTACGGAATTTGAACACAACCACTGTTTTAAAGTTCTGTCTACGGATCACAAAAAAGGTGTCGTTTTTTCAGCGAAACGAAAACAAATCACATAGGGATGTGTGTGAATTGTTTTCGTTATGCTGAAAGAACGACACCTTTTTTGTGATCCGTCGACAGAACTTTAAAACGGTGGTTGTGTTTAAATTCCGTAACTTAATACGTCCACATGGGATTTAAATGATTCTTGTACTAAATAAAAGCTTATGAATTCAGCTCTCATATCCTAGATTTTCAAAGTGCTACATGTAGCGCTTTACTAAAACAATAGTCCCGACATTAGGGTTTCTTTTTTTCTGACTCACCCTGCACGTTTAAGTGAATCAATGCATGTAGGGCACATTTTATAAAGCGCCAAGTAATTGTTGACAATTCCAAAATTGCCACAATTTCCCCTGCATGAACTGGGGAACTTCACTTTCACCGTGACAACCCTCAAATTAGTGATAAAAATGACACATTAACCGAAGTTAGCCTAATTAGCTCTGTTAATAAAACACGAAGCATTACAGAATATTCATTTGTTTAATGAAGATTTAAAATGATGTACAAATATTCAAGTAAACCACATCAGGAAACTAACTAGGTGAAGTTTAGTTAAACATTTTAAAGTTGAACAAAGAAAATTGCCAGAGCAGGGCAAGGGCGGATCCAGGGGGGGGGGGGGGGGGCAAAGGGGGCCATGGCCCCCCCCCCCAAAAACGAAACCAATTTTTTTTTTTTATGTGACATCGCAATAAAGGCAGGCAATGAGTACACCACCATCTTTTCCTCAAAAAAAACATTGGTTAAAGTGGTCAGAAATTGCCTCAGATCGCACCACAGAGCATCTAGAATCCAAAATTTTGTCGGGGCCCTTAAGCGGGCCCCGTACCCCACGCCGTAATTTTTTTTGACCCACTTTTTGGGGGGACCAAAATTTTGTTTGGCCCCCCGAAAATTGTGTTCTGGATCCGCCCTTGGAGCAGGGTTCGAACCAGCAACCGGGCGAATACCGTATATCGGCGCCCTATACAAGCACGATCTAGCCCTATTTTTGGGGTTTCCCAGATTTATACTGGACTTCTAAAACTGGGCTTTTGTCAAATTTAGGTTGGATCGTTCGACTCGCGGCAAGCCTACGGGATTGCAGCCTTGCATTGTTTTTAATGACCTGTATTCCTGAAGACTTTATCCATCATGGCATTATGGCAACCACCGCCATTATGGCGAATGGGCGTCAATCGCTTCTCAAAAGTGGGCCAAGGACATACCTGGCTTGATCAGCACCATAATGCGAGCGCGAAGCCCTAACGGCTTGAGGTCCGCGGATCCGCAAAGAACGAGTGGGACAAGTTTTGGATTCTAGATGCTCTGTGGTGCGATCTGAGGAAAGTTTTGACCACTAAACCCAATTTTGTGAGCGAAAAATCATCTTTTAAACATTATTTTCGAGTTTGAAGTCATTGAATCAGCTATTCTGAGCTTGTGTTGGCTAAAATGTTTATTCGGGGACGACCTAAGTGTGGGGGGGGGGGGGGAACAATATGATATCCCCCCCCCCTTAAAAAGTCGGGGGATTTGTTCCCCCCGTCGCCCAACGATTGACGCCCATGGGATCCTCACACACAAAGCTACAGTTAATGCAGTTTAATATTAACCACAGTTATTTACAGAGGACAACAAATAATTCGACTATTTATATCAAAAGTGAATGTTCAAAAGACAGAAAAAATAATGGTGTACGTACCACTACCAAAGGATTGCTTGCTCATGTCATGCGATACAGCTCCGTAACCGGCTTCGTACGATTTTTCTGGCATGAGAAAGGCGGCTGGCTGGTCACTCGGGTTGTTTCCACTGCTCATTGCCGGCCACAGGCGGTTGCTATGGTTCTCTAAAGGTCACGCGCTGTCTCCACTCCATAGAATCTTCCTTTGTGTGCGCTATAGCTGACCTTATAATGTATATGCACGATCTATTATATGCTTTTATGTAGGCGCTGCAATTGAACTTTGCAACGTCGTGTTGGTGATGTCAACATAGCTAGGCCCAATACGGTTCGGTTTCGTTTTCAGGAACACAATACCACCGGGCATGAACACGCTCGTAATATATCGGTATGAGTTGACAGTCTGCAGATGGAACTGATATGGAGGGTAGATGTGTCAATAATTGGAGCGGCGCCTTTTCAGGCCACCATAGCCCCAGCTCAAAATATGCGAAGAGGATGGGGTGTTACATGCACCCGAGTTCATCAAGGGAAGAAAATTTGTCACTTTTTGGCAAAAAAATAAAAAACCTGTCAATTTTTACACAAAATCGTGCTTATACACTATGTTTAGCGACGCATAGATGCTTTGGCTTAATTAGAACATGATTACGTCAGTGATTTGTGTTTCTGCTTTAAAAATGCTTCTTGATTGGGCCCTTGTTAGATGCTATGCAAACACAAAACTTAAACACAGTTAAACAACTTAGCATGCTCTCCAAGTGCCTTTTAATTTACTTATACATGTACATCAACAACCCAAGTTACCTTGTTAAGACCCTTTAAGTACAGTTTTGACAAATATATATAGATGAATTTGAATATAGATATATATATATTTTAACGACCAAAAGTAACATTTTCTGCAAAAGTACAAAAAAGTCAGCCTAATTTAATGGTAAAGAAAAACAAAAGACAAACTAATACATATATAGATGAATTTGAAAATAGAAATATATATATTTTTACGACCAAAAGTAACATTTTCTACAAAAGTACCGAAATATCAGCCCTGTTCCTTTGTACCCTTGAAATACTTTTTGAAATAGTCAAATACACAGCAGAACAATAAAATAATATTATATTTCACAATCTCAAAATTGTATATTTATCCATTGATAAACTACCCGGAATTCTATTCATTTAATAGAAACTTTATTGTTAATACCATGTGCTTTACTATAACCTGATCCTACAGTACATTGCAATTGAAAGTTGAAATCATTAAAACTTTACACCTTTCCTGATCTTTGTCTAATATGTTTTAAAATGGCTTATTTTGATTACATTTTTTGAAGCGTACCTCTTAACAGCACTCTTAAATGTAGTTTCTGTCGTATTGCTCGATGTTTTTTGGCTTCAATGGCAATTATTTAGTAATTTTTAAGTAAAGGTCACTATCTAAGTATTCAGTGCGTTGTAGCGTTACATTAAAAACATCGTCAGCTGCTGAAGATACTCAACAAGACAGCTAATTTCACATTTATTATGTTGTTTCATCTAAATTCCCTGCAAATTTAACACTATGGACACTTTCAACAAACTGACACTGACCTCAAACGATACACCACAAAACCGCTCATGAATTCTTTGGCACTTTTGGTGGAAATCGTAGCCTACATTTCACAGTTCCTCGATGGCGGCTGCGCGGGTCGGCTTCTGGCCCGGCAGCCCTTTGAAGTTGAAAGCAAACCTGCCCATAATGCGAGAGAAGATCAAACCGTTGGACTGCCACAGCGGGTCCAGGAAGGACCGCACGTTTGCCTTGTACAGCATGGCTATGGGCCTCAGCAGAATGAAGGTCAGCTTGACAGTGGGTTGCATGATGAACACCGTGAAAAAGTTGATAAGGGCGAAAATGATCCCCCAGAGAAAGACCAGAAGGACGCCGAAAATCAGGCTGAAGAAACGGTAGACGCCGAGCTGGATGGAGAGAGGGGGAGACAATGTGTGGACGATTATTTGGCGTGGAAGTGACAAGTCTAGTGTCTGACTTTGCGTCAGACATTTTGAGAATCCCGTCTGAGAATCGTAACTGCTTTGGTGTCCTTGGGCAAGAACTTCATCCCAATTCCTCTTAATAGGAGAACGTACACAACAACCGATATCTGTACAAGTTTGTGAATTTGTGCCGATCTCGGACTATTGCATACAGATCTGACACTGTTGCCCGTTGGTCGCTCATCTAGTTATGCATGTACTTAATTATTTTAAAATTATACAGTTTGATATCGAACACCACTCACAAACCAAATGACATCCCCAAAAATGAGAAGGGAAAATTACACCAAAAAAAAAAAGAGAGAGATGAACTACAACCAACCAACCAAACAAACAGCGGACCAACTAAAGTTGCGTGCTTCTTTATTTGTGAACTAGGAAGTTTTTCAATTAAGAATTCAAGTAGAAAAACGAAATGGTTAAAAAAAAAACCACGCTTGCGAAAATGAGAGACTCAATTTTTCATACTAACAAATGTAGGTATGGTTAAAGATATGACCGGAAAAAGGAAAGAAAAGAATTAGCATTAATTTTGTTTGGATTTAAGGTCTGTCATTTACTTGCGTCTCTACCGAGGTATGGACAAAAGAATATCATCTATCATCATCATGATGATGGATTTAGAGAAGCAGTACAACAAACCTGTGTCCATTTAAAGACCAACCCACTCGCATTGGCAAGCGCATCGAAGCTATCGGCACCATCAGCCTCTTTGAAAATTTCCGCATATTCAACCTGCAAAATTTGAAATCAAGCAGAAGAAAAAACATAGGAACAGTTTTAATACAAAGTCTATTTATTTCTGTAACAGGTGTATCTATTAAAATAGGAGATCTCCAATTCGGGACTAAATGTCAAATTTGCACGCTGTAAGGAGATATCAAAATATTTTATCACAAATTGAAGTATTTAAAAAATGATTGAAACAAACCTTAACACTAGGGGTCATTTGGTAAATATCTTCCTCAGCGAAGAACGAGCCCATGTCGCCGCGGCTGACCGGGCGCTCCCCTCCCGCGCCGGCGGGCTGGCCAGCGGCAGCGGCCGGTTTCGCCCCCGAGTTGTAAGCTGGGACTTCCACGGGGCCCTGTTGGCCGTTCCACGGATCTGGATTCATGACTGGTGTCGGACCTGTGTGATATATTTATTAAAAAAATTACACTGAGTTGCAAACCTTTGCAAGATGTTTAATCGTTGTGTTTCCTAAAATGATGTGTCCATCACAAGATACAGCCGAAAGCCCGGCTCGATCTGCCCGAAAGCGAAAGCGAAATCAAATGTGTGAGGTCGTTCGCGCTTTGTTGGTTACTTGTTTGAGATTGGTTTGGTTTAGTTTGGGTTGTTTAGATTTAGTTTCAGGGATAATCGCGCCTTTTTATCGCGGGCCCAAAATGCTAATTTTCCTATAAATAGAGCCTCGGCCTATACCAAAAAATCAGTTCGATACTTGTCCAGAATATCAAGTTGAAAGGATAAATTTCTGAACCCTTAGGCTAACAGTTTTGGTACTTTGACGCCATAATTGTGACCCCTTTCGTCATGGACCATTGCATGGTCTTACAGTACAAGGTATGCTGTGTACATATTTGGAATACTTCAAAGTACCTTTTATACCCCTTTCGATATCTGTTTTGTTTGCCTTTTGTGCATGGATGACCATTGGAGCTGTCAATAGCTCAATGGCGCGACAAACAAGCTTAAGAATATTATGCACGAACCACTGCTGATGCGCTTCTTTTCATTCATTTCCTCTTCAGGATGTAATGCAATACGAATACCAAAGTTATTCGGAAAAGTTATTCCTCTACTAAAGTAGTTTCACTTTCAGTTTTCCGATTACGCACCACCAACTCTGATGTTGAAATAGTCTTCTCCACAAGTCCCAGACAATATTGCGTAAGTTTCAAAACTTCGATTGAAATGGTTGTTATGAATCGACCCTGGAACTCCAAACTAGGGCCAAATTTCGAGAGATCTGTAGGCCAACATAATCTTTCAAAACAAAGGCCCACTTTCATCAGGCGACAGCTATACAGAGTGACCTCCCCCCCCCCCCAAAAAAATGCAACCCTAAAACATTTGCCTTAAAAAAAAGACTCAGTGGATTATTAAGTTTTGGGTATCAGAGTAAAGCTAAGAGCTTTTTTTTCTTCAAATACTGAACAAAATCATGAAAATAGCACTTTGGGTTGCTGAGAAAATGCCACTTATGTAAAAGTAGACATTTTTCAACCTGTATAGAAGTACTTCAAATACAGTGAAACATTTTACTGTAAGCCTACTGTGCAATCATCCTTTATTTGTGCTATTTCTTCAGTATTTTGTCAAATTTATGATGCTGAAAAGGGTTTAAAATAGGACTAAAAGGATGAGACACATGTTCAGGTGGAAAAGAAAATGTATTTCCATCAAATTCATTTGTACTCTTGTCATATTATGTGCCATGTTGTTTGTAAGGATTATGACATGCACAAATAGGTACAGTGACAATCCCTTACTGTGGTAATTTGTGTGTGTGTACAGGATGAAAAATGACTACTTTTACATAGGCCTAATTGGTATTCTCAGCAACCCAAAGTACTATTTTCATGATTCCCCCCCCCCCAATTTTTAATAGTTAAGCTGATACCCCAAAACAAAACAAAATCCACAAATCCTTTTTTTTCTATTAAGGCAAATGTTTTAGGGTTGCATTTTTAGGGTCAACCCGTACAGGGTGAGTCAAAAAGAGCGGAACCAAAACCCCCAAATTTATATTTCATATTAAAAAAAAAAATATGTGGCACCAAACATAATAATGACTGGAAAGCAAATTTCATAAGCAACTATTAGATGAAAAAAATTGCGGACATTGCTCAATCCTTTCAAAGAATATTACCTTATTAACACAATGACCCTAAAACCTCATTCGTCCAGAAATGCGATTTGACGAATCGTCGTCACAGTTGTCTTCAAACATTACCAGGGATAAAACCTCAGTTTAAAAAGTTGAAAATATTCAACAAAGTTCTTTTGAGGGCCCGTGTTTTGTTTAAGTGGATTTGATAAATCATATTGTTTGCCTAATCAGGGTAGTTACTAAAGATATTGTGTATTACAGTTGCTAACAGTTGTTGAAACTGTATCATTTTCTTTGTTGTTCCAAATAGTCAGAATACACAATAAACTTTGGACGAAACACGTTTTAGGGTCATTGTGTTCAAATGGTGATATTCTTTGAACAGATTGAGCAATTTCAGTAATTATTTTCATCTAAAAGTAGCTTATGATATTGACTTTCCAGTCATTATCAAGTTTGGTGCTACAATTTCTTTTGTAAATAAGAAATATGTTTTGGGGGGTTTGGGTTCCGCTTTTTTGACTCACCCTGTACAATAGCTTACAGTGTCATTAAGTGAATCGCAGCACATGCATTTAAGGCGCCAAGGTTGACAATTTTCCCTGCACTGATTTACACGTGACACATTTTTAATGAAACCAAACGTAAGCAGTGTTTATATAACTGATAATGTAGTAACCAACGGATAAAATATCACCAACCGATAATAATGTAACAACAATTGATCGATACTGTATCACTAACCGATAATGTAACAAAAACTGACTGATATTGAAGTAAATGTTACCAAACTATCAGTTATTTTTGGTTACCTTATCGGTTAGGACCTTGACTTATACTGTAGTACATTCTACCACACTATCGGTAAATGTTAATCGGTTAGGGTTAGTGATACAGTATCGGTCAATTATCGGTTAGTGATACTTTCTAATCCGTTGGTTACTACATTATCAGTTGTAACAAGCTGTGCGAGTAATGAAATGCTATCCAAGCATGAAAAAAATATTCATTTTGTTTAGCCGTCACAAATTAAAATAAACCACACAGGGAAACTGACTAGATGCAGTATAATGAGTATAATATATAATTTCAAAGTTGAATAGAGAAATTGCCCGACGATAATGACTAGTGTAAACCGTCTGGACGCTCTAATTACCAACTGAGTTATCTAGCTATACATGTAGGCGGTTCCCTAAAATTTAAAATGGACAACTAATCATCATGGACCGCTTGGCGAATTTGGGTTGGATCGCTAAACTCACGGCTATATACGGGATTGCAGTGTGATCTGCATTTTTTATGTCTAAATCCATGTCAACCACCGCTATATTGGCGAACTGTTGCGCAGATTTAATATCGTCATTGATACGGTTAATATAGTTTAATATTAACTACAGTTATCTACAGAGGACAACATATAGTTCGACTATACGGCAAAAGTGGACTTTAAAGGACAGACAAATAATGGTGTACGTACCGATGGATTGCTTGCTCATATCAAGTGATACAGCTCAGTAACCGCAACTTGTAAGCTTTTTCTGGCATGAGAAAGGCAACTGGCGTTTCACCCGAGTAGTTACCAACGCTAATTGCCGCAAGCAGTAGTTGCTATGGTTCTCTAAGGTCACGCGCTGTTCCCTCTCAATAGAATCTTCCTTTGTGTGCGCCAGGAAGTTGGCCTTATTATAATAATAATAATAATATATGCACGATCGGTATTAAATTGTATGCTCTCATGAAGGTATTGTGTTTGAACTTCACAACGTCGTGTTGGTGATGTCAACATAACTAAATAGGCCCATACGGTTCGGTTTCATTTTCAGGAACACAATACCGCCGTGCATTATGAACACGCTCGCAATATCCGTGTGAGTTTAACCCAAGCTGTGCACGACGTCTTCATTGGGAGAGTCCACCTGGGCTAGGTGTGAGTCGACAGTCTGCAGATGGGAGTGCACATATGTAGCTTCAGAGCTATAATTAGCAGACAAATAGGGGTTCTTCCCGATATTCCCCAATACATTATGTTCCCCGAGAAATCCTTATAGGATTAAGGTTAGGGTTGTATGATTAGGTTAGGGTTAGGGTTAGGGATGGGGAACATCGGTATCGGGGAACATAGGTATGCACCCGATAAATAGTATGACATGTTGCTATAATCCAATCCAAAAAGGAACTTCATGGAGACTAATTGCAAAATGACGACTCTTTTGCGAGACAAGTGAAACATAGGATATGTCCCCATAAACTTGAACCATAGAGCTAACTATAGGACCCAACTCAATGCTTGAAAACAGAACATCTATATGTCAAATAGACAACCCCCCTCCCATCCCCACCCCGTCGCAAAAAATGACGAAAATTTGACTGATCCTTTTATAAAAAAAAAATCTAGCTTTAAATTTGTTTTCTCAAAATTCTTTGTGAGACAAACTGTAAGAGAAAAGCCGAATTCTGGCAGGGAGTGGCACCGCGAGGCGAAGATATATACAAAAATAAGACGGGGGAGCCCACTGACACTCGTCACCAAAATGTTGAGGATGAATGATCTCTAATTAAGTACAAACTCAGCCAGACATTCGTCATGGTTACGGACCGCCTGAGATTTCGAAAAGCGGTCGGGATTGGGGTGGGACGGGGTTTGGGTTAGGGGAGTACACCCGCATGGGGGCGCTGTAACAATGCAGACAGGACTGGACACAATCAGACACCGTGTGGCGGGATCGCGTCACCGAAAGGAGACTTCGAAGGCGCCAAAGGAAATGGTGATTGGGGGGCCGGGGGCACTAACTCAGCTAAAGTAGGAACGGAGCCTCGGTCCCCTCAGCCGACCCCCTCCCTACCGGATGCACCCGAGTTCTTCAAGGGAAGAAACTTGAAGGCTTCACCGCACTAGTTGCAGCCCTCGGATGACAATTTCGTATACTTTATGGGTGAGAGGAAGCTGCAAATCGTGGAAAGCGTACAATTATAGTGACGCAATGGGGGAACTAGAAAGTCCTCTTGATCGATGAGCACATCACAATGCTATGATGCCTGTAGATCAAGCTTTAAAGGATGTAGATGAGCATCTAAAGCAGTGAGAGACATTGAGTACAGGCGCGTAGCCTGGGTGTTATTTGCTCGTTCAAAATATAATTTTCGTCCCGTTTAACATATTTTCACCGTTCCGATTTTGTTTCTATTAGCGTCCCGAGTTTGCTTTGAATATATCCATCCTGCCGTTGCAATCCCCGTACCCCAGACACGCCACTGTTCAAAGCCGCAAGACATGTCCCCTGACTTTAATGCACCTTTCTGGATGGAGTATAGCAAGAAGGGAAAGATACCAACCATATTAAAGGGTGCAGACCTGTATTAAATTGTAAATAGGCCTAAAATTGCCTACGCAGGCCAAAATCACGATTTCCATTGAATTCTGAGGTATTAGAGCATTTTGAGGGCCGTGAACTTGAGGGTTTGTAAAAAAAAGAAGAGTGGAAGCCGTGCAGAGGACTGCGTGCTCGTATTGCTGTGGAAGTTTGATCAATGCCCTAAAGTGGCTCTATTTTGCGTAGCATCCATTTTTAAAATGGCGATGGGCTTGCTTTTAGGGGTGATCATCTTTAGATGGAATTTCTCCCACACAAGTTATTCGTAACCCCCAAGAAATTGAACGGGAAATGAAAGATGACGAAATAAGCTTTAATTTGATGTGTCTCAAACACTTTGTAGAGTTGTGAGTATAGTTTTAGGCTTGCACGGTGCGCGTAGTCAGCACTCAGGTGACTTGAGGCCTATGGCAGTCTGTTTTGGTCTACGTCTGGAAAAGCCCGTTGATGATGTGCACGACTGAAATAATCCATAAACCGGGGCAATTGCTTACATTTTACAGAGAACGAGGTCAGAAACAGCCTTCCAAATAATCAGTCAGATCTTGCTCAGCATAGGTTTACTGTGTGATCATCGGAAATGAGGTTCAAAGATTGGAAAGGTTGTTTCTGTCTTAAAGGGAATGTAGAACATTTTCTTTTGCTTCAATTTTCAGACATAAATGGATTTGGAGGATTACCGGTATTATGTTATAGCAAATATTGTTAAAATGACTTGTTTCACGTTTTCGGCTTGAAGATGCTGTTAAAACCAAGAAAACCAATCAGGTTCTTGTAGTCTGGTTCCCCGACCCCACTTAAGATGAAATGGAGCAATTTGTATAGAGTTTGGGGAATTGTATGGTCAGAGAATCAGTCTGGCAGGCGTGTACCCCTTCACAGGTGTGTAATCAATTGCAAAGAAAATGTGGAATAACTAAACATGAAAAATTAGGAGCAGTTTTGAAAATAAACCAGTGTTTTCTAACGCTGGTCGGCCGACCTGCGTTGGAAAAATACAGTTTTTATTGAAAATGTCAGCACACCAGGAGCCACGATTTTATAGGACGCTTTAGACTGTCATTCCCTAACAATCTCGTAAGGTATTTCATGATTATTTGATCATTTCGGGTTTTTTTTGACGTTTGCAAATGTTGTATCTTCCCTTTACCGAGAACCGAGGGGGCGAAAGCTCTGGATCAGTGACTCGAGCTAGCTCACTCCCGCATTTTCCGTCTGATTAAACCCATATTCCCAATTAGAGAAATGCCCGATGCCTTAGCTTCGGAACAATCAGTCTTATTCGACTTTCATACATGTCTCAAGCTTGATTGATCCAGGAAACTTGTTTCCAATCTATTGAAAGCTTTTTAAAATTAAAGGGATATACCCAAAAAACAGGCAGTTTTGGAAAAGGGCTTTTTAACATCGGGCATATTATACAGTTTATCTTGTGGGTGGAAAATATATCTCGAAATAAATAAACAAACGTAAAAAAAAAAGTAATGTGAGCCAAGTTATCAGATAAATTTGAATGGATGAAAAGTTTAGCCTGATGCAGACACTTTTTTTCTATTTATTAACACCCCGATTCTGCGTAAGAAACTTTGGGTAGGGCAATCCAAAGTTTACTTAGAAAATGTGTTACGACGACGACGATTCTTAACAAACACATAAAGTTAATGCATTCATTTCGTTTGACTGTAGACCAATAAATCATCATAGCATAGTAGTGTAAAAAGGTTCAAAGATCTCTCCCCCAGAACGATCGTGTGTTTGAGGCCAAAAGGTTATCGTGTGAACGCCATGACACTTGGCACAGCGCATGGAAATGTGACGATGGTGGCACTCACTAACAACAATGGACGACATGATTACTCAAGAACCATCCTGTACACGATAATGTTGTAGCTGATATAAGCTGGTTATTTTTGTTCCTGTGGATATAATAACTTCGCCTTTCAACAAAAGAATTATCAACTCGTGTGGACGAAATGACTGAGAAGTAAGACTCACAAGAATGTTTTTCCTTTTTATAATGAATAGTTTCGGATCATTCAAGTTGACTGCGATTTTTTTCCACTTTAGGCCTAATTTGGATGTTAAACTACTAATTGAATTGCATGCGGAATGTGGATGTTGTGCGGATGTTTGAACCATTTAATTCGACTTTTCAAACTATAAACAGCGCTTGGAAACGGATATCTTTTGTCTAAATTTAGCCACCAGCAGTGTTATGATGGGCGCTTCGTATCTACGTATCTCCATGGTCCACACACGCATGGGGAGAAAGTGTAATCTTTATTGATTTTAGCTGGCGATGTCAGAAAGCATTTTTGTATAAGCGAGAGCTGTTCAACACATACCGACTGCAGCGAGCAGGAAACCCATTTGTAGGCAGACGGGAGAACAGGGGACGGATCAATGCCCCCATTGATGTGCAAATATCGACAGGGCCACACTTTTATGGGGTTGTAAGTCGGTCAAACAAGTGCGTCATCATTCTATAGCGGGACGGTGCTGTCTCGAACTGTCCCGGTACCAAGCAACAGACGCCGCGACATCATGGAGGACCAACCTTGAGGGGAATAGTCCAAGGAACAGTCCAAGGAACTTGGTGATACTGGCTTGTTATCTGTCTCATGTGCAGGAGTAGGAGCGTAATACTTCAGTGATGTAATGTAATGGTTGAACTAATGATGTGTATGTGATTTGTTGGTGTGATCATGAGTAACTTGACTGTGAATGTTCCCACCGGCACTCGGCCGGCAGTGGCGCGGCAAACGCTCCAGGTAGCCCTCAACCGTGCCGTACCGGCCGTCACGGAGGACTCGGACCGGCCGCTGTACACTTACCCCTCCCACCACCACCACCACCCCACAACTTCCCGTATGCCACCCAATGCCGCTACCACGACCAACGAATTCGGCACCCGCACCCCTCGGAGCCCCATGGCCCGGGAACCGGCGGGGACCAAGATTGTAAACTTTGGTAGGAACGTGGAGCTGCAGCCGAGGGGCCGGTTCAACGTGAGGGGCGTGGGGCCGGACGGGTTCTTTCCCCCGGTCAAGTTAAGGACGGGTGCGACAGGGGTGCGGTTCTCCACCTCGGCTGGTAGCGTCAGGTCCACAAAATCGCCCCAACAGGTCAGTTGCGTTTTTACCATCACAAAATCTTTTATCATCACAAAACACAAAAGAGTCATTTTTCTCAACTCAACTTTCAAGCTTAAGCGGTTTTTCAGTTTGCATAATTTAGCACAAAGACATTTCTTTATAACTTTACGCCAGGGAATCACACACGTCCTTTAATTTAACGAATATTGCTGGAATTTAAGATTTAATTAATTAATTTTTTTTATCCAGGATTTGCCATGTTGACACAACACTCAAAATACATGTGCATGTACTACACAATTTTGTCGAGTAAACATCTCTCCTTGAAACATCTTCCTCCTAATTGTTAATTAAGAATGATTAAATATCTACTGTCGGACGTACAATTCGAATTCGGACAACTTAATACCAGGTGGCATAATCGATATTTATAATCATAATGTGGATTTTAATTCTGATAAAACGTGTCAGTCACTCCATTGATTTAAAGAAAGACATTATTCATTCAACTTTTTTGCTGTAGTATAGAAATTGGCTCGAACACCACGGTGTCATGCGTACTCCGACAAATGATTTTTATTTTTACTTATTAATTAATATATCAGTTAAAACTTTATAGCTGAACTATTAAACAATGTTTAGAACTAAACTATATTTCAGTAAATACAGATAATAAGCTTCAAAGTGATATTCATGTTTCAGTCGGACTTTTTGATTTTTTTCAGTTTTGGCATTCAGGTTTACAAATCGTGTCATTACGTGTATCTCAAGGCCGAAACCGAGGACATTTAAACAAACTTTCTTGAAACGTCAAGGTCAATTAGTGTTTATACAGGTATATTAGGCATATAAATCATGCATGTAAGGGGATGAGCACCAACGTGAATTCAAGAAATATCGATCAATGTGCCATCCACACTCCATGACATTTGGTATTGACTTGTTGTTTTCTGGTATTTTCCCTTTTGTATCTAATTGACAAACTCGTTCAGAGACATTTCCCTATTTCCTGCCAATTATAAAGAAATTATGTTTCGCGGAAAAATTAAATGGCTACCATATAATAACCAGTGTTGAAATATTCGTTCTCGTACTCGAGTTCATTTTTTTTTGTTTGGTACTCTTACTCATGAGAATGTAGTTGGACTCGCAAGAAAAATATTATCCGCACTCGTATACTCGTGACAAAGTACTCGTACTCTTGCAAAATTAATGCTCTCCGGCAAGAGTTAAAAACAAAATATTTAAGAGGTACATTAAGGAAAGGAACATTTTTTTCTACTGTTTTAGAGGCTTCTGCATTTGTTTAATGCATAATTTGACTGCGAAAAGGCCTTTAGAACACGTGACCATTGAAATTTGCTCCTACTTGTAGAAAGTACTCGTACTTGTACTCGTATACGGTAGTCCAGTATACAGTTTTTGGTACTCGTGCTCATACTTGTACTCATGGCAAGGCACTCGTACTCATGGCAAAGTACTCGTACTCATGGTAAAGTACTCGTACTCATGGTAAAGTACTCGTACTCATGGATGTACTCGTACTCATGGCAAAGTACTCGTACTCATACTCGTACTCATGGCAAAGTACTCGTACTCGCACTCGTGCTCATGGCAAATTACTCGTACTCATACTCGTACTCATGGAAATGTACTCGACTACAACACTGTAAATTACCTCCAAAATAATGACATGTTTACAAATTACCACTATCAATTATATTTTCAATAGGTGATGATATCAAAAAAATAGCCAATAAACATTCATGTAGGGCCTATTATAACAGTTCGCTATTACATTTCCGGTTGAAAATTACATCTTAGAAAATTGTTCAGCATAAACAATGAATTTCAGGAGACCTGCCTATCATAATGAAGGTTACTGATTAAATAATTTAGTGTGACCTTATTGATTGTAGAGATTTTGGCATGCATCACTGGAATCGCGGCCTGAGCAGACCCACGGGAGGTGAAAAACAACCCAAAGGCTTCACAGAAAAAGAGTGTTAGGAAATAGACCATGAAAATACAACTCCACCAGACTTCCATTGTGCGTTTTTATGGTCACCGCTGTCGGTTCATATCGTGTTATTTTGATTTATCGCCGCGATCATTATTTCCATGATGGCGTCCTCACCATGGCAACCACCACCTGTGTCAAGGTCTGTGCGCATGACGGTTGGCCTGCATGAGGCATTTAATTAAAGACACGGACAAAGCCTGAAACACCTTGCGAAATATAACTCCGTTTGAAGCGGCTGAAAATCAAGTGATAATGTAGCAATTTCCCCGTAGAGCGAATCTTACTCTTGATGACAGTTTTTACAACTTTTGTGTAGACCAGGACAATTTTTCTTTTTTAAATAGATTTTTAATTATTGTCCGAAAAATATATAATAAAAATAGAAATAAATATATATAATCTGGCGAAGAAAATCAGGAGGTGACCTATTGTACTCTTCAATTTCAAAACGAAAATTTATTCTAAATTTTCGGTAAGATGGGTCAGACAAAAAAAGGAGATTATTATACAGTATAAATAATTACCATGAGATCAAGAAAAATAAAAAAAATCAATTATAAAAACCCCACCCAGAAAAAATATAAACAAACAAACAAACAAATAAACAAACAAACAAATGCACAAAAAGGGCAAGTAGGCCTATAAGCAAACCCAGGAGAAAAACATACGCAAAAGACTAAATACCCAATAAAATACTGGAGGATATAAAAAAAATTAAATATAATATATATATATTTAGCAAGGCAAAGCCTTCACATACAATGTAATTGCACACTTATATTACAAACAGTCAATTTCAATCAACCCCCCTGCCAGACATAATAGGCTACCTGTCCGTTTACTACGGAAGTGTATTTAGGACATGACCAAAAAAAAAATGTCCGGCCCTCTATTACTAATTCGCCCGGGCGAATTACTATTTCACCCGGGCGGATTACTATTTCGCCCGGGCGGATTACTATTTCGCCCGGGCGGATTACTAATTCGCCCGGGCGAATTACTATTTCGCCCGGACGGATTACTAATTCGCCCGGGCGAATTAACAGTCTGCCCGGCCGCGGAGAATTAGTAATCTGCACGGGCGAATTAGTAGTCTGCCCGGGCGAAATAGTAGTCCGCACGGGCGAAATAGTAATCCGCCCGGGCGAAATAGTAATCCGCCCGGGCGAAATAGTAATCCGCCCGGGCGAAGTAGTGGGCCTAAAAAATAGTTTCGGTCATGTCCTAAATACGCTTCCGTAGTTTACATTACCGGCACACTTTCGCAAAAAGTGGTCGGCCAGCTTTCTATGCAACTCCTCACTGGCCGGGGGTTTTGTGCGTAAACCTTATCAGTCAGCCGATCACGCTCAATTGACTTAGGCAAAACCGCAAGTCAATTCAATTCAATTCAAGAAGACATTTTGATTAGGGTTTCAAAAATGTCTACGCGAGTCATTTGCATAGAAAGTGACCCCACAATTTTTTGTCAAAAACGAGGCCGTCTAGTTTCAAAATCGGTGGAATCGTGCGAACATAGCAGAGGATCATCTCCCTAGCTTTTGGTCTATTATCTAAGAGCAGATTTGATAAAATAAGGGTCAAAAAATGATGGGTCCTATTTGAACGAGAAAATGTAGGGATGCCGTTGGTAAATTTGGCAGTATGCAGGCTCAGCATTACCGGCAGGTAGTTCGTTTTAATTGAGACATTACCAGATGAATCATGGTGTATGATTTAAATATCATCATTTAATGAATATACATGTATAGCATATTGTAGTTTCAATGACCTACACTGAGGTATACGATTTTGTGAGAATTCGGAAGGTTCAGAATAATACCCCATTTTGGTCGCATTATATATTTTTTTTATTACGGTCAATAGACTTTAAAAACGCAATCAAAGCAGACCCGTAAATACCCCGTAGTTAGGCAATGCACAGTAAATAGTAAGTGGGTTTATAATCACCTTCCGTTCTTCAACCGTATAAACACGCTTTTCATAGTTGTTGTCACAACAGCAGCTTGGAGCCCTGAGTGGGATTATTAGCAACAGAAAGCGTGAAGGAGGTTTTGTTGGGCCATTCTTCTGAATTGTTGTCCAGGCTAGTACATTTGCCTCGAGCAAGGACACCTGCAACGCACTACAATAACACTGATGACATGATTTGTACTTTTGGTGCCTGAAAGTCGTACAAAAAAATGGCAAGTTTCACGAAAAAGTTTCAAAGGCCACCGTAGGCGTCTCACTTCTCTTTCGTTCAGGTTATGGGTTAATTTTTGGATGGCACAACCCCTAGATCGAAGTCTGTAGGCCTGTTGTTTTGAGTGATGGTGGTCGTTCAGAGAATCACAATTTTCGAAAGCTTTGCTTCATCCCGGCCCGGCTCAAGCTCGAGACATAAGCACTCAGTGTGATGTTATCAGGAATAAATCTTATAATATGAGAGCAAAGTTTGGAATATTTTTATTGGATTTAGACATCAAAGGTTTTTTTTCTAAGTTATTTTTAAGACAGGGATAAAGCCGAAGCTCGAGACGGAGCAAAAGTTTTGAAAAAAACACCGTGCATAAAAGGCAACTTTTCCCGCTGTTCTGTTCATGGATAATAATAACGACGTTTTTGAAAAGTTCAGTGTAATTTGCTGGAATAAATACCAGTTTTGAGTAGAACTATTCACGTTGTTCTTTTATTCATTAGACTCCGTCGTCGCCAGCAATGGAGCTGGCCCCCGCCAGGACACCCAACAAGACAGCGACCGGCGCAGAGACTGAATCCTCGGGGCGAGGGAGCGACGAGTGGTTAACCAGTGCACGGACAGAGAACATGGCAAAGAAACACATGCTACAGGATAGGCCGGCCAACCCTTACAACACGAGAGGTACACGCTGTGATTAGACCCTTTTCATTCATAGACGGTCATCTTTGAAATTTATTTTTATGCACATTCCAGTGGAACCAAAGCAGGCACCTTAAATATGACCGTCCTGAGCTATAGGCCTATACCTTGTCTAACTTCTCGCTGTTTTGACATGGGGCGCCAGTTTAGGCCAATTAGGTCGTGGGCTCCCATCTCATCCAACTTCAGTTATCGAGTGACTATTTAAGGCCAAAAAAGTCTCTGGTTTCTGGTATGGAGCTTGCCAAAAAGTGGTGCGGCGACGCGGCTTTTTTTTTTACCGTTTTTTTCTTCAAATGAAATTTTCTTTTCGGCTGATGACTGCAAAATGGTGCCCGACTAAACTTAGTGCAAAGATATGGGAGTCCAGAGAGGCCACATAAAGCTTATACCCCATCTAAAAACACGTTAAAATTGTGCAGCAGCAGGATTCCAGTCAACCAGTGAGTTTTGCGGTTTTGAGACATCATCTTTCATTGAAAAAAAAACTTGTTCATTTTGCCGACGCGCATGGCTACGGCGACACGCGCGCCTACCAGAAACCTGAGATTTGTTTGGCCTAAACGGACTTTGTGAATACTCCACCAATGCCTCAAGGCAATGGATGACTCAACAGAGAGAGAGATTTTCCGTTTCCGTAATTTGGTGATAAAAAGGTATTTTCGAATAAAATTGTGAAGTTCCATAAGAGCAACGGTGCTCCTGCTATCATTCCGGTGTCTACTGATGCTCTATTTCATCCTAATCCAGACAAACACTCACGGACGCATAATATACAGTACAATAATACCCTTCTTTTCTTTTATGCAGCACCAAGGGAGACATTTGCTCTCAAGGAGTCATCCCCCTCACCATCCGAGAAGGCCTTCAAGTCCGGGGCTCATCTCAGCGGACCAGGCACGGGGCCTCCCGCCCACCCACGCCCCAGCAAGGACCCGGCCTGGGTTCGCTCCTTCAAGGTGAAACAGCGGAGGCACAACCGGGTGAAGGACATCCTGGAGAGCAAGCCGGCTGGGCTGACGGTGGGAAGTCCTGTCAACATGGACAGCTATTGGTGACGGCTATGCAGTGCGATACTTCCGTCGTTTCTGGTTTCTTAGAAGCTCATGTGGCGAGAACTTTATGATGACTAGCGCGGACGCCGGAGAACGTCATCGCAATTGTAGCTCATAAAGTAATGTTTTCAATTATACAGGCAATGCGAAGCCTACCGCAGCTAGTCTCGACCTCAGGATTATGTGTGGGACTTGTAACAATTAACTTGTAAATCGACACGCTCGGAGACGAGTCATCTACATGTATTATTACAATGTTGAATGCTCCACGCCTCTGAAACAAGTGCCCAATCGGGGTCTACCCGATGTTCCCCAATACCGATGTTCCCCGAAATCCTTAAGATTAGGGTTAGGGCTAGGGTTACAGGGTAAGGATTTCGGGGAACATCGGTATGCACCCGCCCAATCCATGTATTATTATACAGGGTGAGCAAAAAAAAGGGAAACCCAAATGTCGGGACCATTGTTTTAGTGAAGTTCCGCATGTAGCACTTCCAAAATCTATGGTATGAAAGCCCAATTAATCATTATTTTAGTACAAGAATCATTCAAATCACTCATGTCAGGACTATAATTATTGTACTAAAAGAATGCTTATGAATTGGGCTTTCATACCATAGATTTTGAAAGTGCTACATGCAGAACTTCACTGAAACAATGGTCCCGACATCATGGGTTTCGCTTTTTTGACTCGCCCCGTGTGTAGACGGGTCATTGAGCCACACGAAAATAACACATGCCAACCCCCTCCAATCTACGAATTGGTAAAGGTCGAGTGTGTTCTGACATTCCTTGCACAATTGTACTTGGCCATTATCCCCAACACTCCTGAATCTTCCAACTTTGAAATGTTTTCCCCCCACACACCCTAGGGGCTAGGCTTATAACTTTTGTGGAGGGTCCAACAAGTGCATGCAGTCCATGACCTATCGGCTCAGTGAACCATTCTGCGGGCGCGCATTATAAGCTTTTATTTTGCAGTTAAAATAACTCGCCTTAATCATAAATAAAATACTCTATTTTATTTTATCATCTTTAACAATAAAATGTATAGGCTATTATGTTCACCGAATCGCAGCTTCAAACGAAAGCCTAAAGAGACTTCAAGTCAACATTATGCTTACTCTTTTTTTCAGTTACACAAGATGTCAATATTATTGTATCAAAGGACGGGATCATTTCCAGTGTAAATAATGTCAAATACTTATAAGTGTGCCGATAATGTAGCCTATGAACGCGTGATCTTCATTCGCATTCTTTCGTGACCATTAATTAATGGAAAACACTGCTCATTGCATTTGGGGGTGCATAATACTTTAATTGTGACCTCACAAGTCATTTTGATTAAGAAGAGGCCTAATTGGGATCCGCGCCTGATGAGAGACGCCACGCACAGTACTCCACAATGGGTGAATATGGCAGAAAACTCCTCACGTGACAAATCAGGAACAATGCCTCTGGAAATTAAATTTAAATGCCCATGCATATGAACACTGTAAACCCTTGGTTGGTTGTTCTTCACAGTGATGTCATAAGGTTTGTCAACTACATGTACATAGGTTTGTCCAGTTGAGCTTTGCGAAGCTGCCTGTAAAAAGGCATTCTACATCAATAAACATGTTTGTACATAACTATCCCAGTCCTATTGCCGATTTTGTTGTCGGATATGTTAGTACATGTACATTGTATAAGCATAGAGCAAGGTGCTCTATGGTATAAGCATGGAGTCCGTGGGACAAGAGGCCGAAAACGCTTCGAGTTTTCTTTAGATAGGCGATCTAGTTTGCCGAAGTTTATAAAACTTTCCAGAAAAAAAAAAATCGATGATGACGTACACTATCGGGGAAAAAACACCTTCATTCAGTTCATCCACAAAGGCCGAACATTTTTTCGATGGGGTACACCATAATCTACATGTCTGTGTAGTTCTATATAAGTCGGCGAACCAGACCGCCTGCGTATTTTTTTTGCAGCGTACATCGTATTTTAACCAATCACACTACGCACCCCAACATAAATATTTATCAAGCTGCGTGGATGGAAGACACTCATAGATTCTCGTAGTGTTTTCCCTTCAATTAAACTTATCCCATGATCCCAACCAGCAAAAACGAATGATGAAAACGGACTTGAGTTAGAACCGCAGATCTTGCGATCTGTAGTTCATTCCACTATGCCACTGTGGCAGCTCGACGAAAGCCTCTCTTTGAAATGCTTTAATGTACATGCATGACTCAGTTATTACAGTGGTGTGACGTCACTGTTATTTATATGAATAAACATCGAACTAGCTGAATAATCATGATCCATTGACGATGTGGGCTTCAAATAAAAACACCGCACACCGCGTGGCGAGCGAAAAAAAGGCCTCGTCCCACGGATTATGTACCGGTACATTGTATACAGAGTATACATTGTATACATGTACATTTGTACACGGTATACATTAACGAACAGAACCACCTGAAGTGCTGACAAACTTTTGAATCTAGGTTGACCAGGCCAAACAAATCTATTCTTGTTTCCATATTAAGAGTGTATCGACAAAGGAATACATGTAGCAGACTCTTTTACATCAAAGGACGGGGCAAGGATTATACTGTACAAAGCATCTTTCCGTGAACAAATACCGGTATTATATCCAAACAAAAACACCTGTTCATCTTTCTTTTTGTACACATTTATTTGTTTTGGTTTCTACACAGTTCATTTTACAATACAATGTATATTTACAATTTATAACAAGAGTGCACTTGACTAAACTAAGTATGCAAACTACAGTACATAATACACTCAAGCGTCTGATACCTTAGAAACACGCGAAAGCTATCAGTATAAGTTAACATTAACACCAGACAGTAGGCCTAATTACTAGGAAAAGTATTATTTTGTTTACGAATGGATTTTCTGAAAGCTGGTGCAGACAAGGTGCCGGGGAACATAACGGAATGACATTTGATGCACAAAACTATGGTTTCTAGAATACATGTACATAATGGAAATGTAAGCCATAGTGTTGATGCCCATTTTCTCCGACCGTCAAATACTCCATAAAATTTGACAATAAGTCACCACTGACATATTATGGCGAGTTTTATTAACATACGCAGGATTGGTGTATCCACATACACGATTAAAGAAGTCCTTTTTATACACACTGTTTGATTATTCATATTTTTTTTGTATTAAGATTGAAAACTTGTTATGTATTTGGGCCAGAAAAAGTTTGGCTTCTCTTGCTTAATAAATATCTGCAACAAGAACTGGAGGTATTTAAATACATTCACAATCACATGTAAGGACATACATGAACCTAAACGTTGGCATGGCTTCAAGTAAGATTCCATATGCCAGTGGGGAAAAAAAGAAAGTTAAATAAGAAAATAACCAATAACATGTGTCAAATGATATCACATATGCGGATATTATTAGTCATATTGCGAGGATGGCAAGAGCTATACCATACAAACTTAAAATTTATATAATACAACAAAAACAAGAACATTTTACCCAAGAAAACAAAATCAATCAAACCATCAGTGACGTGTCATTAACATTACGGACAATCTGCTTGAGTGTGAAAGCATACAGAGGTCTTAATGGACCCCTATCCGTATGGTCATTCGACTCCCGTCCCCCCCCCCCCAAGAAAAAAACCTTGGCAAAATTCCGCCAAGAGCACTTTAACATGTGTACAATAAAAAAAATGGCAACACTTAAAGGACGATTTGCACAAGAGATGAGGAGCTGTACCCGATGACGACAAATGACATTGACGCTGAATGATGATGACGCTGAACGATGATGACACTGAATGACGATGACGCTGAATGACACTGACCCAGAAAGACAAATGTTGTCTATCCATGGCCCCAAAGTAGGACTCCATCTGCGGCAACATTTTCTCAATGTAGCTCCTCCTGGCAGTAGCCCAACAGAAGATGAAGACGTAGATCTGCTGGACATCAATCCCTGCTTGAGACCCCGTTCTTGATGCTTCCAAGCACAATCTCCTCATCTCTTGGCATACATCCAAACTTGAACTCACCTTAAGTCCAGTTCATACTTCAAGCGAAAGCAAAAGCTCCGTGAATTTCAAGACATCAACAATTGAAGTTTTATTGTGATGTTCGCCGTTACCTTAACAAATTCACTTCGCATTGAAATTCACATGAAGTATGAACCAACCTTTTGATTTCTCACCACGTCCTGTGAGTGTGCACAGTAAAATTTGGTACTGTAATTACCACATATCCGGAGAAAGTACAACATTTTTGGTTAATGATGGCTAATTTTTGGCTTTTGATATCAAACTAAAACATTTCCAATTTTACAATTATGTTAGAACTACCGTTCACAAAGAAAGGCACCCATATCCATAGCACACATGCTGCCTGCATTACAGAAAATCTTAATCCATCACAAAAAGAAACTATCAAGGTGGCACCCTGCAGTCTACCGAGTCTCTGAAATGCCAATACTAACTTGCAATCCTCACTGCTAAATTTGATACAAAATCCGTGGATGTTAGAGAATCACAGTATTTTCAAGCCATACCTCCAAGCTCAGACTTAAGTCATGTAACATTTTACCATAACATTGTCAGTTTGATATGGCCAAGAAAAAAACAACCACCGTTTTTCCACTTGCCCCGCCCAATCTAGAAAATCGTCCAGAACCTTTTATTTTTATTTAAAAAAATTCTGATGTCATCCCAACCCTACTTTTTCAGGCATGCAACTGGGAATTTAGAAAAAAACAAGGCAATTCCAAACCACACAAGACTTTGTAAAGTATTTTTTTCAATTTGTATATTGGCATTCATGAGAAATTAAAAACGAGGAAATCAGCGGATTCGAGGAAAAGTTGCATGCCTGCATTTTGCAGACATCAGCCTGCATTTTTTGGATTCATTATATTTTCATTTTTTTTGTCAGTTGGTCGGTTGTGCGATGTTACCCTACCACCAACCCTAGCTTTTTCTCTCAATGTTATATTTTTTTCTTGGCCTAAAGACATTCTTTGAAACCAAATACATGTAGTGAATATACAATATGAAATGACTGAGCTGCAACTGTGATATCATTTGACAAACACCGTGCACACTCAAGTAAACGAGAAGATGAACATGAGTAACAGGTAGCAACAGGTGTTAACATTTTTGTTAAATTGATGAATTTTCTAAATGGTGTCCGTTTCCATCACCTAGAAACAAACATAAATACCTAAAAGGCTTACAAGTTCACACGAGACATTTACAAGATACAAATCAGCACCTTCCGAATGGTTATTGCAACTTGACAAACATGGGAAAGTCATGCTCTTCAATATAATATAATCTTTACCTTGTAGCAATGAATACATGAATATAAATTCAGTGGTCACAACACAAAATGGAAAGCATGTCACAGCATATTAGTTTGTATCAGAAAGGGCAACAGTTAAAAAAAAAAAAAAAAAAAAAAAAAAAATTGGAAGATTTGGAAGACAGATAAAAATGACCGAACAACAAGTCTTTGGAATGTTTGCCATTTATACCTGTGAAACAGATCATAATGAAATGTAAAAAAGTTAACAGCTCTTGTGATGTCGATCATCCTGTAAAAAGACTCAGAAAGGTTGTCAAAATATTAAACTCCAACTTGCAGGGACTTGGGAAAGAACAGTCCACAAAATTTGCTTGGAGGGTGGGTGAGTGGGCTGGGGGGGAAGGGTAGAGTGAATCCAACGCTGGAAGAAATGGTTGAACATCAAGGTTTCAGCTGGCGGAGAAGCACTCAGACATCAGAAGACATTGAAATATTGCTTAGTTCACAGTCATTTTTTTTTGGAGATCAGGCTCATTTTTCGGACTTGAAAATGTTTGCCAATTAGGATTAACTCTGATTACTACCAGACGGTTTGATTTTAGAAGACCTTCAACTTTGGTTACATCAACTTAGGAAAATCTGCATGGTGGTTGTTACAAGACTCCTGATAACTTCACCTTTCTCTGGATGTGACTTCAAAACTTCAACTACAGCTTCAAATCCATAGATTTCTGGAGACTGACAACAGTTCGGTTGTAGCTGTAGATATTACTGGTTGCACTGGCACATGATACTGTAGCGGCGAGACAACTATGTGGCTATCTTGGAACACTGAATCAGCGACACGCAAATATATGACTCGAGGTACACTTTCATAAAACCAGGAAAAATACAAGCCTGGACGCGATGCTTAAATGATGCGACATGATCGAGTTAGTGGGGATATGCTGCTGAGATGTGGAGCTGAAGACGACCACATCCAAAAGTGGCGACATCTGGGGCACTTTGATTCGATATCCAGTATAGCTCAGACAGGAACATAGGTGTATAGTGTTCGGTTGAGAATCTGGGCTTCCTTATGTCACATAGAGGGTAGACTTGCTGAGGACCGACTTGAGTAGACTTTGGAATGAACTGGGTGGATTAAGGATCACTTGGAGGCTGGTTGTAATTGTCATTGTGTAAAAGGGATGATCCATTCGAAGCTCCAATCAAAACTACATTTCAGACACCTGGCTCTAGCTTGGACAGGAACATAGGTGTATAGTGTTAGGTTGAGAATCTGGGCTTCCTTATGTCACATAGAGGGTAGACTTGCTGAGGACAGACTTGAGTAGACTTTGGGATGAACGAGGTGGATTAAGGATCATTTGGAGGCTGGTTGTAATTGTCATTGTGTAAAAGGTTTGATCCACTTGGAGCTCCAATCAAAACTACATTTCAGACACCTGGATCTAGCATGGACAGGAACATAGGAGTGTAGTGTTCGGTTGAGAATCTGAGCTTCCTTACATCGCATAGAAGGTAGACGTGCTGAGGACCAACTTGAGTAGACTTTGGGATGAACTAGGTGGATTAAGGATCATTTGGAGGCTGGCTGTAATTGTCATTGTGTAAAGGGATGATCCATTTGAAGCGCCAATCAACACTACATTTAAGACGCCTGGATCTCGAAGGCTGGACGAATCTGATACTCGTGGTGTGGAGGGATGGTCCATCCGAAACTCCGACCAAAACTAGATTTAACTACAACTGGACTAAAAAGGCAGGGTCGAATCCCGAAAAAAAGGGAAAATGGCACCACCCACCACCCTCCCTAGAGAGAAGACAAGATAGCCATGCTCGTCTTGCAGTCCAACTTAGCGTCATCTGCCGTCAGCGTTGCCCCGCAGCTTTTCAAGAACTCAAGGCATGCTTCGGGACTCTCAAAACCCAGCTCACGCTCAACGAACGCTACGTCCAGATTGGGCCGGAATCTAAGATTTATCCACACAAGGGAAGAAAACGTTAACAAAACGAACACAATTATATGTAAAGTAGAAGGATAAAATATGACTGATATACTTACTCTTATGATTTTCCTGCAATGAAGAAGCATGCATATGTTGTACTTACCAAACAAAATAATGTCCAATGTGTGCATACCATTGTGTTAGACATCTCTATTCTAGCACAATGGTACGCATATACTAAAACATTAGTCAAAGGTTCTGAATCTTGTATGCAATTTACATGTAGGACAGATTCTATACTTACCAAGTTTCAAGTTTTAACACAAGGTAAAAAAAAAGTTTGTTTTGTTAACTGTGCTTATGTAAAACCTTACCTCGATTAGCTGTTCAAAAAGATGCAAATTAATTCAATGAAGGTTACACATGAATTTAATATCTTCTTAAAATTGTCACAAATGTTTTTGGTAAAAGAATGCGAAACAAAAGAAAAAAAAGACAATGAAAGATTCAATCTTTTCCTATCCATCACAAGAATTAGCAAGACAAAAGTGGCAGACACTGAATTTACAAAAAAATTCAAATTTGAACATGAAATGAAATTCAACTGTGCAAAACCTCCCTCACAAAAGTGGGAAAAGGGGAGAACAAAATGATAAAAAAGGCGGTTCTCGAACCACGCATCTCGCCTGCTTTTGCGATTATCTTGAAAGAGTGACCTTTGACCTTGGTGTGTGACCTTTGACATCATTATCATGTGAAGGTGCATCTATGACCCAAGTTTGGTTCCAATTGACTTTTGAAATGAGACCACTTTTACATTTTCAGCCCATTTTACAACTTGACCCCATATGACCTTTGTTTGTGACCTTTGACATCATTAACATATGAAGGTTCCCATGTTGCATCAATGATTTAAGTTTGGTTCCAATTGGACTTCAAGTTTTGAAATGAGACCAATTCCTTGAAACATTAACCAAAATACCATAGCATACATACATACGAACAGACATAGTGGTTGCATGGTCTCTTTTCTGAACAAAGTCCAGACGAGACAAAAAGGGGGCCATTTTGAATTTCAAGTAAATGCAACTTTTGAATTTTTCTGAACAAACTGAATTGGTAATAATGAAAAAAATGGTCATTGACTTGCACCGAAGTAAATACATACGATTTGATAATGGTGGCCAAGGCACTTTTTCTCTCCCGTTCCACAAACATGTCTATCAAGAAGGCGGCCATGCCCGGCGCACAACGGTACAGCCTGAAAAAAGTATGATAATCGGACAGGTCCCAGGCCGAGCGCAGGGCCAGGGCATGCTTGACCATGGGGTCTTTACGGATTTCATGTTTAAGGTTGGCCAAGTCAGTGGAAAGACCTGTGGGTTTGGGGTTAAGGACTGTAAACATAAATTGTGGAAAACTAAATTTACTGAAATGTGAAAATTCAAGACTGAACAAATATAATTTTTGGATTGTTGCAACGTGTACAATCTTGTTACACAAAAAATACCAGGGCCACTGATGCCATTGACAAAAAAAAACAGACTTGTGTTTTTGCTTTTGGTGTTACATGTGTATATGTAGCAACTTCTGCATTATTGGTTTGATTTGAATTGAAAATGTCAAGTTTTGTCAAAACCCTTTATACACGTCGGTTTACACCCCTTGTCATTACAGCACCCTGCCCCTCCCATCCCTGACTGCCCAACATCAGACTATTATCAAAAAGCAATTTTTTTTTAATACAGTTTACAAAAAAATTTGCCGTTGCCAACTATTTGTTGACATCGAATACTCAGTTAGCATACAGTAGTATTATATTTCAATACATGTATTAGCCCAAGATAGGAGGGGGCAACAATTGATCTGGAAATACAATGTTTTTCAAAATTCTTTGACTCGAAATCATTCGCTCTTTTCACACTTCGCCATGGGCATGCAGAGCCTCGATCTGGCAACTTTACAAAATAAAAATAAAAGAGATAAAATAAGAAAACGCATTTACTAATAAAAAGGATACTGAGTGTATTTTTGGTGAGCAGGCAGTAGAGTATGCGATACGCAGTGAACTCTTTCATGTTTTGGGCCTCGATATTCTCCTCAGCATAGAGGGCCTTGAGCTGGGTCTGACACTGGTTGAATTCCTCTCGGTCACCCTAGGTTCATGGAAAAAAAGGAAAGATTGTTAGGTCTTGCCTTCTGCTTGTGGAAATTATAAAGAAATTGGTTTGGTTGCTCCGAAAAGGCTGGGGGTTGTGGGCGTGGCAAAATTCAACTGTCAGAAGACAGAGTGGTAAAACAGCCTCATATAGACCTCCACTGTGAACAATAAGCCATTTGCGTGTAACCTATACCCTTTGGGATTTACATTTGAAAAACGTCTGGTACAATGACTTGCTCAGAATGCTTGGCACATTTTAACTATGAATTCTCCAGACCAAAGACACTGTTGCTAATCACATGATTCGGGGCAAGCTCTTGCATAGTTACGTAAGAGACGCTCAGCACCAATACATCGTTCACAATGGGTGAGAATGGCACAAAGACACCAGACCATGCCGGAGCTGGGGGTTGCTAGCATAAGGCTTGCCCCGAATCACGTGATATAGTAACAGTCTCTTTGATCGGGAGAATGCTAGGTTAAAATGTGCAAAGCATTGTATTAAGTCAGCGTTCCAGATTTTATTCAAATTTAACAGGCAAATGGCTTATTGGTTTTGCAGTATTTGGATAAATTCAGGGCATACAGCCAAGGCATCACTACTTTACAGGGAGCTAAAGGGTCACTTTTTTTGTTTGGATTTTACAAAATGTGCCACTAGTTTAATCCAAACCCTCAAGGGTAGTTTGGCTGAAAATCCTGCCAAACGCAGCAACATGCAACACTCGACTAAGTGACAAGCCTGCCCAGTGCAGCAAGATCCATCATGCCAAAAGTCTCAAGGCCAAAGTGCCTCAAGTCTGTGGGCACCCAACGCAGCAGGATACAACTGTGGCATTGTTCAATGAGACTAGCTCTCATTGTCTCAGAAGCGGCTGTTCATGCACTGGTGTTGGCAGCTGAATGCATCAAAGTGCACCTGACTTTTCCACCTGATGCAGGGTTCCACCTGGCAGGGTTTAGGGTTAATGCACAGTGACAGACTTTGAAGCATCCTTTACAAAGCCAGGTTTATTAACAGCACGATTCTGGACCTGTATGTAACTTATGGCCAAGAGTTTGAAGACTGTTTGACTTTCCGTAAGATTAACTCACCTTTTCGAGAGCAATTCTTGCGTGGGTCTCGTACACCTCAACAGTGAAATTATCTCTTATGCACTGCACCTAAGAAGTAAAAGCCATTTAAATAATTTACATTAGTGTAAATGTGTACATCAACAACAGAAAGCATTCTATCACTAAAATATAAACATGATTCTGTCTTCAATCTTTATATTTTTTCAAGAGGTTTTAAAAGATTTGAAGTCAATGGAAGTCTGCACCAATTTTTTTGTAATATTTTGAGGGATTCAAAACTGAAATATCCCAAGCTGAAACTCATTCCCAATACTTTGCAAAAGTAACCAAATAGGTACCAGAAACTTTCGGAAAGGTTCACAACAAACTTGTTACTGTGCCCTCTTAAAATAATTGTCAGCGTTGGTGTTTCAAACTTACTGTGAGATCTTGACGGATGGACTTGAGTTGTTCACACACACCGACATAGTCCCGCTTGGTCCTCCAGTGTTCCTTGACCATGGCCAGGGATTTTCTGAGGACCGGGACAGGACGGACTGTGGAGGCCTCGGGTGCCTGGGGAATATAAGCACAAGTACAGAACATATTGACGGTTCATCATGGATTGTGGTGTGGCCAGACTCCCAACATGGCACATTTCTTCTCACTGCTAGTACGTCGCTATACTGAACACCGCTATACTGAACACCACTATACCGAACATTTGGCTACACTGAATGTCATCCTTGGCTCCCGATTTTTGTGTACAAAACATAACGAACACTGTTGTTGAAAAATGTCAATAGAAGAGTGACAAGTAGTTATTATATTCCCAAGGAATAGAAGGGGAAAGCCACCTGTAGTCTTTCAGTAACTGCCAGGGCGTGCAGGGTGAAGTTCTGAAGGGCGCTATTTATTGAAAAGTGAGTACCAGAGCACCGGCAGCTTAAAATTGCTATATCGAACGATCGCTATAATAAACAATTTCTGTGGATCCCGCAATGTTCGTTATAGCGGCATTCTACTGTATGGGTAATGGTTTACTCCAAATTGCAATCAAGATTTTGGGGTGTTCAAAAACTTTCTCATTTTCCATGCAAAATGTATTTTTGACAAGTTGCACAAAAGTTTTAAAGGGAATATACAACATTTGCAAACATCGAAAAAAAAAACTACCAAGTTTTTGCGAAATACCTTAATAGGATGTTGGTAAATGACAGCCTGAAGCATCCTGTAAAATTATGGCACCTGGTATACTGTCATTTTCAAGAAAAGTGGTATTTTTGTATCAATTTCCAACGCTGATCGGCCGATCAGCGTTGGAAACAACTGGCTTTTTTTCAAATACTGGCCCCAATTGACCATTGCACTTGTTTGCAATCGATTACAAACCTATGAACGGGTACGAGCCAGCTAGACTGGTTTCCTGACCTTACAATTCCCCAATGTATGTAAACTGCTCTGTTTCTTCTTATATGGAGTCAGGGAACCAGACTACAGGAAAATGATCGTTTTTCTTGGTTTTTATAGCATTTTCGAACCCAAAACCTCCAAAAAGTCAGTGCAACTATATTTGCTTTATATTTCCAACCCCCCAATTCCATCCATTTCTGAAAATTACAGCAAAAGCAAATGATGTATATTCCCTTTAAAGAGTGCAAACCATTCTTTTTAAAAGTGCCCCAAAAGACGATAATTCTTCATCAAATCTTAAATGAAGGATAAATAATAAAATACCAGAAGTTATGATTTCACCAAAAAAAACAACTGTTTCAGATTTCTGATACATAATTGCCACTTCAGCAGACTGCTGTCTGTTTTTACCTGTTTGCACTACGTTTAGAAAACTTTCATCCTGAATTTTGTGACAGAAATAATCTAAAAACACTTTTTCATTGTGTTAACTGCAAAATGTGACCGTTTTTCCTACCGTGGTAAGACGCAAGTACTGCTTGGTGATTTCTTGGCTTGTACCAACGATCGGTTCAAGGGACCAGCCTGAATCCTCCTCCTCATTCCCTTGCTGCAGTGAAACAAACAAAGGAAATATTCTGTCAGAATTTTATGTATAAAATTAGGGGCACATGCTTTTGTAAAGTTTCATTCGAGATGCCAGGGACAATATGTGATCCCAATAAGCAAGAATTAAAAGATACCCGACTATCATAGAGGTGGCAGTGTAAGAAGTTATGAGATTCAGTGACAATGAATTTAGAATGAAGGGATTTGCAGTTCACTAGACATGATTTTAACCCAAACCTTCCCAAATCCTCTTTGCAAAATTGAGGATTTTGTAGGATTGAGGCTATTATAGCGAAAATGTGTGGCTGATTTTGAAGGATGCACTGTGTCAAAGTCTTGGGCTGGACCTTGTGTTGTTTATGCTCAGCCGTGCATAAATTTAGGCCTAGATTATACTTGAAATCCTCCACACTGCTCCAGGATGTCACTGGCTCTGCCTCAACATATTGATAGTGCTTGCTGGAGGATTTTGCAGGATTGAGGCAGTGGTCACCCCTCCAATGACCAAATTCAAGAAATAATGGATGATTTTGGAGGTTTGAGGTTGTATGCAAATTTTACAAGGAGGCAGTTGGAAGATTTTGCAGGATTGAGGTTGCATCCTAGCAAAGTGCCTTAGGGTTAGGGTTAAGCATAACCAGCCAATGGTCAATTTAGAATCGACTTTGACAACACTGTCCTTCTGGTTACTCCTTTATGTTGATGAAAACAAACTCACCAAGAATCCGTCAATCTGTAGCGTGAGTTTCTGAGTTCTTTGTTTCTTTTTGGAAGCTGAGTCTCCAAGCATGTCTTGGAAGCGTGCTGCTCGTTTCTGCATTCTCATTTGTTTCTGTGGGTCTTCATACTCAAACACTTTTACGTTTCTGGAAAAAAAAAAATGGCATTTCAAATCAGGTATAAAGTTTTGTAATTGCATTGTAAAACAAGCAAATCCCCAGACATCATTTGAAACCTCTAAAGCAGTTACTTGTATGTACAACTCCAAATTGAACGTGTCTTTAAATCAATGTGCTTGGACAAACTTCAAAAGTAAATTTAAATCACAATGTTACAGTGTTACAATAAAATGCAATCTGATTAAACTCTTATCAGACAGTTTTGAGCCTAATAGTAGGGCAGATAGGTGATGGGATTGTGCCTTTGATGATACAAGCATGGCATTTGGTACACAGTCAGAGTATGTCATCAGAAAGATATTTGGCTATAGGGCCATCGCAGATTTGTCCTTCGAAAAAATATAGGTAGAATAACAAGCAATGGCAGCCAATATGAAAATTTTGAAAATTGCTTGTTACTTTACCCATATTTTTCCAAAGGACAAATCTGCGATGGCCCTATAGCCACATATCTTTCTTAAGACATACTCTGACTGTGTGCCAAATTCCATACTTGTATCATCAAAGGCACAATTCCCCAAATACTTCCCCTATCTGCCCCACTATAATGCTGAATCTATGGTTTAAAGTAACGCTGAGTAAAATTTGAAAGAATAGAGCCGATGCAAGATATCCAAGACGGCATGCCAACTTAGGAAACAAGAGTAAATTCCGTTCAGTAGGAAGAAAATATACAAACTAAAAAACCTCTTTTTTTTTTTTAAAACACAAATACAATTGTTGGGAAACACAAAAACTTACTGCTGCTTTCCTCTTCCTTTGCCAACCTTCTTCTGTTTGTCAGCCTTGTTGGACTCGCTAGCCTCATTACCACGACCTCTACCTCGACCTTTGCCCCGTCCGCGACCCCTATCCTGACCTTTGCCCCTGCCCCTGCCCACTCGTCCTTTCTCCTGGGCCTTCTCTAGCTGCATCTCCCTCCAGTCTCCGCGGAGGGGGATGTAGTCGTCCCGGCGGTCCCTGCTGTGTCTGCTGTCCGAATCGCTGTCGCTGTGAGGAGAGACAAACACTTAGGAACTGTAACCCCAATTCACTAGCTGACAAATTGATCAAAGCTCTCGTAGCAGTTAAGATCAATCAAGTGACTGTTGTTTAACTGTTTGGAAGACCTACAAAAACTTTAAAAGCAACCTTGACTCGCTATGGGCCTTATTCACGAGTCGGCCATATTAAATTAAGAGTGAGGTAAAATGTTCATTTTTGGAACTTGTGTAGAGAAATGAAAGCAATGACGTTACAAATGAATACCAGTCTGTGCTGATGAATAATTTAGAATTTGTGATTAAACATACCCTAATGTTTTAAGCCAGCATTTAAAAAAAAAACCCTGAAAGTGAGGCTAGAATGAATAAATAGTCTGGCACCATCCCATTCAACAGTTCACAATTTATGAAACACATTCAGGGAACACGACAAATAAGTGAATAAGGTCCATGGCTATTCTTGTAACTTGATACAGCTATGATTTGACTGAAGGCGATTGATAAACCAGAAGTTAATTTACCTACTACTGATAATTACTTATTGAGTTTGACTAATCACAGTGCTTTAATACCATGCATCACTGCATGTGGTCCGACTGTTGGTGACTTGCCTTTACATGGGGAATAGCAGGGGAAATTCTGGATTGAAACTTTTGACTGTGACTTTTCAACTTAATAATGAATTTAAACAAATCTTAACTACCTAGGTGCCTCCACAAAAAGGGTATTAAGTCGCGCTGTGCATTATCGTGTAATGGCCCGCTCAACGTTGAGAGGGTGAAAATTGCGTCAAAATGTGATTTTCATTTTTTGTCATGAATGACATCTTAAATACTTAAAGTTTCACGTTTCATTCACAGAAATGTTGATTTTGATGAATAAAGAGGAAAAAACTACCATTTCGAGTGCAACGGTTCCCAAATCCACAACAGAGTCAGCTATTTCAAAGCCTGTTTTCTAAGTTGTGTAATTTGAACTCCAAGGAAGTAATAAATATGTCATATCTCCAGACCGGGAGGGGTATGGAGGTCTATTATATACACAATGAAAGCTTACGTTGTGGGCTTTCCAACAATGTATATAAGTCAATTTAACTTTTTTTGAAACATAATACCCTTTTTTGTGGGGTGGGTCACATTTGTGAAGGAAATAATGGTTGTCTGATTTGCATGTTAAATTTCAAATAGCATCATCCCATGTAATGTTATAGTGGCTGGGATCTCACTTTTCTCGATTCTCCAACATCTTTACACTTCCATGTTGATTTTTGAAGGGCCAGGGAAGGTTTGGGTTAAGTATCTCTTGGTTTTCCAATCCGGCAGGAAATATTAAACTTCAAAGACTATGTGCGGATTACACCAAATGATAAAGCATAGCATAGCCTTGTTGAGTATGGTAGTAATCTGACTGTGTTTACTGTAGCATTCATCCCTTAATGAGTGGATCACTGTAGCAACATCACACTCAATACACATAGAATGCAAACATTTATTAGCTATTAGTATTAACAAAACAAACCCACACAAGTGTGTATTTGCCTGCAATCGGGGACCCCCTAATGTCCCTCTTTTGTTTGTACTTTTTTTAGGAAGACCTCCCATATAATATGTACACGATCGCAAAATTGGGGACATTCGAGAATTGGGGAATCAAACTCACCATAACTGGAATGCATGTCTTGGATTAAGTACTGAAAGATTTACAAGTAGTTCCATTGACTGAGTGTCGACTGCTTTATTTCGTTACTCAGCTTAGCTTCCAATACATGACACAATGGAATCCACCACTGCAGTTCCGGTGGATATTGATGGACTTAAATACACATGGCTTAAATGACAACAGCAGTACAGAATGCTAGGCAAAATCAATCCGATTCCCCTAGCACTGCTTCAGGCTTCCAGGCCCAAGTCCATCATACTCCATCAATATTTAGTCAAACCAGGCCTGCAGGACCAAGTTCCCCAAAAATCCTACCAAAATGGGGGGATGGATTTTGATGGAGTTGGGGAGGTTAGGGTTAAGGACTTTTCTTCAATTCCTCTTACCCGCTGTACCGTCGTCTTCTGCTTGACCTCCGGGAGTAAGGTGACCTACTTCTGCTCCTACTTCTACTTCTGGACCGACTCCAGGATCGCGATCTGGAGCGACTGTGAGAGCGTTCCCGCACGAATCCATAGATTCTACGTCCGGTACGCGAGTTGACCGGCGTGGCCGTGTGCCGGCTGTCGAAGTTGGGCGTTTGGCCCTGGCGTGACTGCATGCTCTGTGGCGGAGTCCGCTGGGGCGGAGGGGGTTGGTTTGGGGTGTTTGCGGACATGCCCCATCGGGACGCTTTCTTTGGGCTTGATAATAGTTCACTGCAATGGAAAAAAGTATAAAGCATTGGAAATAAGCACAGCAAGGGAGTTTTAAAAAAATGTAAATATAAATGCAACACTACCTTTGGTGCACTAATATGTTTTAAAGATTTTTATTTACTACTATTTGCAAAAAAATGCAAAAAAATAAAGAAAATAGAAAGAGTCAAACACCACCAAATTTCTAGGAGACTGAATGTTAACAGTTGAGGCAGAAAGTGAGAAACCTACTTCGGTAGAGGCTGCTTATCCCAATCTTTAGTCCAGGCTGATCCGTCGGTGAAGGATTCTGTGAGTACTTCTTTTAATTTGGCTTCAATGGCATCTTTGTCAATTTCGGAATCGCAACAACTGAAAGCTCTCTGTACGTATTCCCTGCGAGAGAAGTCAAAATCGTGTTATTCGAATGGGCTCTGTGATGGAAACATTTTTATTATTAAGAAACCTAAAAAGGCCATTGTAAATATCTGTGTGCAGATTACAACACGAGACAAAGCACGGTATTGCCTTGTCGAGTGTGGTGGTAAACTGGCCTTGTTTACTGTAGCATTCATCCCTTAATGAGTGGACGACTAAAACAACATCACACTCAATACACATAAGAATGCAAACATTCAATCCAACAAAAATCACATGGCAGTGAGCATAATGTTTGATTAATCACACTGAACAACTGTCAAATTCACTAGCAGCAGTAAAATTAACTATTTGCTCATTAGGAATACACTGTGGGAATTCAGTCTTCGGGAAGTTACTTTTGTTTCTAACTTGGCTGAATTAATACAGTGGTAAGGCTCAACTTACTTTAAGCTGTCTGGCCAATCAGTGTGCGATGCTGGAGTACTGTAAACAAATACAAGAAACACAAGGTATAAATCATCTTGCACTGGTCTGACACCAGTTGAGTACATGTCAAAATCTATTATCTTAAAATTACGTACCGTATCATCCAAGTATGGAAATAGTGACAAAATTCCCTTTGTCAGTTTATGAAAGACTCTCACATGTCGCTCTTGAGGAAGCAAGTATATACGTAGGTGACCACCTGAAAATTAAACTCCTCCAACATTTTTACTAGGAATCTTCCTGAATTCCCCCAAGTTCTCCTCTATGATGGTAACCAAACGCTTGTACTTTGAACTTTCAAGAAGCATGCACCTCCCTGTTTAGTAACAGTGGATGGGATCTACCATCCTGAATTACACAAAATCCTCAAAGAGCTCCTGGAAGAGTTTGAAGGATCTGGAAGGGGTTAGGTCAGGGTTAAGCCTAAGATCAGAAGGTTTGTATGGTAAGTCAGCAGTGAGAGTAAGTTTGTGGTTCGCATGAGTCAGTGTGGTTTTGTAAAGAACCAGTTGAAACAGACAGACAGTATGCTATGCGGCCCCATATAGGGTTAGGCATGGCCGAGAAACGAGAGTAAGATTTTATTGGCACAGACAGGATTCTTCTGGATGAGAGGAACATTAATAATAACAATATTTGAAAGGCTACCTTGGAGCCTGAGCAGTTGGTTTATCTGCTTCCTTGCTTTTATCACTGGCCCCGACAGATGGCTGGGCGCCAGGCTGCATTGGGGGCCCTTGGTAACCTTGCTGTCTGCTGCCCTGCTGGCGTTGTTGCTGCTGTTGCCGCTGCTGCTGTTGTTGCTGCTGCGGATGTTGTTGCTGTTGTCTCTGCTGCTGATGGAACTGTTGCTGTTGCCGATGGTTCTTCTGCCAGTACTGCTGCTGTTGCTGCTGCCTTTGAAACTGCTGATTTCTTTGCTGTGGCTGCTGGTGCTGCTGTTGGGTGTTGTTAGGGCTGCTGTCCATGTTGCCTACCGTGGGGAACCCTGGTCTCTTACGCATATTAAACCTAATACCTCCTGTATCAGAGGGCTCTGCACAGGGAAGGAAAAAATAATCATGTTTCTTCATCCAAATTTAGAGATGTCTGCGGTAAAAACATGAAAGATTATTTTTTTTGCAGGGAACATTGGCACTATTTTAACTGTGCCTCAATACTCAGGTGCATTTCTTTCATGTTACTTTAAGTTGACTTCAGATGAAAATTGGTCATTTACTCTTTTGAAGTTTTTTGACAGTATGAATCAAAGGGCAATGTGAGTATTAACCATAATCCTGCTGTTTCCAACAAGATCCAACAGACAAAAAAATTGAAGAAATGAATGATTTTTTTAAATTTTGTTGTTCGATATTGTTAGATTCTGCCGGATCATTATGAAACATTTGGAGCAGGGTTAGAGGTCAAGAAGGATTTTGCTTCTCAGCATATACAGAACGGACCAAATGCTAAAAATTGTAAAAATTATCCAGAGAGATGTCGTCCTTATGATGTGAATCAACGACCACAATTTGTTCGAACAGGAGGTTGTGACTTACGCTTGAGAGGTGGCGAGTTCCAGTCGTCAGCAGCTCTCTTGGGAGTCCCCACTTGGGAGTCCCTGTTCATGGGGCCTGGGTAGCCATAACCCCTGTCTGGACCGCCCCGGTCAGCTTGACCCATCCCCCCACCGGTGCCCCCACCCCTGGGAGCCCCTGCACCACCCTGCGAGTTGCTGCCGTTTTTACCTGGTTTGTCCTCACCTGTGGTCTTACCTACACCGTCGGCGGGCGTGGCGGGTAGCGGGGGGTTCTGGGGCGGGGGCTGGCTGGGCGGGGGGACGCCCGGCGGGAACGGCGGACCCTGGGGCGGAGGGTGGGTGGGGAAGTTACCCTGCATTCCTTGCTGGTACTGCTGATACATATCCTATGGAAAACACAAACATGGGTCAAGAACATGTGGTTATTTACAATAGAAACTGCAATTGCTTATTAATTTGGAATGAAACACAGTTTTTTTTTCTCAAAAGTAAAAATATATTATGATTTTGAACAGCTCAGTAGTTATTTGGAATACCAGACTTGGAAACTTGTGGGCAACTCTGCAGATTATGGGTTGGAGTTCAGACGATAGTGTATGTCTTCTACCATGACACTTTGGAGGAAGTTTAGGAGTGTCATGGCCTAGCGGTTAAGAGCACCGGACTCATGCTCTGGTGTTTCAGAGGCAACAGTGGCGTGGGTTCGAGCCCGGACACTTGTGCCCTTAAGCAAGGCACTTAACCATTATTGCTTCGTCCTTCGGATGGGACGTTAAGCCGGAGGTCCCGTGTGTCGTATAAGGCCTAACGCACGTAAAAGAACCCAGTAACACTTATCGCTAAGAGAAGGGGTTTGTCCCGGTGTTTCTGGCCTCCTAGTTATACTCCCTTGTGGAAGTCCTTAGGAGAAGAACCAACCAAGTACCAACCAACCAAGGATGGTTGTGAATGATTCAGCCCTCTATCTGTACACTGATCATGAAACTGAGATGGTTTTAGGAATGTGTATGGGCTTGATAAGCCGGAATGATATTGATGTAGTGCCTTGAGCCAGAGCTGAAGTAGAGCCAATCACGAGTCAATGGCAAGTCAATTCACAAGTCAATTCACATGTCAGGTCAGAAGTAACAGGAGATGAACAAAGACAAAAAAATGCATTTGTCACAGTTCATTTAAAATAGCTTGTGAGTCGACTAGTGATTAGATGACTACTTGTGATCGTGTTGTGATGACTTGTGGCGAATTGTGACTGACTCAATTACAACTCTACCTTGAGCACAAATATTGATGGACATGTGAACGTTGCAAATACAGTATCTTCAACACCAATACTTTGACTTGTACCAAGATCACCGTACAAACTTACTTGTCCCTGCTGAAAGCCTGGCATCATGCCATACTGGCCCATTGGCGGGGGCATGCCATACCCGTAACCATACGGAGATGCGTTCATGCCGGGATAATTGCTGTAGTAGTTTGCTGTGGGTATCAATAACAAACAACTGTCAGCATTACGATAAGCCTTGCATTGATCTTTTTTTTTTTCAACCATAAAATGTAGCTTGTCTCAACTGAAAATGCATCACGTATGAACAAATTGTGAAATTGATGTGACAATAAGCCAGTTCGGTATCTCGATGAAGTAGTCCAGGTCAAGGATCATTTGGGATAAGTGTCAAGTGTCTTGCAACTGTGATGCTACGCGAATGTCTTTTCTGCTCGTAATTAATGCAAGAGCCTGGTGCGACTGTCTCATGCGAGTTCATGCGCTTTCGATGAGCATTCGATTATCCTGAATGACCCATATCATTGCACGCATCCACACAGTTGAAGTACCGAACTCCCAGGTGCTTTTACAAAACCTTCCTTATTCCTCCGGAATTCTCCATTGTGCAGAAAACTAATTTACAAATTACAACTTTGAAACATTTCTTTGTTTGCAGAACAGAAATGGCTTTGGGCAGATTCAGGATATGTAGCTGGACTGTCTAGGGATTACAGGATAATATCTCACATTAGCTCATGATACACATGTATTCGCAGTGACCAAATCTTCATTAACCCTTATCCCCAGGCCGTTTTGCTTGGATGTAGCCTCAATCCTGCAAAATCCTCCCATTGGCCTCATGGAAAAATAGAATAAAGCCTCAATCTTGCAAATTCCTCCATTTGTTCTTGAATACGGTCCGTGGAAGGGTGCCAACTGCTTGAATCCTGCAAAATCCTGCGGCAGTGACTGTCAATATGTTCAGGCCTGGCCAGTGACATCCTGGAGCAGTGCAGAGGATTTGAAGCATAATCCATGCCTACATTTATGCATGGCTGAGCAAAAACAACACAAGGTCCGACCCAAGACCTTGACAAATTTCATCCTACAAAATCAGTAACGCACTTTTGCCGTAAAGCTCTATCCTCCAAATTCCTCCACTTTGGCAAAGAGGATGTTGAAGGATTTAGGGCGGTTAGGGTTAATCTCATAACACAAGACTTTCAACGTACCGTACTGCATCTGCATCTGTTGCATCTGCTGCATCTGTTGCATTTGCAGCTGTTGCTTCTGCTGATCTGTTCCTGCGTCTTCTTTCTTCTGTTGCTTGTCTCCTGCCTGTTTCTTGGGGCTCTTGTTCGTCTTCCCTGCATCCGATTTGGTCGCCTCGTTTGACTTACCACTGTTGCTGCTGCCTAAGATGCTACCCGCTGCATCGGGTAACGGCTGATCGCCTAGCTTCTCCAGGGCCTTCCGAGCAATTTCCCAACTTGCATTGGGTGAGCCTGCAGAGCCTGGTATCGGAGGCATAACACCCTGGTTGTACTGTTGTCCCCTGAAAACAGAATTATCAAAAGTTTGTCACATTAGTAAATTCTTGCAACCCTTGGAATATACAAACACATTGAAGTAGGGAACGTACTAGTCTGAAAATGTGGGACTCTTTAACCCTAACCGCCCTGAATCCTCCAAAATCCTTTTTGCAAATTGGAGGAATTTGCAGGATTGAGGTTACATGGCAAAAGTGCGTTGCTGATTTCGGAGTACGCACTGTGTCAAGGTCTTGGGCCGGACCTTGTGTTGTTTATGCTCAGTTGTGCATAAATTTAGTCCTTGATTATACTTGACATCCTCCGCACTGCTCCAGGATGTCAGTGCCTCTGCCTCAGCCTATTGACAGACATAGCCGGAGGATTTTGCAGGATTCAGGCAGTGGTCATCCCTCCATGGACCATATTCAAGAAATAACGGAGGAATTTGCAGGATTGAGGCTATATGCTATTTTTCCATGAGGCCAATTGGAGGATTTTGCAGGATTGAGGCTACATCCTAGCAAAAAGGCCTAGGGAGTTAGGGTTTAATACGTTGTAGTTGAATCCCAAAACTTAAGATCGTGAAAACGTGCAATGCAAAAATAGACTGGCACATGAAACAACCAGTCGAACACCCCTTTAGTACTACATCAAGCAACTGTGTCAAAAGAAACAACTGGTAGGCCTACCTAGTCCGTTTCTAGACATTCTCTCATAGTCATGCCACCAGACTACTGAATGGTCTAGACCCACTAACTGGGGCGCTAGAACTTCTTTCCTGACCTTTGGGATTTTGTCTGTCGTACTAGCGCCCCACGACAAACACCACAAAAGTTGCCAAAAATCACTCAAAATACTTGACAAAAATACCTTTGAAAGCACCTACTGGCTTCTCCACATGTCAAAGACGAAGTTATGGGGCTTCAACGATTCTCAAGATTATTTTTTGGGTTGCAAATCCGTGAAATTCAACCAGTCTAGCACCCACATCATACAGCGATCATTTTGTGGCTGTGAGCTACCAAGGTATTGTCTATGGACGTACATATAAACATGTACGCAAAGCGCAGGGACACGACTGTCACCTGCTGTTGATAAACAAACTCCGTGTGCAGAACGTACACGTTCTAAACAAATGACGACAGATACCAACATGAAACTTGTCTCAAACATCGCCACTATACTGACAAATGCAAATCCCATTGTTATTGTTTTTTTCTTCTTCTGAAATTGCAATTATCAAAGGGCATTTCAAATCGATAGCCACATTCACTGTCTCTGCCAGCGTGTTTTTATACATTTTAAAAACCAAAAACGATCACTGATCGTTTCAGCCGTCTCCACCTTGGGTGTATTCAAAGCCCAGGCTGTCGTACGGCGTGGATCGGAGCACGTATCATTGATAAAGCACGACTTGTTTTTCTTCAATTGATGATGGTGACGTCACACACACGCCCTCAATGGAATACCAGTGAAAGGAACTGAAGAAACTCTCCGTAAGTTTTCAGACTATTTTGCTCTTTCTTTCATAACTACCGCTTGTTGGGAACAATTTAACGGGTCTTATGGAATTTCATGAATGTGTAGATCGATCCGGGTAACTGTCTTTCTCATTTGTTTTCTCTTAACCGGGTTTTTTTTTTGGGGGGGGGGGACCTTTTTTCCTAGCGTGGGTACCTATGTACAAATTGCTACTGGCTGCGTACCAGTCGCAAAGTATGCCTAATCAGTGGAGCGCCAACGTTAGTACGGAGGGTACCAGTTCCAACGCTCCACTCAGTAGAGCTAGTACCAGTACCATGGCTATGCGATTCAACGCGAATACTAACTTACCATGACGTCACAAAATTCGCGTTCGCTTTCGCGCAGAGTATCAACCGGGCTTAATGCCAGGAAAGCGTTCTCACAACGACATGCCCCATGTAGCGTAAATATCCAAATCCATGGCCTCATTGGCAGTATTGCGCATGCGTAAAGTCCGATAATTAGACCTAATAAATATGCTATTTTTAGGACCATAATATGGCATGTATGGGAGGGTGACCCGTCACGTGCAAGGGATTAACAATAATAGGGAAAAGGAGTCGGATTTTCATAGGAGTTGGATTTTCATATGACACCGGTCGCCCCCCCCCCCATGAGGAAATTAACCACGCCCAGTTGCGAGCGACGTCGATCGGCGCGGCACGCGCACCATGCATAGCATTTGCATTCTCAGCTCCAGTCAGAGCCCAGAGGGAAGTAGTCAGACCATAGGGTCAGACTTCGTGTGAAATATTCTCATCAAGGAACCCACTGGGATACAAATAAAAACGCAGAGCGAAAGTGTAAGATTCGATTTATCAAAAACACGCAGTCAGGATCGGATTCTTACCAATGGGGTGACTGCGAAGGACGATTTTGAACGCCAGTCCAGGCGACGTTTGCCATTGTTTCGGCAACGAACTACGGTTTTACTTACACGTGTCCTGGTACTACTGCGATATCAAATCCACTTGTCAGCATATTTGGGTACCAGCTAAGAGTGACGTCACACGGCCGCTTTAGAATGTTTAGGCTGCGGCTTATAATAATACATGGACTTATGAAAGTGGCTAGGCTGAAGCCACTTCATTTTACGTTCACTGCTAGCCGTAGCCAATTAATTCGCACGCGGCAACCATCGCCAACGTATGGTGGCCCTGGAGGGACATATAAGTGGTCGTGAATATTTTCGCGATTTTTCTGGTGATTTTTTTTTTCGACAAGTCGTGAATTTTTTTCGACCTAGTTACACAATTTTCTTAAACAAATTTACGAGTTCTTACAAGCAGTTTTTTGTGTAGTGTTTCATTTCTTTTGTTTTCTTTTTTTCTTTAAATTAAAATTAGTTAGTTATATTTTATGGGCATAACTTAAGGGGCTCGTTTTTTGGTCAATTTTCCGGGGACAGACATAATTATGCAAAATAGACGCGCAAGCGCATCGATCAAGACAAAGTCCGTTTTCCCTGCATAACTTTCGTCAAGAGTCTATTTACTGACGATGGCATGGTTTGGGTCAATTTTTTTGTGAAATGTTTTTTTTTGTCAAAATGTTTTCGGGGACAGACAGACAGACAGACAGACAGACCGACCGACCGTACCACCAAGTGTACATGTAGAAGCTCCTGTCATAACGTCAGAGCTTTAAAAATGCTTAAAAGTATTTAATTCAAAGCAAAACATATTTCATAAAACAAACAGCGACTTGTGACCAACTTTTGATTGTTTAGAGTGCTAAATGTCATTATTTGTCAAGGTATAGAAAGTTGTTGGTGACCTGCAAGATGCCTGCAGCTCATGTCGTCGTTGGACTGGTTTCCGGCCCTCCATAAAAATATATGGAGACCGGTAGCTAGTTCCCATTTTCGCTCGTAACCCCCCCCCCCCCCCCCCCCCCGCCCTGCAAACAGGACGCTGGGATACGCTGATGAATTCACGCTCTGATTTACCTGAAACGGCCCTTCAAGACCGAGTCATCATTCTCATTCATCAATGCTTTTTTTCGTTGAAAAGCGTAATAATGAGGGAAAAACTGTAAAAATTATCTGTTTTGTGAATTTTCAATTCAGCCCGACACTAACTTGCTCAGGCTCCGTTCCGAATTCATGAAGGATCAAATTGCATATTATGCGACGCTCAAAATTTGTCCCGTGGTCTGCAACGAAACAGGAATCACATCCGGTATCACTTGTGTGCATTTCTATGGGAAAGTTTCCGGATAGCATTTGCGCGCATCGGCTACTAAATGCGGTTTAAAACGGATGCAGCCAGATGCTTTATACCTAATTACGATAAGTTACCCTGTGGTTACCCAGAATACCATCCCCAATTCCTTCACAAGATTCTATTAAGCTCATCAGCGTGTCCATTTTAGGCATGATAGGTTTCAAATACTAGCTATCTGTCGCGGTCCTTATACAGTTGAAGTCCGAAGGACAATGGAGGGGCAGGAAACCAGTCTAATGTCGTTGTCGGATATCAATTTCGGACTAGACGACTATTGCATGTTTGTTAATTATGGCGGCGCGGCATTAATTCGTGGATGCCCGCCGCGCCAATTAACATATATTCACACGGATTATGATATATCATAGAACAAGGATCGATGATCTTTACGAATCCGGGTATACAGAGTGGTAAAAACCCCCAAAAAACAAAACAAAACAAAACAAAACAAAACAAAACAACCGCAACCTCCACTATTCAGAGACCCACACTATTGATATCGTCACCGACACCACGAAGTAACACCCATCTACATACCAGTAAAAACTAGCAATCAGAGAAAACGGCTACTAAAGTTGAACGCCTTCTATAACAACACTTTGCGTCAAAACGACAGAGTATTTTCAGTTGGGTTTCTCGTTGTGGACACTTAATGAATTGAATTTATTAAATCTGCTGTTTTTCACCCGCCTTTTTATTGTGTATTAAATAAACAAGAAATAAGAGAAAAAAGATGAGTGTTAGTTCGTGAAACCGAAAAGGCTGCGAAACTGTAAATTTTCGTTTTCACGAAGTAACACTCTTCAATGTATTCAACACGAGGAAAGTGCAACTTCAGGTCAGCGCGCGCGCGCTCATACAACTTATTACAAGAAGAGTGTTACTTCGTGAAAACGTTTTTGCTCACTTATGAGCAGAGTGCGCGCCATGCATTGCAATGGTAAATGGAACTTAAGTGTTACTTCGTGAAAACGAAAATTGTCACTTTTGCGCAAAAGTTGCCATAGATATTTAGCGTAATTATTAAAGTAAAGCTCTTGAAGCTTTGAAACTTCGTGCAATGGTAGGCCTTGATGAATAATGTTTAAAAATCCAAAAACTGAAAATCGAAAAAAATATGGTAGAGTGTTACTTCGTGGTGTCGGTGACAATATATATGGATAGGAAATTCAATGTTGAAATTAAGGAAAATGATATCAAGAACTTTCGATTCGGTGTTGAAGTAGTTTTGATTCTAGCGCCATTTTTGTGAACCAAAGTCAGGGGCTCTAATTAGGATTATCAATTAGGATTTCAATCCTGGTCATGTTTGTGTTATTCATCCAAGACCAATATCCTCTGACTTATGGCGCTGGAATCAAATCTACTGAACTGAATCGGGAGTTCTTGGTGTCATTTTCCTTTTAACAAAATTTCCTATCCAAGGAGCCAGGTTGCGGTTTTGTTGGACCACCCTGCATACGTGCTGATTATATACTCACAAGGCCCCCTGGAGAAGTGAGTGTGCAATTGTACAGAGCAAATGCCCTGTGATGATCTGAACAATGCTTTCGCCATTAAAGGGGCTTCCGTGGCATGCATGGGAACGAGGTTGCTCTTGCTAAAACTTCGGTAGCGCCAGTATCACAACTCCAGTGGTACCACTTACGATAATTTATGTTTTTCCTTTGGATCACTGCAAGACACTTTTAGGTTGTCGTTCTCTCTTCCCTTTAAATTAAGATTGTCTCAACGATAAACTCAGAGCCTAAGAAAAATAGCCGATGAAAATGAGCAGCGACGACGTGGATTCGAACCAGGGATCTTTGTATCCATAGCTCATCTCGCTATCCACTGGGCTACTGTGTGGTAGCTCGATGACAATCTTTTTTTAAATTTATTTTTAATTTTTTTATTTTACAAATGCTTTAATGTTACGGGTTGACTAAAATACAACAATGCTCTGGATATCATTGTTCTGTTTCATGAATAAACATTCTGGCCCATTGACGTAGGAATACATTATTATACATAAGTTGTGATACTGGCCCTAGCTTAGGCTTTGCAAGCAATTTGGGTATACGCACAGGTCATTTGCACACAGAAGTGCTGACCAAGTTTACTGGCTATTTTATAAAAAGTACTTTAATAATGAGAGTTGAGAAACTATCAAAAGCCAACTTAGCTCGCCAGCCATCGGAAACGTTTGAGCCTTGGGTCGGGGCATTTTACACAGTCATGGGATCAAAAGATGCGCATACTTGGTATATATGTTTGCGGTTGGGGGAAATTCCTATTATATCACCATATAATGTCATCAGATAAGATGCACACACTGCCAAGGTGTTCCCGATGAACAACTTTTCCGAGCCGTATACATCTCCCATACCATCGATGGGTCCGATCCCCAATTTCGACTTCCAATTAGAAATGGCTTGATCTTTAACTATATCCTATACCGTACTCCTCGATCCAAACTGCAACAAATAACAGTTCTTACCCTTGTTCATGGGGGGGGGGGGTAACTTTCGCCCCCGGCTTAAAAAAAACCAATATAGGCGAAAGATTTGGTAGAAGTATCTTTTTTTTGTACAGTTAAAGGTTTGCTCCTTTGTCGGGGGTTGTTACTAAAAGATAGGCCTACCTGTAAAATAACTGTTAAAATACCGAGGTTTAAAAAATGATGTTTGAAGACCGAAATCTCCAGTAATATATGCGGATGTCACCGACATTTTACAAACGAACAAGCTAAATGTTCAATGCGTGATCTAGTCTGAACTTGACGTACGGGTACGGTCCCAACGGAGTCGTAAAAAAAAATCCAAAACATTGTATCCGTGTATACTACTAGTCCGAAATGTTCGTGCCATATGCGCGCTTAGGTTCGTGCATTGCATGCGCGCACTGCGGGGCCACTATAAAAATAGGACAGTTAATCAGTCTACTATGCGAGAATTTCCAATGGCACCGGTACCCACTATACGTGACGTTTCGTTCTCTTGCATATTTTTCGAAATGGGACCAGTGAAAGATTTACACACTGCTTTTTAATACGTGACGTACGCGTACTTGACGTATCCATTCGATGCATGCAGTGCAGTGTTTTGGATTTTGAGTCAAAATGGCGTCCAACATGGATGACGAACAGAGCTTGAAAGATTGCGAAGCCTATGTTCAAAGACACAACATTCAGCAAGTGCTGAAAGACTGTATCGTACAGTTATGCATCCACCGTCCAGAAAACCCCTCAACCTTCCTGAAGGAATACTTCTCAAAACTGGAATTGGTAAATTGAATATTTTTCAACCTTGTCTTCTCCTCATCATGTTCACTTCATGTTTACAGTAACACTACAGTCATGACAGTTGTGTTTGTCAATCAATGTTTGTCAATTTTTTTATGGTTGCATTTTCAACATTTTCAATTCAGTTATTAATAAAGACAAGTTGTGTTCCCCGTGCTCTTCAACATATTATTTTTTGTTTCTCTCTCAATTTTCAACTAGCATGTTTTATTCCAACCAAAAGAAGTCCTTTTTTGGACCCTTCTCTCTTTAATTTTTTTGTTTTGGCACAAATAAAAAGACTGGCTCCCGGTCTATACATTATGGATACTGATTGTGGGGCGGGAACCAGCCTACCCCTCAAAAATGGAATTTGTCTGGCACTCGGCCAATAATTCGAATTTGTAAAGTAGCCTAATACCTTGCCTTGAGTAGCCTAATAATTCAATAACTAAACATGCCTTGGACCTATTTTTT